AGTTACTATAGTGAATACACATAACGTGAAGAAGATTTTGAGCATCTAAGCCTATCGTCAATTTTGAAGTTTTAGGACTTGCTAGATTTCAGATTCAGGGCATGGAATATCCAAATAGTTTGTTTTGATCTCAACGAACTGGGAAACACTGGAGTGAACGCACCTAATGCAAAGAAGTTTTAGGCAACTTTGTTTGGCTATCAATTTTGGAGTTTTAGGACTTGCTAGATTAAACATTCAGGACAAGGAATATCCAAACAGTTTGTTTTGATCTCAATGAATTGGGAATCACTGGAGTGAATACACATACCGTAAAAGCCGTTGTAGTAGTCCCGGGGACATTATTTTTCCGCTGATCCTCTAGGGGAGTCACTATTGGGGGGGGCTACTATTAGAGGAGGGCTCATGATTTTTTCAATTGTGCTTTTTGCCATTCACATGATCAAAACTGGAGAATTCAAGATAATTACCACTCATTAAAGAAACAGTTTTCAATTAATTTATTTACGAAAACAAGTAAAATTCAACAAAACTTTGAAAAAAAGCAGAAATCTAAAATTCTGGATCAACTGATATATCAGCTTCAAATTCCTCCTCACATATTTCTGTTTCTTGACGAAAATCGAGAAAATTTGCTGAAGTAAGCGGATCCAGGAGCTTATGGATTTTTTCGATACGTGCATCCCTGAGTAACTGTAGTCCTGTAGGAGCCGGACCATCAGGCTTAAAGCTGCTTAAATATCAGCTGCTCGTCGGCACCATTTGGATCGATTCCAACTCCACAGCTTTTAAAGCATCGACGAATGACTTCTTCCGAATTTGAATCGCAAGCATCAGCAACCCATTTTAAGTCGATGACCATTCCAGAGGCCTTTGAGTTCCCACCTTTTGTGCGTTCAGGTGCTTGCAGCAAAACAACTCTCGTAAAACTGTCGAATGAGTGCCTTAAAAGAACCATTCAAAGCCACATCTGCACATTGAACAAACTATGCCTCCAGGAACAAAGAAACAATCCAATTGAAGCTGATTGAGCTTTTCGTCGATTCGTTGTTTTTCACTCTTCTTTCTGCTTGAGGTATCGTTTCACTTGAGATCGATCGACGTTAGAGAATTTGGCTGCAGAGTGAATAGGAACTTCTCCTGCCATTTTTACCACATTCAGTTTGATCTTAAACGTGATTGATTTCTTTGAGTTTATTTAGTTTGTATTGTATTTGATGAATTGGGAATCACTGTAGTGAATACACATAACGTGAAGAACGTGTTTAGCCATCAAATTAGAAGTTTTAGGACTTGCTAGATCAAAGATTCAGGGCAAGGAATATCCAAATAGTTTGGGTTGATCTCAATGAATTGGGAATCACTGGAATGAATACACATAACGTGAAGAAGATTTTGAGCCTCTAAGCCTAGCGCCAATTTTGGAGTTTTAGGACTTGCTAGATTTAATATTCAGGGCATGGGATATTCAAACACTTTGTGTCGTACTCGATGAATTGGGAATCACTAGAGTGAATAGATATAAAGTGAAGAAGTTTTAGGTACCTTTGTTTAGCTAGCAATTTTGAAGTTTTAGAACTTGCTAGATCTAGAATTCAGGGAAGATCCAAACAATTTGTGTTGATCTCAATGAATTGGAAATCACTGGAATGAACGCAATTAATGTAAAGAAGATTTTGATCCTCTAAGCTTAGCGCCAATTTTGAAGTTTTAGGACTTGCTAGATTCAACATTCAGGGCATGGAATATACAAATACTTTGTATCGTACTCGATGAATTGGGCATCACTGGAGTGAATACACATAACGTGAAGAAGATTTAAGCACCTTTGTTTAGCCATCAAATTAGAAGTTTTAGGACTTGCGAGATCAAGGATTCAGTGCATGGGATATCCAAAAAGGTTTGTATCGTACTCGAGGAATTGGGAATCACTGGAGTGCATACACATAAAGTGAAGAAGCTTTAGGCAGCTTTGTTTGGCTATCAATTTTGGAGTTTTAGGACTTGCTAGATTCAGCATTCAGGACAAGGAATTTCCAAATAGTTTGTAAAGTAATCGATGAATTGAGAGTCACTAGAGTGAATACACATAAGAATATGTAGAGCATCTAAGCCTATCGGCAATTTTGAAGTTTTAGGACTTGTTAGATTAAACATTTAAGGCATGGAACATCCAAAAAGTTTGTGTAGATCTCAATGAATTGGGAATCACTGGGGTGAATACACATCAAGTGAAGAAGATTTAAGCATCTTTTGTAGCTATCAAGTTTAAAGTTTTAGGACTTGGTCAATTTAACATTCAGAACACGGAATATCTAAACAGTTTGTATCGAACTAGTTGACTTGGGAATCACTAGAGTGAATACACATCAAGTGAAGAAGATATTGAGCATCTAAGCTTAGCGTCAATTTTTATGTTTTAGGACTTGGTAGATTTAATATTCAGGGAAACGAATATACAAACAGTTTGTTTTGATCTCAATGAATTGGGAATCACTGGTGTGAACGCACTTAATCTAAAGAAGATACGAGTATCATAGCTTAGCTAGCAATTATGAAGTTTTAGGACTTTTTAGATTTAATATCCAGGGCAAGGAATATCCAAATAGTTTGTATCGTACTCGATGAATTGGGAATCACTGGAATGAATACGCATAACGTGAAGAAGACTTAGGCAGCTTTGTTTGGTTATCAATTATGGAGTTTTAGGACTTGCTAGATTTAGCATTCAGGGCATGGAATATCCAAATAGTTTGTAATGTAATCGATGAATTGGGAATCACTGGAGTGAATACACATAACGTGAAGAAGATTTAAGCACCTTTGTTTAGCCATCAAATTAGCAGTTTTAGGACTTGCTAGATCAAACATTCTGGGCATGGAATATCCAAAATGTTTGTGTTGTACTTGATGAATTGGGAATCACTGGAGTGAGGGCACTTAATGTAAAGAAGATTTTGAGCATCTAAGCCTAGCGTCAATTTTGAATTTTTAGGACTTGCTAGATCAAAGACTCAGGGCATGGAAGCTTTTTCTTTAAATCTTTAATCCTCTGAATCCCTATCTTTAAACCCAAGTGTATGGAATGATCGAGTATTATTGTATGATCAACTGATAACTCTTCTGCTATTTCGCAAAAAGAAAGCCTTTTGGTTGGTTTGAAAAATTTCGAACAACTGGGCATTATCCAGCTGGACTGCTGGATGTTGCCTTCCTGAAGATTCATCCCCGGAACGGAATTTAGCAAACCAGTTTGCACTTGTTCTTCCACATAAACTTCCACCACTAGTGATTCTTCCACATAAACAATAGCCCAATAAAGAACGAGATGTTGCTACGCCAGAAGCCTACAGTCCGGACGTTGCGCCATCCGACTACGGTCTCTTCCGATCATTGCAGCATTTCCTGAAATCTCACCGATTCGAGTCACTTGAAGAAGTTGAAGAAGCTTGCCAAGAGTTCTTTGATTTGAAACAAAAGGAGTGGTACTTCGTCCAGATTCGAAAGCTTGCAGATCGATGCAGAAATTCGTAGATAATGATCGGTTATACTTTCAGGAATAATTGTTCTTATTTTTGTTATTAAAGTGCGCATAAAAATTGAATTTTTTTCATTTAAAGAAATTTGCAATTCGAAATCAGTTTGCTATTTTGATGTTATTTGAAAACGTTTCTTGAAAACACAATCCGACTCATTACCGCTCGGAATTCTTCTTTCGATCAGCTCATCCAGAAAATCTTCACCCATTTTCCTAATGGTTACGATGGGAACGAGAGAAGTGAATCGAGTAGATCCTTTATTCATTTGTTCAAGTCAAAATCTTTCAAATCTTATCGAATTTCCCTTGGTAAAGAAGCGAATTGAATGCATCAGAAGAAATGCGTTTACATTTACAGAGAGCTTAAATCATCCCCCAACATCATTTGCAACAATGCTTTCCGGATTTGATTACTTTTTGTCGGCAACTTGATTTTCTTGGCCTTTTTCTCCGATTAACAAAATTAGCCAATTTCTCTTTTCAATTTTACCGTGAGAGTTTTGCTTTTTTTTTCTAGGGAAAAAAACCAATTTTCAAAGTTGAGAAACTCAAAAGCTTTAAGAGTAATCTTTCTTTACAATTAGCTTTCCTAATAGCTATTATTTTATCCCTTTTTATCACCATCTTTAGCTTTCCCTATTGACCTTATGACCAAAGGAGCTTATGACCAAAGATGAGCGTGTTCCCACATTTTACCAATATCCGGATCTCGTCTTTACGTTACAGGTTCGTTTTTTTAAAACCAAATCTGCTTCGATCCCATTTTCAAGAAAAATAAGATCCCAATTCCTTTGAGATTCTCGAATGTTTTTGTATCGCCGGTTTGATGCTCTGGGCTCGGCTCTATTTAAGGATTTTGATGAAAAAAGAGGTACAGATCTTCAGGCTAAGCTTCAGGCTAAGCTTTTCACCGGATAACCTAATATCTAAAGTCTAATATTGATACTAGAAATAGTCTGTCTTTATCTTTCCTGTCTTTCAGTTCTGCCATCCGAATCTCCGCGTGCAACTGGTCTTCCAACCGCTCGCCCACTCGACAACCCTCTTGCTAAGGATAGGGAGGCATTTATGTGGGTTTTCGAGTTTACCACCAAATCTTTACACTTCATTGTTTATTTCAGTGGAATGGAATGGACTGATGAGCACCTCTTTCCGCCTAAACATCTACAATTTCTTCTCAGATTTTGGTAAATAAAAAGACGAAATTAATGCTCACCAATTTACTGAAAGATTTCTTACTTAGCGTTCTCTTAGCTTAGCTTTCTTAATAGCTATTATTTTATCCCTTTTTATCACCATCTTTAGCTTTCCCCATTTCTTACTACAAGGAAAGTCTGGGATATTAGACCGTCTATTTGTCTGTCTTTTTTTTGTAGAGAGACAATGTGAGTGCTGGATTTGATCCTTCATCTAATTCTAGTCTTTTAAATAACCTTTAGGCCTTCAACTTTCATCAGTGATCATGCTGGGAATGGCGGTGGAACGAGTGACGGCAATGGTACTCGTCGAGAGATACGACGAGATGTGGAACGAGAAGCCGACTCTCGGATATGCATTGATTGGAATCACGGTTCGGTCACTTTGTTTGATTTTCTTGTTCTTCAAACTTTTCTTCCAGATCACCCTATCTTTGACGATTAACACCGGCATGTACTTGTCATTTATTCCAAAAAATTACGCCTACGCCTCGTTGGGACTTGTCTTTTGCACTACTGGATTGGTAAGTTCATGAAAAGAAGATCAATCTGATCATTCTGATCATTCTGTTTTTCAATTCACCACAATATTCAGGCGTTCTCAATGCTGCCCATTGTTGCGCATCGAGCTTACAAGAAAGTGAAAAGAAAACGAGATGCTACAGTTCTTCAAAGGTTTTGTAAAAGATTTAGTTTCTTAGATATCTTTGAATCAGATTCGAAACCGGTCGCAATCTTCAAGCAGCTCGAATGCTGATGTACTTGGCACCATACAAGGTATACACAACCAGCAAAACATTATCCCATCCTCCTCTTAGCTCTCTCGACTCTAGACATACTGTGGCTAAAAATCGACAATGAATGGACTAAAATAATTTCCAATTTCCAGGTAACAACCACCCTTCTCTCCCTCACGATCTATTTCTTCATCTACGAGAAAGTCGAGATTTCTCTGATGCCTTTGTGTGCTCAATGCTACTGGTTTTACAATATTTTACAGGTTCAATGATTTTTAGCAAATTTTCCTCAAAAAACGTCCCTATCTTTTTACATTTTGAATCAAACTGGATGTCAGGCTAAAAGATAAAAAAAAACCCTCGCCTTACAGTAGGGTCGAAAAGTTTGGAACAATCACCTTCCGGTTTAACTCGATGTAACTTGCGTTAAATACATTCAATTTTGTTACTTTAAAAGCTATTTTTGTCGCATTTTTTTGTGAACTTTCTGAATGTCTACTTGATTTTATTTCATATTTCATCTTTTTTTTTTGTCTTGCTCTTTTTCTTGGAACACCCATTTTTTTAGGGGTCCAAAAGTTTGGAGCAATTTATTTAACGATTAACCGGCAAAATTCAGTATTTTGTGGCGTATCCCTCTGCTTTAATAACAGCTGCGCAACGATTTGGCATCGAATCAATCAAATTGTCAATGATTTGCCTTGAGATCTTAGTCCATTCCTCCTCAAGCGCCTTCATGAGTTCTGATGTTTTTGTGAAGTTTCTGGTTGGGATTTGTCAGTCCAAATGCTCCCAAAGATGCTCTATTGGATTCAGATCAGGGCTTTGAGCCGGCCATTGAAGCACATCGACGTTTTTTTGTTGAAGCCATTGCTTAACACGCCGGGCCGTGTGCTTCGGATCGTTATCGTGCATGAAAATGAAGTCGTTGGCCAAGTTGTTTCTGCCGTGTGGAAACATATGGGTCTCCAAGATGTTTTCATAAACAGCTGCATCCATAATACCATTGATTCGGACAAGTGGGCCGACACCGTATCGTGAAAAACAACCTAAATTCAAATAAGATCCGTTGATAATGGAGGTAACCAACCCCAAACGAGAACTGATCCACCGCCGTGTTTGACTGTTGGAATTTGATACTTTGGATTGTTTCTTTGATTAATTGGACGTCTAATGTATCGAATTCCATTGGTGGAAAAGAGTTCATATTTGCTTTCGTCACTCCACAATACATCGCTCCAATCATCAGCCGACCAGTACTTCTTGGCAAACTCGAGCCGAGCCTTCACGTTCTTGCCGGAAATCAACGACTTCCTTTGAGTCCTTGTCTCCTAAACAGCAATATTTTATTGCTTTTTAAATCATAAAATTACTTTAAGATGCGCTTAGCCGTCGTTTTGGAGAGCGAAACTCCATAGCTTGACTCGGCGTCTCGACGTAGATCAGCTGAATTGAGGCGTGGATTCTTCTTAAATGGAAGCACAAGTGTCCTCTCATCACGCTCATCCAGTTTAGCCGGCTTTCCCTTTGTTGTTGCTCGTTTCACATTTCCGGAAACCTTCCATTTGTTATAAATCTTGGTTACTGTTGAATGGGTGACACCGAATGTTGTGGCGACTTCTTGACGGCTCTTTCCTCGATTTACTTCGGCCACAATAAGTTCTTTATCATACTCCGTCAAATTCGAACGATTTGGCTTCTTAAAATTAAAAATGTATTGCTATTTTTGAAATTGCTCCAAACTTTTGGACCCCTAAAAAAATGGGTTTTCCAAGAAAAAGAGCAAGACAAAAAAAAAAAAGATGAAATATGAAATAAAATGAAGTAGACATTCAGAAAGTTCACAAAAAATGCAACAAAAAAAAGCTTTTAAAGTAACAAAATTGAATGTATTTAACGCAAGTTACATCGAGTTAAATTTGCCGGAAGGTGATTGTTCCAAACTTTTCGACCCTACTGTATCTTCAAATTTCAAAAAAAAAATTCTCAACCTTTGATTTGTGCAAAGCTCTCGAAAATTTCCTCAAAATCTTGTTTACCTAAGAATTTTTTGTTTTCCAGGTATTTTTCCAAATGTTATTGGCGATTTTGTGTCACTCGTGCCTCAAAGATGAGCTCTATTTGTTGATGGGGAAAAGAAGGAAAAATGAGAAGAGAAGAATCGAAGATGTCAGTGCAAAAATGAGAAAATATATCTAAGAAATTGGAGAAGGAATTCCAAAAATCTTGTCCCTTGTTTTAGATTAAGAATTTCTATTCAATTTTAGGTGCGAACTGTTGCCGGTGAGGCTATGATCTTCGATCGGGAAAAGGCTAATCTTCTGTACTTTGAGAGCTTAAAGGTGAGAAATGTTTACAGGATTTTATGGTCAATGTATGGCAGGTCAATGTCAAAGCCAGCTCAGCTTGGTATTAGACTCAAGCTAGTATCAAACTTGAAACAAGAGACACACTTCTGCCTAGGGCTTTTTATAAACCTAGCTCTGGCTTAGCTCTGGCTTAGCCTTGGCTTATCCCTTGCTTAGCCCTTGCTTATCCCTTGCTTAGCCCTTGCTTAACCTTGGCTTATCCCTTGCTTAGCCCTTGCTTAACCTTGGCTTAGCCTTGGCTTAGCCTTGGCTTAACCTTGGCTTAACCTTGGCTTATCCCTGTCTTAGCCTTGGCTTAACCTTGGTTTAGCCCTGTCTTAGCCTGCCTTTAAGCCTAACCCTAGCCTTGACTTGTCTTTGACAAAATCTTTTGATGTTTAGGCAGCGTGGAACGTGCGCGAGCCACCCCTGCAACTTTTCTTGAAATCGGGCAACAATCGAGACAAGTCGCGTTGAATACGACAAGATCCTTAATGAAAAAGGTATTCGGTTTTAAATCTTAATTTCAGTTAACACAAAAAACAATTTTAGATCGTAGTTCAAGAAGAAAAAGACGAGAAAAGAATAGAATTAGTCGACAATGCCCCGCCAATTTTCCTTGTCAACGATGAAAGAGTAACAGAAGCGGAGATAATCGCTGCTCAAATCGTAAACGGGATTCTCGTGCAGGTAGCCAGTATAGATTAATTGATTATGTTCCCCAATTTCAGTCTTTCAAATTTAGAGTTTATTTTCAGGCTCTCCATCACTTTGACGCCTCGACGACGAGCTCTCTACTTGAATTTACGACTTCAAAAGAAATCAGGGATCTTTGCAATTAATCTTAAATTGTTGAATGTCTTTGTTATTTTTATTTAAACTATTTAAATGCAAATTTTTATTTGATTTTTAAGCATCTGAGTATCAATAACTGTACAAAACGAGTAAAATGATAAAATTTCGAATTTCTTTAGTTGCTGGCACAGGTGGCTTGTCGACACAAGCAAGGCATATTGGCCATTGAGGAACCTGGAAATGAATAACGTTTTAAGAATCTTAAGCAACTGTAGCTGTAAAACCCAGACTTGTGTCCTTTACAGTCCTCCAGAACTAACTATTGAATAGCGTTTTCCGATTCGTTTCCTTTATCTTACTATATTTTGGCTTACTCTAGACAATCTATAGATTACTGTACCCTTAGCAAACCTATTAGAATACCCTAAACGATGTCTTATTCCAGTAATATTCTCGTAAAGCTTGCACTCACCCATATTGTTTCCATAGGTGTTGCTGTACATCATTCCGTTGCTGTTGTAGCCCATGCCACTGCTGCTGCTGCTCGGATTGTAGTAGCCGTTCGTGTTGTAACCGTTCTGTAAAATCACTTGAATGCCAATTACCGATAGTATCTGATTGTAAAGTAAATCCTTCTTTTCCTCACTCACCGACGTGTCAATAACAATTACCCCTAGTAAAGTAAAGTAAAGTAAAGGAATTGCAAAGTAAATTCTTCTCTTATTGATTGTAAAAGTAAAGCCTTCTTTTCCTCACTCACCGCCGTCGATCCAGTGTACCCGCTTGGGTTATATTGATTGCTGTTGTATCCGGATCCGGTACCGTATCCCGTTCCATACATGCTGCTGCTACCGTATCCCATATTCGATCCAGAGCTTCCATAGCCTGAGCTGCCGTATCCAGTGTTGTATCCAGTGCTGCCATAGCCAGAGTTGTAGCCACTCTGGCTGCCGCCCATCATCTGAACATATATTTTAAATTCTATCATGATCTTGCAACAGTATTCCTTGAAGTAGCCTAAAAGCTAGATTTACAGAAAGCCTATAAAGCTACAGTATCCTAGACTGCAAGAAAGCTACGGTAGCTCTTGCTGTAAAGGGTACAGTAATCGTATTGTACCCTTTCCTACAGCTACAGTAATCCAACCATAGATTGTCTGAAGATTATTTTTGCCTATTCATCTAAATAGTATTCCCTTTAGACTGACATTCATGTAGTTCTGAACTTGCTGTGTCTCTGACGATGTGAGTTGTCGAGTCGATGATCCATCGTACAACATACCATTCTGAAAAATTGTAAATTTACATTCTCAAATTGAATTTCGTCATTTTTAAGCTTCTAAAAATTTCACGTGAAAAATGAAAAAAAGTAATGTAATTCCAATCAAAAACCAAAAGTAATTCCAATCAAAAACCCTCACCATAATACGGCAATTTCCGTTCTGCATGTTGCTCATCGACATCGTCGTCGAGTAAGCCGAAGACAAGGCGAAAAGCGCCGCCGCCAACACCAGCATCGTTTGCATGTTCTTGGATTTAAAAAATTTTGCGAATTTGAAAACCTTTATATACTTTGAATCTACGCATGCCTCTTTTTTTCATTTCCATTTTTTTTTCATCAATTTTCTGTCAATTTTCTGTTTATTTTGCCCCAAATCACTGCTAGCCACTTTGGTAAACAAAATAAAAAGAAATTTTTACCTTTTTACCTTTTTACCTTTTTACCAAAAAAAAAACTCTAATTTTTTTTGTTGAGCACAAATAGAAAACATTGAAGAATTTTGAGGAAAAGATCATTTTGCACTTGAAAACATCAGGAAAATAGTGATTTGTGGGTGTGGTGGTGGATGAGGATTGACTTGGAAAACTTTTTTTTTTTTGAAGTGATCTACCATACTGAATGGATATCTGGTGAAGAAAGTAGTGTACAGTACACTACTTTCTTCACCAGATATCCATTCAGTATGTGTAAGTGTTGTGCGTTCATTTTATAGGTGAAAGCTTTTAAAAAGCGACTTAAAAAGCTACCGTAATTTGGCTGATGATTTGGTGATTGTTAATGGAATCGATTGCCTATATTAATGTTAGTGTCTGGTTTAAAATGTTTCCCGATTTAGCCGATTTATCGGAATTACGATAACGTATCCATTTTAAACCAAAGATTAAACCTTTCAGCTTTCAGCTTTCGTATTTGATTCTTTCATGATCTTTCCCTTCTTGTATCCCTCGAATTTCTCATCAAAGATCAACAAACGAATCCCTGAAAAGTGATATCCACTCAAATGTGTGATCATCAAGAGACCAAGCCACAACTAACATTCCAGTCAGCAGATAGATCTACAACTACAACAATCTATCTACATTTGAAGATCATCAAGAGACCAAGGCACAACTAACATTCCAGCCAGCAGATAGATGTCTTTTAAAGCTTTAGACTTTCAAATCTATCTACATCTGAAGATCAACGAGAAATCATCACCAAAAGATCACCAAAAGATCACCAAAATATCAAACTTCTACGAGAGAATCAAATAAACCGATAAAAACTGATCTCTACTGCTTCTCCTTTGCTTTCCAGCATAAAGACTTTGAGCACACTAGAAAACATTTGTTTACAAGTCAAGCTAAACCAAAAATCCTAGCCGAAACCTTTCAATGTGACTGAAGAAATGCATCTTTATGACTCATTGCCTTAAATTCAAACAAACTAAAAACAAAAATAAAAGCAAGTATGTTTTGTTGTTTATTTGTAGATTGGAGGATAGCAAATATTTCCCGATTTCCACACCTCACGTCTTCACTCTTCAAATAATGCATTTTGTCGTTAAATCAACACTTTCTTTTTTTTGCTGAAAACTCAGTAAAGTACTTTCGGCCAAAATATTATGATTTGTCTGAAAATTTCGTTCGCTAGGTTTGCTATTGTAGGCTTTATAATAGACTCAATAGAGAGTATCAATTTTTACAATTTATAACTCAATCAAACGGAAATGAAACGATAAACCACAGAAAAAAAAAAAAAAAAAAAGGTTTAAAAGCAATCTAAAATATAAATAAGAGAAAGAAAAGAATAGAAATAAAAGAATAGAAATAAAGAGAAAGAGAAATAAAGAGAAATAAACGAATTAGATCTTACTGTCATGTCAATTAGAAATTATTAGGTTTATGCAAAAGTCTTTTTCATTTTTTTCGTACTTCTTTTGAAAAATAACAAAGTCATCAATTAACCTATGGTTTGCTCTAAATGAAAAGTGTTTATTGTTGAATTTTCCCATCTTTTTAAGTCAATTTGGGTTCACTTTCAAGCAAATTCGAGAGTGAAAACGGGTTTTTCATAAAAATCTATAAAAACCTCTATAAAGAAATTGGCTGAATCAATTTCTCTGAAAATCTGAAAAAATATCAAACTTTTTGTGCTCTATCTTTTATTTATTAACATCAAGATTGGTTTCCTTAGCTAAAGCGTCTAAAATGCATCATCGAGCCGTCGCCTTTTTTGACTACCCGACTTCAGGGTCTCAAAAAAATCTAGACATAAGACATTTTAAACTCGTTTTAATGTCATTTTGCAGAAAAATAATTGACCTTTCGAATGCAATAAACCGTTGTTCAATTGGTGCATTTGTTACTTTTTAACGGAAGTACGAAAAAAATGAAAAAGACTTTTGTATCAACCTAATAGATCCATCCTATTGCACTGCTCTATATTTAATCTTTTTGTACCTGTTTTTTCTAACTATAGTCTTACTGTATTTCTAGGTTTCTTTCTTTTTTTTTTTGTGAAAGTATTGTAGCATTATTTTATATGCGGTTATGATTATCTGATTTGTTTCTATTTGCCCCTGAATAAAGCATATATATGTCGTAACCGTTTACGAAATTTAGCCGCTAACGAATAATTCGTTAACGGTTAGTCGTTTACGAATGATTCGTTATTGATTTTTTTTTTTTGCAAATATAGCTTCTCTGTAAAAGAGATTATAGAGCGGCGTGTTGCTCATTTATAGCTTTACCTCATAAGAAATCGTTTTTTTTTTTTTCTCGCGCAAAAAGTGAGATGAATTTAGGCTGGAAAAGAGTCACTTGTTCAAAAGTCTCGAAAATTTTAACGCAAAAGCTGCACTTGATCTTTTTTACGAGTAACTTTTTTTTGGAGTCCACTTGTAAATCATAGAAGAGAATGTTCTTGAAGTAGTGGATTCGTTTTTAAGAAATTCCAGTCAAACTTTTCTGGGACTTTCTTTCCAACCTAATATATCAAAAGTTATTGTGGTCCTTGATTACTGTAGCACTGGTCTGAAAACGGTAGTTTAATTTCAACATATAGTTTTCAGTTGTTCCCGAATCACCACCTCCAGCTCAAGAGCCACAACCCATCTACAGCGTCTCATTTTCGGCGATTCATCCGAATCTCTTTAGTGGATGTGCAATTGATGAGGATGAGAGGTTCAATTTTGGTTTTCGATTCTGAATCCAATATTCCAGTGTTGCCGAGTTGAAAGCGTACAACCCTTTGTTGGAAACGTTGGCTGACGATCGAATTGTCCCACGAGAGTTAGTGCCTTGTATTCAACATTGTGCGGTAAGTGGTTTTAAAAAAAAGCAAAGCAAAACAAAGCTTTATTTCGAATGCAGACTGCTTTTTTTCAAGATTGGGGTCCTCCACTCGCCGAGCAAATAGCTTTACTCTTTGATTTTGTCATCAACATATATGCAACAAGTGAATCTAAGAAATATCTATTCAAAAACTAGATAAAGTATTAATATTATGTATTTCTAGTCAATTCTGACGCAATGTATGCACCGGAGAGGGTACACAAGGCGATTTACGAGTACTCGAGCCAGTATTGGAGGAAAACCGCTTTGCCTGAGATTGAGTTACCTGAGGTGACTATAAATAACACCAGAATACTCAGTTACCGTTTACTCATTACAAACTCATTACGAAGAACTACAGTATTCATCAATTGCGTCTAGCAAAGAAGATGGTGCGCTTGGTGGCGACTGGCCTACTTGAGAGGATCTTCTTCACAGATGAAAAGATTTTTTCTATCCAGTCTTTGCACAACCGCCAAAATCATAGATAACTTCTCAAAAGGGGTCTGAAGAACACATTTGCGGGAAATTTGATGGTTAGAAAGCATTTTTCAGCTTCGATTATGGTTTGTGGAGGTATGTGTGCTACAAGCAAGACACCGCCACAGCAAGACAACAGAAACGTCAAGATGAATGCTAAAAACTGCCAACAACTGGTATTAAAAGATGTCTTGAAACATTGGGCAACAAATCACTTTGGATAAGCTGGTTTTTTTTTTCCTGCAACAGGACTGGGCTCCTGAGCATGGTGCTCACTCAACTCTCAACGTTTGCGCTCAGTTGTTTCCAGGCTTTTGGGATAAGACCATTTGGCCTTCAAATTCGCCAGATCTTAATCCCCTCGATTACTCTGTTTGGGCTATTTTGGAAGGCAAGATCTCGATGAAGATGTATCAAACAGTGGATGCTTTAAAATCTGCTCTGAAACGAGTCTGGGATGAAATAACTGTTTAAGCGTGCGCCACCATCGTGAGGAACTTCTCAAAGGGTTTAAAGAGGTGTATCGAAGCGAATGGTGGAAATTTCGAGCATTTGTTATAAGTTATTTGTTGTTATGATTCGAATAAAGGGTTTTTTATTAATTTTTAACTTTTTAAAGCTAGTTTTTAAACCTATCTTAAGAAGCGGCTTCAAACTTTTGCCGCACCCTGTATTTGCGTAACTAAAACTATTACCCTAAAGTCGCGCGTATAAGTTCTGTTTGGTTTTCGCATGCAAATTGACGGCTGTCTCCGGTGCGGTGTGTCGACGGTTCGAACCCCGCTGCAGCATAACTTTTTTTGCTTTTTAAGAACAATAATAGAAGTAAATTTATTGAGGGTTATAGCAAATTTTATGCTGTTATTTGTTGCTCCGGGCGTGGCTCGGCGCGTCCGCCCTGCTCCTCTCCGGTGCTCAGTCTTATTGATCCCTCCCTGGCCTCTTCATCCGGCCAAAGTCCACGTCGACGGTCGAAAGAGATGCGTCTTCTTTCCAGTGTCTTCTTCAACACTATCGTCTGGATGTGTATCCATGCACATAACAAATAGCAATGGTGATAGGCTGTCACCCTGTAGCATCCCGCGCTCCAAGAACAATAATAAAAGTTTATATAACAATAAAAACCCAACAAAAAGAAATTCAAAGCAATTAAAGCGAAATTAAAGCGAAAGCGAATGTAAATTAAGGCAGAGCTTATACTCGGATCAACTTATACTCGAGAGACTTTAGGGTAATCGCTTAAAGAGCGCCAAGAACTTTATCAAAAGAAAATCGATGTAACTTTTTAAAAAAATTGAGTGTTAAAAGACTTTTTGTTTTGTAGAAAATGGCTGTAGAAAATATTTAGTGCCTCGATGGCCGAAAAATTTCTTTCAGAGTCCTATCGGAGATTCGAAAAGACGTCGGTTTGATGGTTCATTTCAAAATGTTCTTCTTTATGGTCAGCACTTGTGTAAACGAGCCATTTCTAGTGCAATCGATTGATTTATTTGATTATATTTTTAGATCCATCTTTATTACCGGCTTCAAATTCAGCAATACTTGTGTTGTCAAGAATCAATGGTTTGTGAAATTAAAGATTTTTGTATAAACTTAAAGCTACCGTACATAGAAATCGACAATTACAGCACTCCAGATTGAAGAAAAAGACTATAAAAATTGTAAATTTCCACAAAAAAAAGCATCAGGTTTACCATCAAACGACTCTAGAAAATCTATAGAAATAAAAAAAAAAAGCAAACCGTTATTCCCAGGAAATACTTGCAAATGAGTTGGATGAATTGGAGAAGTTGTGGATGCTTTCTGGATCGACTTTCGGCTGTTGGACAATCGGTGGAGCGCTCACTAGCATCACCAAGTTCTTCGCGTTTTCTGGCTTCGAAAGGATTGATGAATACTGTAATGTAATGAGTTTTTATCTTTGTAATGAGTTTTTAAAGAGTAAACAACGGTAACTGAGTATTCTGGTGTTATTTATAGTCACCTCAGGTAACTCAATCTCTGCAGGCAAAGCGAGCGAGGTTTTCCTCCAATACTCGCTCGAGTACTCGTAAATCGCCTTGTGTACCCTCTCCGGTGCATACATTGCGTCAGAATTGACTAGAAATAGATAATATTAATACTTTATCTAGTTTTTGAATAGATATTTCTTAGATTCACTTGTTGCATATATGTTGATGACAAAATCAAAGAGTAAAGCTATTTGCTTGGCGAGTGGAGGACCCCAATCCTGAAAAAAGCAGTCTGCATTGGAAATAAAGCTTTGCTTTGTTTTGCTTTGCTTTGCTGTGCTTAAAACCACTTACCGCACAATGTTGAATACAAGGCACTAGCTCTCGTGGGACAATTCGATCGTCGGCCAACGTTTCCAACAAAGAGTGATACGCTTTCAACTCGGCAACACTGGAATAGTGGATTCAAAATCGAAAACCAAAATTGAACCTCACATCCTCATCAATTGCACATCCACTAAAGAGATTCGGATGAATCTCCGAAAATGAGACGCTCACAGTCCACAAATTATCCTCATCGACTGAAAAATTAGATTATATTGTTTATTTAGAGACACCATAGCTTTAGGTACTTCTTAGAGAAACACAAATTTGACCCACCTTCACTGAAAGTGATCACTGTTCGACCACACTGTTTCCCCAAAAGACGCAGGAATTTCTTCGTCAATGGAAAGATGTTTGGCACTTGAGACAACTCATCAACAATCTAAAAACCGTTTCAAAGCCGACTTTTTTCCCAAAATCTTAGCCTGGAACTGACCGCTTCATCTCGATTCTCCCCATCATTCTCTACTTCGGTTTCTTCTTCCAATAACAACTGAGGTTCTTCCACAAACCCGTCTTCAGCCGAGTTTACTTCTTCTTTCACAAGACTGTGATTGTAGATGGGTTGTGGCTCTTGAGCTGGAGGTGGTGATTCGGGAACAACTGAAAACTATATGTTGAAATTAAACTACCGTTTTCAGACCAGTGCTACAGTAATCATGACGACCTCCAGCTCAAAAACCACAATAACTTTTAATCTAACTTGAAAACTCGACCTGGCTCTGGTGCTGAGAGCTTGGCGCTCTGTGCTCTTTCCACTGTTCTCGGTGGTATCCCCTCCGGTAGTGGGATCTCTAAAACACAAATGTTCAGCTAGTCTGTGCTTTCTAAATAATATTGTGGACTCGAGATTGAGCATCAAAAGACTTGTATGAAATTTGCCCATAAAGACTCAAAGATCTTTTAAAAATCCAGATTTTATTATTCATCCTTTTGCACATTTTTGGTGGTTGATTTTTTCGTGGTTAATTTAAACTTTTATATGTATTACTTATATTAATTCGGTATATTAAAGTGAAAGATTTACCGAGGATTGTTCAGTTTCCAAACCCTGAAAAGAGGTTTGGAAACTGGGCAATCCTCGATCCTTGCTATTCCCTTCACGGGCTCGTTTCTCTGAAAAGTTGAATGATCTTGATGACAGGATGACGGGAACTTGTTCTATTGGGCCTCTTATACCTCTTGTACTAATATATCGTGACCAATATACCAATATATTCGAATAAACCAACCATCCAGCGGCACCTTCCATTCAGGCGTTACCCAGCGATATGTTGGGCGCTTTATTGGATCTCTTTGCGGTGAGCTACTCTTTCGTTTATTGATTTGACTCGTTGAATTTAATTTATCTGAATATTCAGTTTTAATCATTCACAGAACTATTATAAACATTTAAAAAGGAAAAACATTTAAATATTTAAATATTTAAATATTTAAATATTTAAACATTTAAACATTTAAAAAGAAAAACCTTTTGACAGTGGACTGATGAAACGATCCGTTAGCACGTTGGCATTTCTCGGATCTTAAAGAATAAGTTCTTTCAAACATTTCAAGATTTATCAAGTTTAAATTTAATATCTAAGCTTTAGTTTTCAACAAAAATCAATCACCAATATTGTTCTGAGATCGTTTATTGATTGATGATCGCTTTCGATGATTTAAAAAGTAAATTTGATCATTTCAAAGTTTTAAACATAAACTAAACAAGCTTTATCACTGTAATGTTAAACAAAAAAAACATTTGTGATAACCATGACCAAATGTTTGACCTCTTTCCTCATACCCAACCCATTCCTCCCTACAATTTTCACTTAATACTCACTCGATTCTTCGTTGATGAAAGAAATCCGGCACTGCGTCTTGTCGTTGTTGTTCTCAAAGTGGATTTCTTTTAATTATTTTAATCTTTGATCTATTTTAGTCTTTTGTTTAGGTTAAATCTATCCAAAGTATTAGATATTTTAGAAAACTTACTATTTTTGGTAATGGCACATTAGATGGCAAACAAATCGGCTCATTATGCCAGAAATTCCAAGTTGTGGCGGCGATTCTTCGGCCAAGTTTCTGGAAGGGATACGATTTTAGATTAGATTGTATATCTAAAAGTTTAATGATTACTGTATTAGTACAAACAGAGCAAATCTCATCATGGGACGATGCTTTCCGATGCTTTACACATTTCAATGTTTCCTCGTCAAGCTCACAACGTCCATTCGGATTTTTTCGAAGGAAATCTAAGCAAAGTTATTACTAAGACTTTATAATATTATCTAATATTATCTATTATTATAATATTTCAAATAAATCACCATTTGACTCACGTCGAATCTCAAACATTAGCTTTTGAAGGTTTTTGAAAAGATAAGGAACATAACGCTGGAAAGGTTATTGTTATGTTTTATGTACTTATCTGGAAAGTACTTATCAATTCGAAAACATCAAAACAACTAACCTTTCTCATAAAGAATGGCACAAGCATTTTTGGAATCACATTCAAATTCTTCATCTCGTTCAAATAATTCAACTCGACGCGTGAATCGTTTTTCCATCTAAATAAAATTTGAAAACTATTTAAAAGCCGTGTTCCTTGAAGATGAGAGTTAATTAAAATAGTGTGACATCCAGCTAAGTAAAATTTCAAATTTTTAACAACGGTTTTCAATTAGGAATTTGAGATTTTCCCCCAACCAACTCACCTCGTCGAGCACCTCGATGAAAGGACACATGACGGTACACTCGTCGTCCAGCAGAGCTGTTCTTTAATTTTCTTTAATCTCAAAGTCTTTTTTGCTTTTCATACGTCGTTGCTCTTTCTTGCCTATGTACCATTTTTTCGTGTTCTTATCGATTTTCGGCAACACTGCCCTCAGCTCGTCGATTGTCAACGCGTCAAAATCAAGATCCTTCTCCTCTTCCAGTTCTAGAAAGAGTCTACTTTTAAAGGTTAAAGATATTCTATCAATATTTCAGTACCTTATAGCACTTCTACGATTACTACAATTAGAAAAGTCTTATTGCAATACTTGTACAATTGTATCGTGTACACTTGCACAATTGTACTTTGTACAGTACAATTGTACCTTGTACACTTGTACAATTGTATCTTGTACACTTGTACAATTGTATCTTGTACAGTACAATTGTATCTTGTACAGTACAATTGTACCTTGTACACTTATACAATTGTATCCTTAGATCTTTCACCATTATCCAGACAATTCTTACCGTAGATCTTTGCTTGAATCGTTGCCTCTTTTGATTGAATCATGTGTATCTGATTGGGTAAACGAAACGACTCAACACTGAATTTCAACATTTATCATAAATCCCTTTTATAACTGACTTCTGTGAAGCGCTGGGATTGATGAGTCGCTTCGCTTCACTCAAATGTTGCCACGAGTTTTGGCTAAGGGGTAACTTGTTGTTGAAGATGTTTTGGACACTTTCCTGAACATTTTGGCATTACATTTAATGGTTGATCGAATAGGTAAAAGTGATTAGATGAAAAACATCTAAATATATATTAGGGTGGTGCAAAAGGAACTGCCGATTTGACGGTAAATTCAAAAAAACAACATCAAAGCGAGAAATCTTTATTTATCGAAATATTCACCACAAGCATCGATGACTTTCCTTCATCGAACGCGAAGAGACCGAATGCCATCTCCGAAGAACTGGGACTCCTGGGACTCAAAATAGTTGAGCACCCAGTTACGGATCTCATCATCATTCTTGAACTGCTTCTCCTTCAGAAAGTGCTGCATCGAGCAAAATAGGTGATAATCACTTGGAGCCATATCAGAAGAATATGGCGGGTGAGGCAGAACTTCCCATCCAAATTCTTTAATTTTCTGCTGTGTGATTTTCGCAACGTGCGGCTTAGCATTGTCATGCAAGAGCTTCACTAAAGTCATGTTCGCACCCTGGCGTTCCATTGCTTTGTACACTCCGTCTAGCTGATGAGCATACAAGTCCACAGTGACCGTTTCTTCTATGTTCCAGTAATTCAAAGTACACCAAACCCTTGCTGTTCCACCATACAAGACAATAAGATCTTCTTCCCGTGGATTTCGGGCCTTGGGGTTGGAACAGAACGCTCGCCGGCGCTCAGCCACTGTCGTTCTCGCGTAAAGTTGTCGTATGCAATCCATTTCTCATCCGATGTCACGATAGAATCAAGAAATCCGTCATTCTTTGCACGATACAGGAGAATTTAGCGAGGTTAGCTTCACTGAGTTGATGAGGGACCCATCTTCCACAACGATTTTTCTTTCCAATAGCGTGAAGATGGCGTTCGATGGTGAAATGATCACAATGAATATTTTCCCAAGATCTCGAGCAGATTGGCATGGATCGGCCTGAATAACGTCCCTCAGCTTGGCTTCGTTCACGACTTATGGCCTCAAACCGTGCTCGTAATCTTCCAAAGTCTCGTCTCCCTCTCGGAATCGTTGAAACCAAGTCTGACACTGCCTGAGAGACAAACAAACTGCCATCTCGGAAAGCAGCACAGAGAGAACGATGCGATTCGGCAGCAGACTTTCCAATTTTGAAATTAAACAGTAATTGTAAAGAAATATTGTTCGCGTGCTTGGTACTCTTCACTCAAGACACGTTATTTCTTGTTTCGAGATATCTGATCTCACTTGAACTAAAAACACTTTATTCAATAGCCGACTGACTCGGAATCTCACTTGAGCAATTTTCACACAAGATCGACAATTGAATTAAAAGCGACGATAAAAAACAGAAACAACTTCGTCCTAATTAGGACACAACTTTCACACAATGAGAGGAAAGCAGAAAGAAAAAAAAATGAAAGATAACAAAAAAGGGGGTGGGACAAATGCGACCTTTTTTTTGCGCACCTGGACATTTGCGCACCTTTTTTTTGCTGGAAAAGGCCTTAGGAAAGGTCGTAGAGCTTCGAAAATGTTTCCATACTGGGGAATCGTATGCGTAGATTCCGAATTTCGACAAATCAAAGCAAATCAGACCTCGCTGACACGTTAAATTTGAGCTAAAATGCAAAAACTACGCAACTTAACGCTTTTCCGCAGTTTTTGCCTTTTAGCCCAAATTTGACGTGTCAGCGAGGTGTGATTTGTCGAAATTCGGAATCTACGCATACGATACCCTTCTATGAAAACATTTTTGAAGCTCTACGACCTTTCCTAAGGCCTTTTCCAGCAAAAAAAAGGTGCGCAAATGTCCAGGTGCGCAAAAAAAGGTCGCATTTGTCCCACCCCCACAAAAAAAACAAAATGAACAACAGTGCATAGGCTTTAACACAAGATACTCAGCTAACAAGCTACAAAACAATAAATGATTTGGGGCGCGAAATAGAATGAAGGCGCACCGATTTCCTCAATATTTGTTCAATTTTTTTTAGGCTGTCAGAGTTAGATAACTTTTAGTGGCTATTCGCCACAGTAATGCTGCTCGTAGCACAAACTTTTAGTGGCTATTCGCCACAGTAATGCTGCTCGTAGCACAAACTTTTAGTGGCTATTCGCCACAGTAATGCTGCTCGTAGCACAAACTTTTAGTGGCTATTCGCCACAGTAATGCTGCTCGTAGCACAAACTTTTGCTCGACCATGATCTAAATAAAAAAAAATATAAGCATTTTTAAATAAAATTTTTAAAAAAACCAAAAAATTCAAATGTCGAAATAAATAGCAAACAAATATGCGAAAAAAAAAAAACATTAAAAAAATAATGCCGTTAGCATCGCTCGTTTCTGATAAATGAGAGCTGATACCCATCGGCAGTTTCTTTTGCACCACCCTAATAGTTGTCATAAAGCTTGCTTAATCTTCCCTTTTTCCTTGCCCACTCACTTGTGCAACACTCTTCGGGATGAAATGTCGACAATTGATTGGTATCTCTTCCTCATTAAGCCTTTTCCACAATTTCTTCTGATTCGTAGCGATCTCCTTCTTGAAATTCTCTCGTTCTCCATTGAAGAAGTTGACTTAAAATTTCTAGCTTAACTACTACAGTATTTGAAAATTTTCTAAAATAACTAGCTATTGTAATAAAAAAATCTAAACGTGTGAGTTCCAGATTAAAAAATTCTCCTTTCAAAACCCACCAATCAACTTCTCGTCACTCAAACAATCCTCGATCACCGGCGCCAGCAAATCGGTCAAAAAGTCGAGCGCTTCCTGAAATCCCCTCAATATGAGCAATAAGAGGAATTTAGCCAAAGCTTTTGATTGATATTTCTTTGAACTGACACTCAATTCGAAGCTGTGTTGATTCTCGACATTCTCCCCCCTGATCACCTTCAATGTCTCTTCGGGGATCACTCCAAAGTCGACGAATTTCTTCGCCAACTCGTCGCTCGTGCTTTCGACACTAGAGAGAAAATACAATGAAAGCTGGTTGATTTTATGAATGTAAAGTGGCTGCGTAAACTGTCAAAAATGAGCTTACTGTTTCGGCCCGATCACTTCTCGTTTCGATACACCGCAAATCGCCGGATAGCGCTCAATTTGGAGGAAAATTTGGTTCTCTGAATAATCTTTAAGAATTACTTTTCATAGATAATTCGCAGTCGATTTGTGATTGTCTTTTTACCATTGATAAATAACTCACCTTCACTTGGGCATTTCCCGCATTGCAGCTGTGAGTTAAGCTTCCGTGCGAGGGTGCCCAGAAAGCGGGTTATTTGGAAATTCCCTTGAAGGTAGCGTGGGCTCTGAATATATATATATATATATATGTCGTAGCCGATTATGATTCAAATGATTTCGCTAGCGAACGAACAGGACCAGGCGAATCTCTCGGAGTCACGGAAGCGGGCAAAACAATCAACCAAAGCGAGTGGTTAAGAAGGAGGAGCTCTTCAATCTACTGATGGATACTCACAAACGACTAGGACACGCTGGACGCAATATTATGTAGAAGGAACTTCGCGACTATCATGGAATATCAAAGGAGATTATTGAAATTTTTGTCAAGCTTTATGATGAATGCGAGCTGAAGAAGGGTATACCCAAGAAAGGCATTGTTATAAAACCAATTGTGACAAAAGAACAAAATGAGCGATGTCAAATCGATTTGGTTGACCTTCAATCGGTGCCCGACGGTGACTACAAGTTTTTGATGCTTTGAAGTGAAGTGCTGAAGAAGTGCCACATGTTGAGATGTTGTTTCGAGCCGCGGTTGGAGCCGAGTCTTTGACTGAATCGAAAGGTGTGTCTATTTTAATCTAGTTCAGCGATATTAAGTCAAATTCATTTCAAAATTGATACTATTTCTTATTTTCGGCCATAAACATTGCAACTGCACAAATGGATGTTTGAATGGACGCTGTGCCTGTCGAATAGCCAATGTCCTCTGTAATAGCCGATGTCACCATAGCAATTCCTGCTTGAACAAGGGATAATTTTGTAAACCTTTGTTAATCTCCTGGCCTGTTAATTTTGTTATTGTTATTGTTGTTATGTCTGTCGTTATTGTTTAACTCTAGATAATTTGTTAATATGTTTTCGTTTACATTCAACAAAACGTGGTTAAAACGTCAGGAGTGACCTTGACAACAACAGCACTAGCAACAACAACAACAACAACACTTTGACAACAACAGCACTAGCAACAACAACAGCACTAGCAACAACAACAACAACACTTTGACAACAACAGCACTAGCAACAACAACAACAACAACACCTTGACAACAACAGCACTAGCAACAACAACAGCACTAGCAACAACAACAACACTAGCAACAACAACAACAACAACAACACTTTGACAACAACAGCACTAGCAGCAACAACAACAACACCTTGACAACAACAGCAACAACAACATTAAATATCAACATAATAATTTGCCTATAGATATTTTATTCATGACCTGAGATAAAGTGCGGTAGATTTAAGATGAATACACACGAGTTCATACACCTATCCTTCCACTAACCGTGGGATTAACTTTGAATAAATCTCGAAAAAGAGGGATAGATTGCCCGTCCTTTACAATTTTCAAACATTCTATTAAATCCGTGACCGAGCGGCGATGTCTAAGAGATTTAAGATCAAAAATTTTGAGTCTATCTGTGTAAATAAAGTTTGCAAATTTGGAAAAATCGTTTTTCCATAGAGCTATCTTAGTATATCTCTGATGGATTTTTTTCTAGGCGAGAGATATCAACTTGTATGCAACATTTATGCAGTGTATGTGGAGACCAAACTATAGATGCATACTCTAGAATGGGTGTAGGACCCAGAATACTTCCTTGGGGTACACCGCTAGAGGAATCAAAGGACGGGGAGAGAGAGAGAGAGAATCGTTTCGAAGAACTTTGAAAGTTCGCTGAGTAAGGAAAATTTCAATAGCTGAAATCATCGAGGGGCAGCTTTTATATGCATTTAGTTTGTGAATTAAGAATTTAATAGGGACAGAGTCGAAAGCTTTAGCAAAATCTAAAAACACAGCTTCAAGCTGATCGTGTAAGCACTGTTGTTTTTGATCGAAACCAGTAAGCACTCTAGAAAGTCTTCTTAATACCAAAAGCCGAGAGGTTATCTGAACTAGACGCATTTTTAAGGCCGTAATTTCGAAAAAGCTTTCTGAATGTCCGCTAGAAATCTGGCTGCACTTTCAATTTGCTTTAAATATTAAAAAAAATTTTTTTAAACTAACAGTTACACTAGATTTCCTGGTTAGCCACCTTTTTTTTTGAGATTTAAACTCACCTCCGATAGCACATTCTCCCACAAGATCTCCTTGTCACGATTTCTGTGCATTTCTGCAGTTTTGTGTCGAAGAAAAGGTCTTCAGTGAGAAGATTTCTTCTAAAAAAAAAAAAAACACAAAAATTATTCAAAAACTCTGCAGAGAATCAAATTTCTACAATATTTCCATCCAAAAAAAATGAGTTCCCACAAAGGAAACCTCAAAAAAAAAAAACAAAAAAACAAAACCCCAATTCGTTTCTGTTGGCGTGTGATTCATTTTTTTGAAAAAATCTCTGTAATTTCTATGTAAGCAGAAAAATCGGGGTAGGCTAGTTTCCGCAACAGGGCCATTTGCGCAACTGGGTCATTTGCGCAACAGGGCCATTTGCGCAACTGGGTCATTTGCGCAACTCACCATAACTTTCTTCTAATAACATCTTTATGATTTTGGTCTCATTTTGTAGATCTCAATAAGTGCAACAAAATGAAATCAAAATCATAAAGATTAGCCCACTTAGAAGAAAGTTATGGTGAGTTGCGGAAACGACCCAGTTGCGCAAAAAAAAAAGTTGCGGAAGCTAGCCTGCCCCGAAAAATCTCTAAATTTTGATATAAAATGAGATAAATTACAAGATATAAATGCAAATTTTTGAATGGAATTTCCTCAAAACAGAAAAATTTGTACCCTTTTTGAGCAAAATAAAGGTTTTTTTTTTTTAAAAGTGAAATTATGCTATGCTATGAAAATTTCAAATTCGAACCCACAAATTAAACCCAATCAGATAATCGGAAAGGGAAATGCGAGAAAGATCGATGCTTAATGCTTAGCCATAGAAAAGTTACACTCGAAACCTAATTCCTCCATCGTTTTCTCGTCCGTTTCTTCATCGATTGCTCTTGGCAAAATGAAGCCCCGCCCACTGGACCACCCAACTATTTTACCACCCAAGTGATGCCCCACTCAACTGAAATTGCTAAAAAAGAAAACAAAAGAGCCAAGAGATAAGAAAAAAAGCGAACAAGTGAACAATGGTGACCCATCAATGATGACCCATCAATGATGACCCATCAATGGTGACAATTTCCCCTTTTTCAAATCAGTCACATTTTTTGTGTGAACCAAATTTGAAAACGATCCAAAGATTCGCTTCTTGTTTTCTTTTCTTTCCCAAAAAGTGAAAAGGCTTACAAGGAAATGTGAACTGAGTGTGGTGACCAAATGACATGTGCCACGGGTTATTCGATGCAGAATTCAACGCCGATTCCGAAACTGTTTTCCGTTTCTGCTATCAAGCACTCAGTCAAAAGTTAGAAGCATGCAAAGTTTTGTATGGTCTTTCAAAAATCACCCGGAGCTTATAAGCAGATTTTCGAGAGATTTTAAGAGGCAGTGGTGGCCGATTGGCAATGGGCAATGGCAATAGCAATGGCAATACAAAGCAAAAGCTCTCTAGTTCTAGTCGGTCGTTCTACTTTTTTGGATTACTATTATACAAATAAGTTTATTTTACTGTTATTTTAGTAAAAATGTTTATTTTCAACTATTAACATCAAATAGCTATCATTAAAATTTAAAAAAAAAGAACTTTAACATTGATGATGTCGATGTAAATCGTCGATGTAAAAAGATGAAAAGGGAAAAGCATAGCATTGAATACATTTATGAAAAGCATAACATTGAATACATTTACAAAAAGCATAGCATTGAATGCATTTACGAAAAGCATAGCATTGAATGCATTTACGAACAGCACAAGACTTAAAAGTCAATTTGTATTCTCACCAGGGAAAACATCAAATTTGAACAAAAATCTTTTTGAGAGTATCGAATGAAAATCGCGAATCGTCATTTGATGTCAAAGTTTTATTTTTAATGATACCTTTTTTTGATGTCAATAGTTATAAGTAAACATTTTTTTTGGGAAGTATTTTAAAATAGAGAACAATTAACTTTGCAAATCTAAAAGAGCAAAAGAAAGAAGTAGAACGACGGACTCGAATTAGAAAGTCTTTGCCTGCTTTGTAGTCTAACTCATTGACACTCGGCCATTCCTGCACTCATACTGCCAGTTAATACTGTCGAGAACAATTTGATTCTTCAATTTACCGTAATTCCGATTCCAAAAAAGAGCAAAAGCATTTTGCTTCTTTTGCCTAAAGAGATTTCCCATTGAACATCTCATAATTTATTTTCAATAGCAAAAACAAAACAAGACGAGAAAACAGAAAAAAAAAAACAAGAGATTGGACCACACAACCAAAAGACACCGATCAGCTGCTCAAAGAAATCAAATTTGGGGATTATGCTGTAATTGAGAGAAAATCAACGAGAAAAGCTCAATATCGTTGTTCACGGAAGATTTCCGAGAATTGACGCTTCCAACGGATTCCATTCGGAAGACGAAGAAGCAAACGGGGCGCCGCCTCATCATGAATCGGTGACAGAACCTGGAAATTGAAGGATTTTGAGTGAATTTTCAATTTTCAATTCCAAGCACTCTACGCACCGTTATAGCACCCTTTCTGTACCCCACAGTACGACGTAACGATTGAACTTTATGCAAAACCCAATTCTCACTACCAAAAAACCCACCTTGAGCAATCGACACGATTCCCATTTTCCGCTTTTGAAGTCCTGCGCCAAGAATTTCTCGTCTGCCTTCACGTGTTCTTTGCTCGACACTGGTAAAAGCACAACCTCTTTCCCGTCAATCTAAAGTAAAGAATGAACTTGACTTTAATTTCGCACTGTAATCTACACACAGTTTTACAGTCTCTTTCTACCATCTAATATTGTTATTGCATAAATGTAAACTATAGTGAGACGTAAAAAACCCACCATAACCGATACCCGCTGCACCGGATCATCGAAAACTCCTTGTCGATGTCCAAATTGTGGCGATCGACTTCTCGACCTCATCCTCCTTTCATCGCCATTTCTTCTCTCGTATCGTCTACTTCCTCGCCAATCTCTTTCCGTTGAGCGATCCCTCTGTGATCGAGATGACGTCGAGGCACTCCCTGATTCCACTTTCTTTCGTTTCTCCTCCAGCGCTTGATTGAGCAGTTGCTGCAGCTGGGTGAGCATCCCCACCTAAATGATAGAATTAACATTTAGGCGAAGAGCTTAAGGAACTTTCTCATTCAAAATTCAGTACCTGTTGCTGCTCGGTCATCACACGCGCCTGTTCGCCCAATTCGCTCACCGCCTGCATCAGTGACTCTAGCATCTCAGCATCGGAAACAGTCTAAAACAGAAAATTTACATCTTAACCATTTTAGTTTCAAAAATCGTATTTTTAAACTAAAACCACAATTTCCTCACCTCAACCCTTCTCTCCAAAATCTCGAGTGTTTCCTCGCAATCGGTGGCAATGCGTTGAATCTTGTGGATCGGATCGCCCGGGCTAAGCCACATCAAACCCTAAAAGAAGAAAAATATAAAGGTTAGTATGAAAAAGTTGGTGTTTACCTTCAGTTGGCTAAATTATAGTCATTTTCCAATTTAAACTTCATAAAGCAAGTTGCCAATCTTAAAGTACGGACTGATTTAATCGCAAAACTCCACAAGAAAGTGTTTTGCTCATCTTTATAAATCTGTTTCATGTTTGAGCAAACTGCCACATCCAAAACGCTTCTTTCAACTAAAAATTCCCAATTACCTGTTTCACAAATTGATTGCCTTCTCGTACTAGACCGAAAGCAGTGCCCAATCCGTACCCATTCACGCCTTTTCGACTTGTCCACATCACTTTCTCCTCTTGTTTCGGCGCGCCAAAATTCGCGTACGCGTTTAGAATCGGAATGGCCGCATGCGGATTATAGTTCTGCGGTGGTTTCGCCGGATTTGAGGCTGCAGAATAGGCTGTCGTTGCTCCGAACGTGGTACTTGGCAGCATGTTCTTCTCAGCATAGGTGGCTGCTCCAAATTGACTTGGGTTCGTTATTGTTGCACCAAACGTCGAGCTTGTCATCATTTTGTTCCTCTCGACCAATTCTTTCTCCTCACGCAATCTTCTCTCCAAATTGTCCTTTTCCTCTCTCAGAATTTTCTCCCGAATTTGCTCCTCTAAAATTCGCTCCTTTTCTTTCAACTCCGCCTCAACTCTGCGTCGAATCTCCAGCTCGGTGAAGACGTGGGTCGTCGGCACAATTTGAGATGCACTTTGAGGCACAATCACCGGTGGAATGAACGGTGACTGTTGTTGCATCATCGGCAATCCATAAAAATCCACCGACACTGGCTGGCGATTCAAAATCTGAGAGGCTCGCAAATCCTGGGTCAACGAACCATTGTAGGGCAAATTGACAGGCTTGGTTCCTCCGACGAAACGAGGAACCGCTGGTTTCGCGGGACTTTTGATGGCCGCTTGTCGCTTTTTCATCTCCATTTGTTGAATGAGCAGGGTGCAGCGCTCCAAACTGTGTCCATACTCTTGACAGTGAATGCAGCGTTGTGATGAGGAGATGCCCATTTGTTGGCTACTTGATGGATAGTCGCGAATGTGACCGACGGATGGAGGGACGTCTCGTTGATTCATCGGATGCTCTGGGATTTTCTGAAATAAAAAAATTAAACTAGCAAACTGGCTTATAAGAGCTTATATGGCAATTCACGCAAAAAAAAGCTTTGGTTCTCTAAAACAATAACTTTCATGGTCTAGAATAGAAATTTTCACAAATCAGACCAGGATTACGGTAGCTCTAGTGCAATTTGGCAAATCCTACGCAAATTTTGATACGTAACAGCCGCTTAAACAGCACTTTGCGCTCTGTACCGACTTCGTAAGCTCGCCGAATCGCCTTGTCGAAGAGTTTCTTCAATCTTTCGATCACAATTGGTTCCAGTTCGCGTGCCGTCATCACATCTGATGGCCAGAGCTCTAAATAAAAACCTAAACGCGAAAAAACACCCGCACACACCTCTTCCCATGAAATCGCAAATGTTTATGATCGCTTCACCTGCTGGACGCATGTGCGGAATACGGATTTTCTAAAAAAAAAAACACTTCCAGAACAGTTTTATTGAGCAAAATTTGCATATTCTCGACAAGATTGCCTTGCAAAATCTCGTAAAACAGTTCATACAGCCCGTTCGAAAACTTTTCTTGGCTTTGGTTTGGTCTTGATTTTGACCTTGATTTGAATAGCCCATAAGTGCTAACGATTCTATTTTCCAATGTTTCTTTTTCACATGCAATTTTATGCTGAAAATATACAAAACTGACTGCTTTTCCATCCATGAGACTAGCGGTCTCGCAGAGTTCCCTCGTGAAAATCCCCAATTTTAGGCACTTGTCCGACAAATCTTTTGCAGCAGACGCGCGAGCCTCGTGACTTCTAAAAGAAAAACTTAGCCTGTACCTAGCATGCTGACGACCGACCATGGACCTTTTGCTAAATAAAATTTTGTGATTAAAGCCTTCTCTCGACTTTTGTATTCCCTTGCCAATCGCTGAATTGAGAGTTTAGTGCGACCAAATGGACCAAATGGCTGTCTCGATTGGCCTGGATGCTTCAGAAAGTTTGGATTTATTTTTCATTCACTAATTGATTGATTCTAAAAACTTTACGTTCATCAAGGCCTCTGGCTTAAATTCAACAGCAACTTCTTGTCATTTGGTTTACCAATTATTTCTTTCAATGTTTTACTTCCATCAATATTCATTTTCGATAATCCAACAAGTTGATTTCGTTTTTGATTTGGTCATCCGAGATCTTTTCTTGATTTTCACTTCGACTTGCATTTTTATTGTCCATCCATTGCTCGTTGTTCAATTTGGTAAGTTGTTGGCTTCCATACAAGATTTCTTTTGACATTTTGTACTTAAGCTCTGTTGCTGAATAACTTGTCTCAAACTACTCCAAACAATTGCTTTGGAAATATCACTTTAGATATTTCACGAAATTTCACGGGATTGTGATATTGTCTAAAAATCATCTCTGATGACACTTGTCATTTTGTCTCAGCCTTTCATTTTGCTTTTTGTATCCTTTGGAATGATTTACCAATAGTCTACCATTGCTTCGAAAGTCAAATATTCCTTTAACTTTCAATTGGTAATCATTCTTTAGCTTTGAATCATTCGAGTCTTTAACTCAAATTTTACTGTTTGTAGCTTTTTTGTAGCGGTTTGCTTTCTTTCAGTAATTCAATCATTTGCTTCAATTATCGACTTCGATTCTTGTATCTTTTGTTGTACAATTGACTGTTGCATAGAATTTAGTTGGGCCATTTAACCAGGCACTCCAGCTTTTAATCAATCTTTGTCCATCATTGCCTCCACAAGACCACAATATCATGGTTTGTTTCATACGTTGTTCTATTTCAAAGCTCGTCGCATTGCTCTCATCGATCTCCAAATTGTAGCTTACCAATCACAAATTACCAGGTGTTGTTTTTGTAATTTCCTATTCAAGAGAAAGTTTGGAAAGATTAAATGGGAAATCTGGATAAACACGCCGATTTGTATGTTCATTGTATTTAAATGGTTTGTTCCATAATCTAACATTGCAAAAAACCAGTACCATAAAAAAAATTCTAAAATTACCATAGCATGTGTCAGTTAACTATGTATAGGGTGTTCCAAAAAAAGTCAGTTCAGCGCGATTTTTCTCAGAATTTCTAGTGGCTGGTGGTTGTTGTGGTGCCAAAGTGAATATTTTGGGCGGGTAAATTTTTGATATTTTGTGACTTTTTCTTTTTCAATTAAAACTTTGTACTGGCATCGTGGTGTCATATTAGAGTTAATATATAAACTAAGCTTTTATATAAATTTATTATATAAACTAAGATTTTTAACCAAACACTTTATCATCTACATTATATGATAATCTGTCATACATAATAGATTTCCAAGTCGCCTCTTTTTAAAGTGTCCGGTTTTCCCAAGGAAACGCTGATCAATAAAGTGTATGCTTAAAATTTGTAGTTATTCTAATAGTGTTTATTATGCACCACGACGCCAGTACAATTATGGCAAAAGTCTCATGCTGGTGGTCCATATGGTGGTGGAGACCATGGTGGCTCAGAAATTTCATGTATTGGGGAGTCATGAAATCGGGAAAAAGTCACAAAATATCAAAAATGTACCCGCCGAAAATATTCACTTTGGCACCACAACAACCACCAGGAGCCACTAGAAATTCTGAGAAAAATCGCGCTGAACTGACTTTTTTTGAAACACCCTGTATAGTTTAATCTCATGTTCCTACTTATCATTGCAAAATATAAACACTCAACAAGACTTACTTTGCACCGAAACCGCTTCCGAAGAAAACACCGCTCGGCAGGCCTTCAATGACGAGCTCACAGTAGAGTAGACGACTTCGGGCATGCTCGAGCTCCCTCGGCAACATGATTCGACTCTTTTCGGCGGGTGTCGCATCTAAACAAAATGCTTTGGATCTTTGTTAGGAGAAATAACAAAATATATGCTAAATCAAAATTCAAAACTCACCCTCAATCAACTCCTTTAGCTTCAGCAAATCTCCCTTTCGTTTTCGCCCATGGTAGTTCACTTGATCGAGGAAATGGCGAAAGAACTAAAGGTACGAATTAGAAATTGAAACTGTTGAGATTGTTGAGACAATGCTTATCGTTCAATCTTTTTATGTTAAACAAAAAAACTAACAAAGTAGTAATTCTCCTGGACGTACACGATTCCGTCGCGAATCAAATCGTGCGGCACCGAGAAACGAGATGAACGAGGCCTAAAATGGAAAAAAGCTTCATCAGTAAATTTATCATCCGCATTTTCAAGTTGCAAACTGTAAACTCAACTTGTAGTCATTAATGTTATGAGAATTAGTGATGTTTGTTTAATGTCAAGTAACGTGCGGTAATGAATTAGGATAGGCCATCTGTTTACATCCGCCTTCAATATTTTGACAATTTCACCTACCCCCAATAATTGCTTAGCTCGATACTGAAGAAAATTCACTCGTGTCAACGCTTTTTGAATTTTAGCGGCAAATTTGTAATGTAAACTACGCATCACAGTCCAGATTTACACTTCAACTCTTCTCACCTCTCCCGTCGTTCCGACCGACTCGTTGCCGCTGCTTGAATTTTTCCCTAGCCGCTTGGATCTTCTGACTGGGCTTTGAGTCGTCCTCGTCATCCGACTCGATAACAATCTAAAGTGATTGATGAATTTTTCGTCAACAGGCTCACTGCCACAAATTTTTATTTGGCTTAAAAGAAAAAACCATTCACTAGAATTGCAAAGTTTTAAAATCTTGCCATTTCAACCGATCGACTCATTCCACTTTACATCCAGCAAAAAAATGGACAGCTCTGTAAAATTTCAATAAAAAGTATGTTTTTAAAAAGTGCGATAAGATATCCAAAAGGTCAAACTTCGCAAAATGATTTGCATGCAGACTTGAAAAAGTTTATCAACAAAAAAAAAAGCATAAACATCAACAACAATGAAGTAACAATAACAGTCAAAAATTTAACAAGAAATTTCAAAACATAACAATCGGTAGGAAGCTCCATTATCGTTTCGCCAATTTATCCTTTATCTTCGGCCCTCCTTTCTGATTCTGATTTTTGAGTCGTTTTTTGAAACGGCCACCCGCTTTCTCTTCGGTGTCCGAATCGTCATAAGTTCTGAAATGAAAAATATAAGTCAAGAATTTAGTCGTATAACAAAACTTTTACACAAAAACATTAGATTTTAAATTTCCCCACCTCTTTCCCCGTTTCTTCCGCTCCTCGATCTCTTTGAGCTCTTCACGTGCCGCTTTCATTGCCTCATTCGTCCTTTCTACCAAATGCATAACATCATCGGCCACGCACGGGTAATCGGTGAGCTTTTTGCCTTAACAATGGAAAGTTTAACTCAAAATTTCACAAATAACTCACCAATATGTGCCTCTATTCTTTGATATTCGGCTACCTCATATTGTGTGACAAAAGTGATCGCCAATCCGGATCTGCCTGCGCGAGCCGTTCTTCCAACCCTAGAAAAGCAAACTTTATCCCCCAACTAACAATAACGTACCTGTGTACGTAATCTTTCGCTTGCCCAGGTACATCGTAGTTGAGCACATAGTTCACCTCGGGGATGTCAAGACCTTCAAAAGCTTTTATGGTGTAAAACAGCTAAATAACCTCGTGATGCTACATCTGTACAGACGAGAATATTTCGGGAACCCGTCGTAAAAGCATTCAACGCGCCAAGACGTTTTTGCTGAAAAAACGAGTATTCTAAGTACTAATTGCATTTTACTATGTCTCATACTATAACAAACCTGTGTCATTTGTCCATGCAGTGAGACGGCCGCCATTCCCAATTGTCTCAGCATCCTTGCAATTGTGTCAACGGAAAGGCATGTAGCCACAAAAATAATTGCCAGCTTCGGCCGATCAATTCCAGTCGTCTTGCCGGCCAACTCGTTCAACAAGTAAACAAGATAGGACTCCTGAAAATGAATAAAATTAAAATTAAAATAAATTCAAGCAATAAACTGACTTTGTACTTTTGTGGAACGAAGATATACTGTTGCACCAACGTGTCGACCGTCTTGTACCGAGAGTTCACTTCAACTCGAACAGGATCTCGCAAAGAGGCTCGTTCCAACTTTTGCACCTAAAGCCATACATATTCTGGAATCCTTCAGATTCCGAATTTGTTTCTAGTTGCATAACTTACAAAACTATCTCAATAACTAAAAGCATAAAAATGAGCCGAAAATTGTTTCCCGTACCTTTTTCGTCATTGTGGCTGAGAAGAGATAGGTCCGTCGCTCACGTGGGATCACTTTCAAAATCTTATCCAAGTCAACCTAAATTTTCAAAAAGTTTGCAAAAAAATTATGAATTCATTACCTCAAAGTCCATGTTGAGAATGCGATCCGCTTCATCCATGACGAGAAATTTGAGAGCTCGCAGGGAGAAACCTAAAAAAATGTGAATGTCACAGCTTGCTTTTATCAGCTATTCATTACTTTTATCAAAACTAGCATAGCCATAGTTGATCATACTTTTAAATATGCCAATTGCCATTATCTAACTAACTTTCATATAAGAAGAAGGATTTTGTGAGTTTTAAGTACAACCCACCTTTCGTGTTCTCCAAATGATCAACCAAACGCCCGGGTGTCGCCACGATGATATGCGGTAGTTTAGCCAGTGCAATCGCTTGCGTCGTCATATCAACACCGCCGACAATCACCGCTAAAAATTAGTACTTTAGCAAGGTAAGCGTTCCTTTTCACAAACCTACTAACAGTCCAATCCGTGTGCCCAAATCCTCAAATTGTTTAGCAATTTGAAAGGCTAACTCGCGCGTGGGCGTCAATATCAACGAGAAGAGCTTCTGTGGGTGTTCGAGGAGTGATTGGAGGATTGGCAATGCGAAAGCGCCTGTCTTTCCCGATCTAAAATTGAAGAAATTACATAGTTCCATAAAGTCAATACTTTTCAGCTTCTGTTAAGTGACTACTCACCCAGTTTCGGCTAATCCGATGATGTCTCGTCCTGAAAGGGCTGCCGGTAGAGAAAGTCGCTGAATTTTCGACGGTTCTTTCCACCCGAGCCGCTCACAAGCTTCCACGAGGATTTCCGTCACTCCCTAAAAACTTATCTGTTCGATTTGTTATCAAACACCTATTTTTAACATAAACCAAGCTTTAAAAACTTTAAATCAGAACAAAAATAAGGATTTCAAATTTATCCTTACTTTATTAACTTGTCAACTTTTGAACAATTTAGCTTTCATGGTAGAATCTTCATTAAGAAAATAGGCAACATAGGCAAAATTTTTGCCAATTTTTTATAAGATGACTTTTAAGCTTGCTAACAACTTTTAAAAGCCACAAACCAATTCCGCAAACGATTTCGTATCCTCTTCAACCTCTTTTCCCACATCTTCTCCCGAATCGCTCTCCTCGTCGTTTTTCGCTCCATTCTTCACCTAAACATACATCATTGAGTAAAGACCATAAATTAAAGCCACAATTTTGGATAGAGGTCAAAGATTTTACAAGTCAATATCTTCAAGAATTCCTCACATTTTCATTCTGTTCTTTTTTCTTTTTCACGCGACTTTTCGACGGTTGAGTGGGCGCAGTTTTCACCAAAACTTCCTCATCGGACGAGTCGGACATCTAAAATGATAACACTATTTACTTTCCAAGTTCAAATAAGATTTTTAGAAGTTAAGAGAAGAGAAAACAAAGAAAATCTGGGTCTGGGTCAGTCGGGGCAGGTCAAAAACGCGGCGACAATTGTATTTACGCGTTCAGGGGCACACAACTCCGCACAAAACCACTAAAAATCGGAGAAAAATGAGACTATTATAGATTTGCGCTGACTTGACAAAAAATGAATCTTTTCATTCTTTCAAAAGCTTTTTGAACTTTTGTTTTATATTTTTTTTTGTTTTCAGTTACTCGTCACCTAAGCTGAATATCTTTTTACACATTACGTTTCCTTAAAATTACACTCATTTTTGACTCATTAACTCTTTTTGACTTCAGCCGTATCCTAAAACGTGCCCCTTCCCCTAAAACCATCGTAATCGTCTATAACTTTTGTCCAATCTATCCACCTTTTGGTCTAATTCTCTGTGGGTTCACAAGGAATATCAAAAGATACAAAAAGTGGATAGATTGGATAAAAATAAAGATAAGATTACGGCAGTTTCGGGGAAAGGGACACTTTTTAGGAAACGCTTTATTAGGCAACACGCGACTTGAGATTAAAACCCCGTCTGTCACTTTTCATGGCAGACATGTGCTCCTCTCATCACTTTCTTTTCCCATCCCCACTCTGCCATTCCCTCTCATTCTTTTCGAGTACGTCATGCAGAGAAATTGGGCAAAAAGCGGGTGATTCCACTGATCTCTTTTCTCATTTTTCTCCTGTTTCCTCCATTTTTTTCCTTCTTTTCTCTATCCGTTTGCCCCGCCGTTTCGATCACGAGGAACTCCCTTCAACCCCAAGAAAATTTTCGCTTCGAGTGTCCCAATGCTTCTTCCTTTTTATCGGTACGGCCCAGGGTCATGTGCGCATTGATACCCATGATCTTAGTCTTATAAAAGTTCTCTTATCTTTTGTGATTGGATCAAAGTTTCTAAACTTCTTTAACGTTATTGATTTTTAACTAGTTTTTTAAACGATTCTACGGTTAAATCGATGTCTTAAGGTGTATAAATAGCAGCTAGACAGCGCGTCAGATTACATCATTCTTCACTTTTTTTGGCAAAATCCGTAAAATTTTCAACTCTAAGCCATTTTTACTTTGTTTTTGCTATGATTTACTGATCTATATTAAATTTTTTCCTTCCAGAAACATCAAATTTCTGGGATGAGCCGTGCTCTCGGGAACTTCGGAAGACAAGTGAATCAGGTAATTAAAAAGCTAGATTTTTATTCTAAAACTAAAATGAAGCCTTGAGATGTTAACGTTGAAAAATTAAAGCATGAAAACTGTCATTTTGTTATTTATTTTTGTTTTTAGTTGGTGAGCGCTGGAACAAACGCGCCGAAGCGACCGACGACCGTTTTTCTCACGCATGTCAAATGGGTGACCGGACGAGGTACACGTTTGTCGATTTTTGTAGCCTTTTTCAGTGTTATGCAATATTTATTGTAGAATGGATTAAGTTTTAAATATGACTACATTTAAATAAACCTTTACTGGTAAATGAACTTTTTTTTTAGAGCAACTTCGGTCGTACTTCGGAAAGTTCGGCCAAATTGAGAAGATTTCCATGTTTTTTGTGAGTTTTATTTTGTTGCGAATTAAAAGCTTGAAAACAGTTGCTTTAAACCATTATAATAGTTTGATTGATTTGAAATTGAAGTTCTTTAAAATATTTTTTATTTTTAGGATCCCGAGACAGGCCTCCACCGTGGATTCGCCTCAGTCACCTATCTCGATCATCAGAGTGCCGCGATGGCGATTCAACAGAAACCGCATATCGTTGATGGAGATCGGGTGAGTAACATTTGAATTTGAAAGCAATCAGATCGTGCTCAGATTATACTGGCAGTAGTAGCTTAAAGCGTGTACGCTTGATCTAAAAAACATAAACAAATCTAGTCTAAACCTAGCTTTTTTTGTCAACTTTGATTTGCTTTAATCTTGTTGATTGGATACACGAGCTAAGTTAAAGTTGATCTTGGTTCAAAATTTTAAATAGTTACGTTGACTGGCAGTAGTAGCTTAAAGCGTGTACGCTTCATCTAAAAAACAAACAAATCTAGTTTAAACCTATCTTTTTTGCCAACTTTGATTTGCTTTAATCTTGGTTCAAAATTTTAAATAGTTACGTTGACTAAAAGTTAAAGGTATTGGGGTGTTGTATTATCTACATTACAATTTAATATTACCTACTTATTTATTTTTTTGCATTTAGGTTGATGTGGAACTGTTTGTGCCGATGAAATCGAAGAAGAAGAGTGTCGAGTTCACGATTTGAGATGAGGATTTTCAACAAAATGAAGTCTACTAGGTCATGAATTTCTTTTTTAATTCGGGTATTTCTCATGTCTCTAAATTTATCCATCGGCCCCCTGAAATTCTTCCATATTCCACATCAAAATTTTTGTCGAATCCAAGAATTTCATCGCCGATAAGCTTCATTTTCTGAGCTTTTCTTAAATTTTTCAAAGAAATTGCAGATTTTAATACTTACCGGTACCCCCTATTGACTAATTTTTGGCTTATTTTCTAGGCAAAAAGGCTCTCTTGCTCACGTTTTTGGTGATTATAAGAAAATTCTTTATAGGTGATGGTTAATTTGTTTATTTTTGAAGTCCTAAGATATTTTTCGTGTATGAAATGTACAAATGTTACTTCCCATCCCTACTTTATCGGCTTTTCGTTAGAATTATATACTGGTCATATCTCGTTTTTCGGATAAAATTTTTTTATGATTTCTATTCATTTATCGATATTTTCCTCTTTTGTGTTTATGATTTTCTCTGGCAGAGATTTTTATGGTTTTCCCCCGCCTTTTAGGAGTTAAGCTTATGAATAAACGTTGTTTCATTTTTGACGATCAGTTTTACAAATGGATTCTACACCTTTTAGTTACGATAGCCAATCTAGGATTAAGGTGGCTCGAGCTCAGGCACGTTTTAGGCACGCAGGTGGGGACAAGGTGACAGTATTCGCTTTAAAATGCTTTAGAACGAATATTGTGACCTTGAGTTGAAGGTTCGAAAAAGCTTACAAATGCTGTTTTCTAAAGCGTGTCTGAGCTGTATCCTAATCTAGACTGAATACCGTAATTCAGCTAATTTTCTAATTCAGCTAATTTTCTAAAGTTTCTAAAGTTTTCTAAAGCGTGTCTGAGCTGTATCCTAATCTAGACTGAATACCGTAATTCAGCTAATCTAGACTGAATATCATAATCTAGCCTGAATATCCTAATCTTAACTGAATACCTTAATCTAGATTGAATATCCTAATCTAGACTGAATACCGTAATCCAGCTAATCTAGCACACAGGTGCGAATACTGTTAACTCAAGGTAACAGTATTCGCTTTAAAATGCTTTAGAGCTAATATTGTGACCTTGAGTTGAAGGTTCGAAAAAGCTCACAAATGCTGTTTTAGAAAACAGCATTTGTAAGCTGTTTTCTAAAACGTGCCTGAGTATGTTACTAGTCCTGTTAGTAATGTAACTGATATAGTTTCTGAAAAGGAACACGTTTTAGAAAACGCAAAACATTCGGAACATTAACATCAAAGAAACCAAAAGAGAAATAACTAAATCTACTTGTCGCTCAACATTTGAATGGGGAATTTTCGAATGAATCATTTTTTCCATCATTTTCTCATCTCAGCATTGTTGTGTGACTACAGACAGACAGACACAAGACGACTACTTGAACTCGTTGAAAGAAACGAAGAAAGGAGAAAAACGAAACAAAAACAATTGTCCGTTTACGAGGATTTCTCGCGTATTTTATGAGAAATCGAAAAAGAAAAGGCCACTCACTTATAAATGCTAAATTTTTTTTCATTTTTTTTTAAATATGGAAAGTTTAGTGTAGTTTCTCACTGGTAATACTTTTGAACATCCTTTTTAAAACTGTAATAGATTTTTTTTATTTTCAAACTTTTCTTGTATTCGATTTTCAAAATTCTCAACTAAAACCAGCTTCATTTTCCCCCAAAGCAAACAAAACTTTCGTTTTTCGTAAGCCTCAAGGCTCTTCTTTCTTTGTTTTCTTTTGCAAAAATCGTAAAATCTACTGAATTTTTTCAAAATTTCAAGATGATCCCAAATTTATCCACTCTATTCCTTCTTTGTATACAAATTTCAACAATACTTGCATGGGAAAGATGCTTCGAAAAGTCACCGAATCACGTGCTCCTCGCATCGGCAAGGGGAAAACCGAAAAAGGTGGGTAAATTCGAAATTTTAATAACAGTTTTTTCCGATCTGGAACGCAGTTGAGAGTTTGCAATCACTGAATACCTAGCGTTGATCGTACACTCATCACTTTACCATTCATTCAGATCCCACTTGAGCGCTGCATGAAGATGTGCTTGGATGCAAGTGGAACGTGTCGGTGAGGGGAATTTGTAAATTGAAAAAGTAAAATTTGCTATCTTTTAGCTCATTCGTTTACTTTAATACAATCGGTGTCTGCATTCTGAATGCCGGTGATCGCACAGAAAAACCAGATCGTTTTGTTGCCTCGAATGAAGGAGTCGATTATTATCACAGGATTTGCTATCGTGAGTGAAAGCTGCTATTTACAGGGATTTTCCTGACTTGAAAGCCGGTCTTGTACTTGGTCTAGGACCTGGTTCCAGGAAAACTTCTAACTTTCTCGTTCAGACTCACCACCCCGTTCACTCGCCCCATGGAGTCATGATGAGCCGCTAGCTGACGAGTGTTTCGAAGTAGCACAGGGGAAAGTAGTGTAGCCTTGATTTCTAAAGCTAAAATTCAAATTCAGGTCTTGATCGGTATCGTTGATCAACTCTTAGATCAAATCTCGTCGATCGACGTTTGTCAAAAGTCGTGTTTAAACGCGAAAAAGACGAGCGGAATCGTGTGCAAGAGTGCCATGTGGTATCCAAAAGAAAAGGTACAATTACCCAACTTTATTTCCAATTTTCTGATTCTAGGAGTGCATCATTGCCTCTCAAGACAAAGCTGACATTGCCGAGCTGTACATTGATGATCCAAATTCAGTGTACTTGGAGAATAAATGCGCTGAACCGGGAAAAAGAAATGACTTCGACGAGCAACAATGTCACCCCATCACCGCCAATCAGGTTCTAGAGTCTCACTAACCTGGTCCTGAGTCCAGAAGCTAGGCCTGGATCTAGTTTTAACCTAATTTACAAGATGTTGAAGGCTCTAGACGAGCAACAATGTCACCCCATCACCGCCAATCAGGTTCTAGAGCCTCACTAACCTGGTCCTGAGTCCAGAAGCTAGGCCTGGATCTGATTTACAAGATGTTGAAGGCTCTAGTTCTATCCATAAAGTTCTATGACGTTACTTTTTCAGCTCGACGACCTCTTCTCTGACCTCACTTCTTGGCGGAGTGGCGGCAGCTGGCGCTGAAGATGACGGAGGCGACGAGCAACCGGTATGATTCAGCTTTATAGACATTTACTCTACCTTGTCACTAGACGATACTTGTAAAAGGAGCTACAAATAGCTTTATACTATTAAGTGTTTAGTTTCATGTTGAGGGAGAGTTGCCAGTACCTGCAGTGGGTGGTCCACCCGATCCCCCACAAACTTCAGCCTTCCCACCGGCACTCCCACCTTCACAACCACCACCAATTGAACAATCGGGATATGATAAGAGTGGAGTGAACAATGCTGGCATGCAGGTGACATCTTGGAGACAATATTTTAAACACCTTAATTTTTCTAGACCGAACTTCAACCCCCATCAATTCCAAAAACGTTGCCCACAATTGACCCGAAAATCATCGATTCGTATCAGGTTTTTCTCTAAAAGATAGAAATCAAAAAAATCCCATTTCCAGATGCCGTTGAAGAAAGAAGAGGCAGCTGTTGAGAGCAAGACCACGCCGATCAATGACTATTATGGAAAAGCGCCGAATTTGGGAGTGGATGCAGCTGCAAATACGTATCAAACGGTAAGTGGTCAAGGCAACTTTTCTGAGCCATGCAAAGCCAAGGTCTTTTGTCTGATGCTCAGGCCAGCTTTTAGCCTGCTCTGGCTTACAGACACTAGTACTCAAAGCTTCCATTCAGCCACCTGTGAAATCATTGCCTGTCGAAATGCCGATCTCCGCAAATGGATATCGACGACGCAGATTGAGTGAACATCAAAAAGGGAAATGTTTCAAGTAAGACAGAGATTCGGCTCAAATGACACTCTTTCCAGACAAGTTCACCCAGAATCATCGCTTTTCGAGGATCGTGTGATGAAGGTTTCATCCAATTAGACTAACAATCATTTACTTTTTCGTAAAATACTTTGAGAAAGAGTCTCATTTCAGGCGTACTCTATCGAGCAGTGCATTGACATTTGTCGCCTTTGCGTGAATTGCATTCGCGGTCAGCCGTGTTCATCGCTTGCTTTTGATATGTGAGTACATGATCACTGTCAAGAATGGATGATGAACTGTTTCCAGGCTTCACGAGAATTGTGCCCTCTCGGCGAACATCGCTGACAATCGGGGTCAACGAAAAGCCGCTCAAACGATCGCCTATTATACTCGGAATCCGATCGAGATTTGCTGAAAGCGATTGGAATAAGAAACACTGCTTGTTTGTATAAATGTTTTAACGAGGAATTTAGAAATTGCAAATCAAATACGTCTGTTTTACAGATCGCTTTTAGAAATTATAGAGCTGGCAGAACAATTTGGCTAAGCCCAGGCCACTTCTAGTGCTTAGTGTGACCCAGAAATCGGTCTGATCAGCTAAGACTTGTACTTGAAGACTGTAGCTAATACTGTAGCTACTATAGACTACTTTTTAAATGCAGTAATTTAGTTTTAATGTGTTTCATTGATAGCTTTGGCTCCAGATATTTATTGATGATGTTTCTTCTTTTTAAAAAATCCGGGTTTTGCGAGAGAAATTGAAAATATTATTATAAAATGACAAGCAATGAATATTGATTTGAAATGACCAGAGAATATACACAAAATTTTTGAGACCAAATTTGAGGAGCTGGGAGTGATTATTGTCCCCGCAAAACCCCTCAGATTCAGCCGAAAGACAGTTTTTTTTAGAAAAATGAAATAATGGGATGCACGGTGAGGATTTGCGAAAATTTGAATTTTGAAGATTCCCTCAACTCCTTTTTTCCCGTGCATCCTGAAAGGAGCAAATCACACTCGCGTTTCTGCCACCGAATTAGCCGAAAATCTTGGAAACCAAACGAAAATCAACTTCGCAAAACTCTCGCGCTGAATTCGGTGTCCACGCGGGCGCAGTGCAGCGCGGTGAGAATCGAGCGGCACGGAATTTCTGCGAATCACCGAGGATATTCGTCTTTTGATCGAAAAATTTGAAATCCTGGATGTCACGCTTAAAATTCGCGCCTAAATCACGGATCGGTTTCTGATTTTGTTGCCATGCCACCCCCCATGATGGAGCCGAAGTCGACCTAGTCTAGCGAAACTGACGGAGAAAAAAAAAGTCGAAACCCGAATTTTCGGTGATCCTGGAGGGCACGGTAGTTTTTGTACCTGACGAATTTGTCGGGTTTCGACTTTTCACAAAAAATCTTATAATACACAACGAAAAACGGTGTGACAACGGCGCCCATCTTGTGGCTAACCCGTGTGCGCGGTGGTGGACACGGCAATCAAAATCCTGGAGGGTATCGAATAGAAAATCAATTTCAGAGAGTTCTTTGGGTTTTTCTACACAAATCTCTATTCTTCCCTCAACACCGATCAGTGTTCAGGCCGATTTTGGCCGTCAATCCTCGCTTAGTGGACAAGTTGGTGAATCAAAAGTGCAAGCTGGAGCGCACTTTAGAAAGTGGCTTTGGAAAAGTTGAAATTTCGAAACTTTCGATTCACCCCCTTGTGAGGACCTCACCGACCATAAGGCCGGGACGCCCTTGAAAGAACAAGTAGTAAAAAAAACAATCGACAAATTTTGGAACTTTTAAAGTTTCATCAGCTTACATGCGTTCCAGAACTTGCTAAAAGACAATTTAAAATCGAGAGAAATGACAAATTTTTCTGTGAAAGACTTGACTAAACGTCAACGGGGACATTCATCGGCTCCTTGGCCAAGCGATGGGGCACAAAACAGGGTTGACCGGCAATCCTGGATGTCATTGGTGGATTTGCTGGGGGTGACTGTGCTCATTGCATAGCCTGGAGTGCACCCACCCGGGCCACGGTTGCCCCATCGCCCAAAAGGAGAAATTGGGTGAAAGACGCGAGAAAGCACGGGGATTTCGATTTCGATAACTCGGTACGATGTTTTTGGGATGCACAATCGAAAATGTGAACCGAGTTTTCGAGATTCGGCGTGATTCGAGAGTTTTCGAGTGCCGGGTGGAGGTACTTTCGACACTTTTGTAAGAACTCGATATTTTTGTTCGGACTTTCAAGAAAACTCTCGAATGCACGCCAATTTTAACGATTATTCAATAATCCGAGCAATGAAATTTGAGGAGAAATTTGTAATTTTTGTGGTGAAAGATGATTTTCGGTATTTCCAGGGGAACCCTTATGTTTATAAACCAATTGTATTTCTTTGAGGGGAAAGAGGTAATCATTCTTAAGCCAGGGTACCAAACAGAAAAAGAAAAAGATCTAAAGTAGAGTAGGGTTGAATGGGTCAAACTATGCATAATAATAAATTACTAGAAAAATCGACGAATAAAAATGGTGTGTACAAGAAATGAGACGAAGCTTTTTAAAGCCACATCCCCATGAAAGCACGGTAGTTTTGATGAACGAATTTGATCAATTCTGGCATCCTGGAACACAGCTCGGCGAATGGCAACAAAATCTGATGTTTTAGAGACGCCAATTTCAACTTCGGGATTTCGAAAAAAATTCTGGAGAGGCCAGGATGAGAAATCTGAAATTTTCAATTTTCAATTTTGGATTTTCAATTTTGAATCTTGAATCCAATCTTGAATCCAATTTTGAATCCAATTTTGAATCAATTGAATCCAATCATTGAATCCAATCAATAGAATCCAATCATTGAATCCAATCAATTGAATCCAATCTTGAATCAAATCTTGAATCAAATCTTGAATCCAATCAATAGAATCCAATCAATAGAATCCAATCATTGAATCCAATTTCTCGACTGTACTCCAGGATTGATATTTTCAGTGAATTTTCAGCCTTTTAATGTTTAGAAACTCGAGCCTCTTGTCACAACTCACTTTTCCCATCAGCACTCCCGGTGGTGAACTTTGATGGTGGAAAGCTGGGTGACATGCGCTCCAGGATGAAGAATACATAGAAAAATCAGCAAATAAATCCAGATGGGGACCCGAAGTTTGCGCGGGAGGCGTTTGCCCGAATGGGCGTTACGGTTACATCCTGTAATTTGTATGTAATTTGTATGCAAATAAAATTGCATTTAAAAGAAACTGCTGAAACTGAAATTTCTGAAAAATGAGTCACAATTCTAAGCCGGAAATGGAAAAGCGAAAAAAACAAAAACGAAAACAAACACAAAAAGTTCACTGAGTCACCAAAGATGAATCAAAAAAAATTCGATAAAATGCTAATTTTCTTGAAGAAAGTGACTCCGTGCCTCCCAGAATGACCGATTAAACTTTGTGTTTCGTTTTGGCACGAGATCTGCGGGGGTGGGTGGAGGGGGTCTTAAAAATCAGGTGCTCCGGGGATTCGACGGCATAAACACCCCTCCTCCGCCCCGTTCTAGTGTCGAAATATTGCTCAGGTTGACCATCAACGTTGACCAAAGTAGTCCCTTTTTAAACGGAAATGATAGATACGTGTTTACAAAAGTCCTTTCATCTCAAAAAAACAGTTATCAATTGTATCAAAGTTTTCTTTTTTTCAAAACTTTTGTTACAATTTGTTGGATTTTTGTTCAAAACTTTTAAATGACTTTTTGCTTTAAAATTTTCGTTAAAGCTGCTTCAATGTGTTCCAGGATTTGGAAAAAATTTCATAAATTTTATAAAGTTAACGAAAAATTCTTGGAAAACTCGCGTGATTCGAAAAAAAACGATGAGACATTGTTAAACCTGCTTCATTCTTGTCAACCCATTGATTTTTCTATATTTTTGCAAATGCTGGCACGCACGGAAAGAACATTTCAAGTTTTAGCGTTTGAAAGTTTCAAAAAATTTCATAAACTCGCGTGATTCGAAAAAAAACGATAAGACATTTTCTTGAAACTTTCAAACGCTAAAATCACACGCTAAAATTTGAAATTTTCTTTCCGTGCGTGCCAGCATTAGCAAAAATATAGAAAAATCAATGGGTTGACAAGAAAATTCGGTGAAAAAAGCTCGTAGTTGACGATTTGCCAAATGAAATGGCGAAAACAAAGAAAAATGCCGGGGGAAACCGGGGAAAACCCGGTGAAATAGGGTAATTTCTGCCCCACCCGGGTGACTAAAGTCGAGAAAAATAAGGAAAAAGACACAAAAGTGGGCGGGGCTTGGAGAGGGAAGGAGAGGAGTGACCAGCCCAGTCGAAGACGTCATTTCTTCGGCATTTCACTACCCCGGAAAAGACTCAGAAACTCAGAAACGAGCAAAACACGGGAAACGAGCGGAATATTTTGAAATCCTGACCGTCATCGGAATTAATCGCCCATTCGTTTTAGGCTAATACATAGATGAAAGTTGATTTCATTGGGTTTCTCTGACGTTTCTGTTCCTGGAATTTTCTCAGCTCCAACCAAGGAAACCCAAAAATTCTTTCTGAAATTTGTCAAAGCTGGAACACATGTCGAATCTTTGACTCACTATTTTTAGGTGAAGAAAGGCTCTTGACATTGACCACTACTTGGTCGACTTCGTCCAGGTTTTTTGAGGGAAACGACGCGAAATTTAAGCCGAAAACAAATTTTTCTGCAATCCTGGCACACACCCTAGATTCTAGATTCTAAAATAAATCTATAGCTTTAGGTCGAAAAATTTTTTGGCCAGACACCCCGCCAGCTCAAAGTTTATCGAATTTTTTTTCGAAAGGCTGCAAAACCACAAAAAAAACTCTTCCCGCCCCTCTCGTTGACCCGAGAAAAAGAAAAAAAAACTTCAGACAACAAAAAAACGAAAAAAGGAGCGGCTCGAAAAAAGCGGTTAAGAGAAAAAAGGTTTCTGCAAAAGTTGATGCAAGAAATTCTTGGAACTGCTGCAAAAATTGCAAAAAACAGCAATGAAAATTCAACAACTTATTTCTAATTTTGCAAGCTGGATGTCAGGCTAAACGGGGAAAATGAAAATTTCGCTGGTTTGGCTTTGAATCAATTACCCAACTTTGTTCCGATGATTCTGAAAGCTTGCCAAAATAAAAAAAGCTAGCAAGAAAGCTAGCAAATACCAGAAATACAAGAAAGCTAGCAAATACCGTGCCCTCCAGATTGCATATCAAAGTTGAAAGTTTTAGGGAAAATTTGAAAATTTCCTCTGAAAAGTTCCAATTCTCAATTTCGGGCTGACTCTGAGGGGAGCGGCGATTTTTTTACGCCCGTAATTTTCGCGTTTTATAAATGACTTTTTTCTTATCTCATTTTTTTTCAGCTACCCGAGCAGGTACTAAATAAAAAAAGTGGTAAAAAAAAGAGGAAAGGGGATTTTTGAATGAAGTTCTTCCACTTCTTTTCAAAGATCTTATCAAATCGAGGCTCTTGGCCCGTTTTTCACCCAAATTCCCCCTCATTAATACGAATTTTTTGACCGTTTCACCTATCATGGAAGGCACACTATATTTTTTTGAGGGTCAATTACTATTCGAATGCAAAATTTGAAAATAGTGCTACGCTTAGGGATTTTAGATTGGTTAGATGGCTTAAACTATTCATTAGATTATAGAAAATGAGATCCTGGAATGCAGTTAGAAGTTCTTAAAGTTATAACAAATAGAATGAGTATTAGAGGTTAGAAAATAAAAGTGAATCAGCGAAAGAATTTGATGAGCAAATTTTGTTCACAAAAAGTGCATCGTCGAAATTTTCAAATGTAAACAAACACAATAACAATTCCCGACAACCAAGATTTCCCAAAAGAATCGATAAAATTCTTGCATTGCATCGATGCCAATCCACGAGCGTAAGGGGAAAACCGGTGGATCCGGATTTCGAGGAGGCGTCATGGGCACAGGGCTGAGGCTGCGAAGCCACTCCAGACCTCACCCCAAACAGGTTCCCTCACCCCCTGGGCTGGCTGGCTGCTGGAGCTGGATGGTTGCAAAAAGCAGTCACACACCACATAACACAGCCCCAGCTCCCCATTCATAGGATTATCTCGAACTACGAAATCTGACTTGTTAATGAGTGCAAATTGCCTGATGCTATCCAGTATGCGAAATTTTTGTTCAAAAAATTCACGGTCTAGTGCACAAAACTGAAAATTGAAAGATGAGGGAAAAATGTGTTCTATAAATTATAGAGTGATATCCAGGATATGCAAAAATTCTCGAAAAGATACGAGACTCTACAAGAGTTGTCGAGAAAAATCAATACTCCGATTCCGGGTACGGTGGACTGAAGCGCGCGTTTTCGAGAGTCCGGCCGAGACTCGGAAAAAAGGCGTACTGAGGTCCAGGATGAGGAATGGGAAAATGGGGGGAGAGATCGAGAAGGGAGCGGAGGAAAGAGATGGGGCAAGTCACGCGCCGAACTGGACGTCCTGACTAGGGGACTGGGGGATTGGGGGACGACTGGGGTTCATCGGAAACCCCACCCCCACCCCAACCCATTCGATAAAATGCCATCCAACATCCCCGAAAGCAAGCAATATAGCTAAAATGTATCGGTACAGTAGATTCAGTCGAGATATGCTAATTTGTGCAAGTCTGATTCGGCTAAATGCAATGTAGCTTTGAAATTTGCATAAAAATGTACTATGTGCTATCCAGAAAGACTGAAAACATAATAAATTATCGAAAAGAATAAAAGAGAAGCAGCTTTTTGTTTCGAACTCTCTTCCCCGGTGAATGACCTCTAGAAATGATAAAATATGCGATCTTTTCAATTGGAAAGGACAAATTGGAGAGCATATCATGAAATGAAAGTGAAATTGAGGGACACGGGGAAAGAGGAGAATGCTGCTAACTATGGGATGATCGAATGGCGGTGGCAGCCTCTCCCCCTCCACCGCTTCCCAAAACCGGTCCATCCCTCTTTCCAGCACGTCGATTCTCTTCTGTGCATGCCAACTAGCCCTCGGCGACGGCTAAAAGCACCGCTTATGATTTGTTCTCTGATTTTAGTGAAGGGAAAGAGTTTCGCCGTTTTGATGCAATCCAAATTTTTTTGGAGACCGAAAAAATTACTTTGCCAATGTCTAACCTGCGCTCCAGGATGGTCAGATCGAAAATCAGATTTCAAAAAGCTTTCCAAATACGGCATAAAACCGAGCGAGAACGAATCGTACATGGGAGTCTTTTGAAATTTGCTGACTGAGACTCAAAAAACCCCGATCCCACCCGAATGCCCTCCATAGTTTTCCCCTGAATCATCGAAAATGATAAAAGGCGTTTGGAATAGCTGGGAAAATGGCGTTGACGGAGTTTCAGGGAATGAACAAACATCTCCCTTCCTATCTGCCCCCCCCTCCCCCCCCCCCCCACCACCAACTCTCACATCTCTCCGCCATTTTCCCTCTTTTTTTCTTTCTCTCAAGATCAGCTGACTTTTCAGGAGACGCATAGGCAACGGGAATAGTAACACAGAGTACACAGAGCATAGCGAGAGAGGGATATTTTTGGGGGTCAGTCCGGTCAGACCAACTTTTTTTTTCGATGGGTAAAGATCTCAAATTTCTACGCAAAAATGGGCAGTGACATCCAGGATTGAAGAAAATTCGGTTACAACCTTTGAAAATTTTATAATTTTAGATATTTCATGGAGAAGGGCACCGGGTCGACCGTCTTTTTGGCTGGATTTTTAAACTGAGAAAATCGACACTCAAAAATTGCCTCCTGAGATCCAGGATTGATGAAAAGGTTCATGAAATTGTTTAAAAATAAAGGGCTCAAGGAAATTTCAAGCCAACATCGTTCTTGCTTTGTTTTGACTGGGTGGGCGGGAGTGGGCGAGTGGGCAACTCACCCAACTCTTCCACTTTTTCACATCTGTTTCAAATCGGTTACATCAAAAACGAAGCTGCTTGCTCACTTCAAAAATAGTTTAGAAATTTCGAAAACAAAAATGACTGTTGCTACAGGAAAAGTTGACGAATTGAGAGAATTTGAGAAACTAAACATTTTCAAAATTCAAAATTTGCATACTTTCAAAAAAAAAAGTGAAAAAAATAATAGTGTGTGCTCCAGATTGGGCAAAAATTGAAAAAATGATCCAGGATTTTTAATAAAAGCCAAAGGCAGGTTGGGGTCAAGGTACAGGGTTTAGAATTTTTAGAATTTTTGGAATTTTTGGAATTTCTAAAATTCCCATGAAACAGAGTGTGTTCCAGATTGCTGAGAATTCACAAAATTTATCTAGAGTACCTTGAAAACTTTTCAAAAACGACCAGGTGTAGTGTGGGTGGGGGGTGAGGGTTGCCAAGGTCTGGGTCTAACTGGGGTCTGGGGTGAGGAGGAGTAAAAATGTGTAAACTCAAGGACGGGGGTCCTTTCCCCCCCCCGCTCCTCTTGCCCCCACCCGCCCCACACTTTTCTCACTTTTCCGAGACCCATCCTGGAAAGTCGTCGAAAAATGCGGAGGACCCAAGAACACACGGCGACGCGAAAAAAGCGGGACGGCTGTAAATTGCGGCCTTTGCACTCACTTCCGCTAATTTATAACCATCAATTGATGTAATCTGGAACGCATGGAGAGTTGTCCGCAAAAATTTCCCCTGAAAAGTGAAAATATCGTGGTGTAGCTGGAGTTTTTGAGATCTAGCCTGTTTAACGCTGGCGATAAGGCCAACTGGGCTCATTTTTATGGATTTGGCATCTATGGAGCGCACACTTAACTAATAGTATGTAGATTTTGTACCCTGGCTCTACCCCAGTTACCGTACCCTATAGGATTAATCGGAAAAACCCCAATTCCCAGCCCCGATTAGTGCCAGTGCAGTTGAAAAGGCTCCCGAGAGGGCTCCTCCTCTTTGGTGGGGTGTCGATGATGACGCAACGCGGCGGCTCGGTCGCGTTTCCACTACCGCTTTCGCTTTACGCTTACACCGCATAGTATTCTGGGGGAATAGCGGCCTGAAAATTTCGGAGACTCTAGACTGCGCTCTAGATAGAAATAGGCTGAAATGGTGGAGGGGGAAAAGCGAGAGAGACGGAGAAATAAGGCTAGTCGCCCTTGCTGTACTGGGAAAGAAGAGAGAAAACAAGGGATAGAGACTGGGAAAGTGATGGAGATCCCAGAGTGCCATCCAGCAAGATATTTGGAAAAGGGATTTTGGCCGGCAGCCAAGACGATCGGCAGGGAATGGGTGAGAAAAGAAAAGAGAGCCGAGTCTGGACGCTTCCGTCCGCTCCGTCCACTATACGAATATTGACAGCCGAGTTGGTGAGAGTGTGCTCCAGGAGAGGATTCAGACAAGAAAAGAGTCTAGAAGGGACCCCGGAAAGACTCGAAATTCGTCACGACGGCCATTTCAGCACGGAGTGAAGGGAAGAGGGAGCTGAAGGGGTGAGGCTAAAAATGTACGTATCGACGAAAAGAGGAGACACAATAAAAGATGGGGATTTCGAGGGTTTCAAGGGGAATTTTGAAATGAGACACAAACAGAAAAGTTATGGAATCTGATGGAATTGTCTGGCTCAATTGCTGACCTGATCTACAAGAGACTTTGGATCAATAAGTTTCGAGGCTTGCAGAGATGTTCTAACAAGTACGACCTATCCTGGCTATTAGCTAGATAATAAAACTGATTGAAGTGTTCGATAATGCGAGAAAGCAAGTGGTTTCACCTAGGAATGTTTCTCAAGAGATTCAAGAAAGATCTGGGTCACACAGACACCTTTCTCACTTTCACTTTAAGAAATTTGTTTCTTTTCAAGTGAAAGTTTCGCTTTTGGGAAGATTCTTGACGAAAAGTTCGAAAGACGATCGAAATCTGAGAGAAAATCGAGGTGAAGGTCATTGGGAAAGAGGTGGAAGGGGGGAACGCTGGGAAAGTTTGACTCAAAGAGAATGATTTATATTTTAAGTTCGACATTTTCTAAGCTGGAACGCATGCTATTGTTTGTGGGTGTTGGATCTTCATTTAGCCAAAATTGATTTTGTACTGTTGTCGTGATGAAAGTGAGTAAACTGTGCGGGATTGGGCCGTTCATTTTCGCTTTTTAGTGGCATGAATCTATCTAAAAGCTATCTGGGACCAGGATAACGGTATTTTTCAAAAATTGACAGCTTTTCGGAATTAATATTTAAGAGAACAGTTTTTGGAACGCGGACAAAAGTGAAAACTGCAAGAATGAATGTGTTCGATCGTTCGTTTCTTTCTCTCGAACATTTCACGTGTTTCTTCTGACGGATTCTTGAATTCTTGAATCGAAATCTTGATTAGGTACAGTCAAAGCCAGGTTAACTTTTTTAGATCAACATTTTCAGGCTAAAAAAGATCAAACACACTCGATTCGTTTTTGATAAATATCGATTAAAAGCTGTTAATAAGTGTACCAGAAAGCGTGCTTTTGTGAAAGGTACGAATCAAACTTTACAAAACAATATTTTCCCCATTTTGTGGTAGGTGCATGCCAACTAGCCCTCAGAAGTTTTTGCCTGAAAATTCCTATAGTTTAGCTCACACACGAGATCCCACAAAAAGCATCGATGAAAAATGAAAAGCTGGGGAAAATTTATTCCCAAAAAAACTTCACCCAAGCAATTATGCTCACCATAAAATCCCTTTTTGCTAACTTGGCAAAAAATAGAATCAACAGGCTTTACGATGGCAAAAAGTGAGAAAAGAAAAGAAAAGAACAATAGTTTTGATTGAAAATTTTTTTTCTAGCTTGTTTTTTTTTAATTCAACAAAAAACTATCCGAAAATTTGTATTTAAAGAAGTTAATGTAGCGATAAGAAACAAGCAAAATCTCGCAAAAGACAATGATAGTGATGCATTTAGTTGTGCTGACTGACTGAGTCTTCTGCTGTGTCTATCTGTCACCCTTTTGGGTGAGGGTGGTCCCAGTCGGTACCATCTCGCCGTCTCTCTTCACTCTCTCTTCACTCTCTCTGCTCCTCTCTTTGCCCATATCCCCACCACATCTCGTACCATTGCCACCAGGTTGCACCCCATCTCTTTCCCTCTCTTTTTCTCCTTGTTCTTCATTTTTTCTTCTTCTCCTAATCTTTAAAGGTTATCCCAACGACAAACTATCGAAATTTTTACCGAGTTGAGATTTGAGACTAGACTTGCTCATTTGCCAAGCTATTGCCAAGTAGAAGCTACACTAAATACTCTCATTTCGCCAGTTTTCTTTAGTATTTTCCCCCGAGACTCGATTCAAACAGTGGCAATTTAATGCACTTTCGAGAACAGTGCAAAGAAGCGAATGCTTAAAAATTTCAAGTGAAACAACTAGCACAATCACTGGGGCTTAGTTAAAATAGCACCGCCAAAAAAGCGCCGTTCAAAACAGCGCCAAATTTAAAGATTTTAATGTAGACTAACCACGACTCTTTTGGAGTTTTCGATAAAAGCTTTAGTTTTTTGCGCATTCTCAAGTAAAATAGTAGATGAAAACTTGTTTATTCAATTAACGAAATGAAAAAATGAAACAACGAAGTTAACACATATGAATGTAACAACATAAAGATTTTAAATGATCGACTGGACTCAAAGATCCATTTTGAACCGCAACTTTTCTTACAAGCTAGTCGGGAAGAACTTACGACGATTGAGGTGATGATTGAGGTAGAGTGCCGAGATGTAGCCGCATCAAGACGTTTTTCGAAGTCTTGAACATCTAGTAGCTTTTGAGCAATATAGTGAGCAGAACATCGTGAAGCAAGAGCCTAAATCTTTAAACATTTAAACAACTTTAAAAACACAAACTTTTAGTAAAGAATGCGTAAGATTCCTGAGACGAGTTGCCAAGTTGTTAGCCACGACAGATTGTATCATACGAGTTCCACGTTTCAATGGGGTCGAACGAAGCGACTATTTTTGAACAAATCCAACAAAAGACTTTTCGAAGTACGAATATAAGCCTAATTCTAAAAATTAAATTTATAACAAAGATAAACAACAAACTTTATAATTTGTTAATAACGGAGGGTATTGTTTGAAGGCTTTATCTCGAGGTACACGAAAATATCGCTCGATGTAGAAAAAGATGACATTTTGCGGGAAAAGTTGCTTTTTATATGCTCAAAGGGACTTCCAGGCTATGCAAATTTGTGCAAGTGCGTGGCAGCCCTTCCAAAAGAATTTCATTTTTTTGTTCCACTCGCGCTTTGATCCGTTGTTGTTGTTGTTTTGAATTGATTTTGCAAGCATCTGCAAATTTCTTCTTGGCAAGGACGCTCGATTCTGCTCACTTTCCGCGTTTCCCCTTCCCTCTGCTTCCTCCTCAACGCCCCAATCCCCGCAACGCTCGCTAAATAAAGACCGAGTGCCCGTCTAAAATCACTATATTTTATTTTCACAAACCCTTCAGCGGCAAGCAATGTTACAAGTTGTAATCCTTAGAAAATTCTGGCACATTTGTGTTTTTGAATGAAAATTTCCCGAAAATCGACTTAAAAAATCTCCCCATTTGTACATTTCGTTTTTATTAGCTTCCCCTGCAAACGTTTAATGCTAAGTAAAGAAATTATTCAAGTTTTGAACTGAAACTTTACTGGATTACATAGGAACTGAAATTCCTGCGATTATGCTTTGTTTAACTTCATTTTGTTACTCGATCCAATTTTGTTTCCTTTAGATGAACCAACCGACGATCGCCAACACCGGAGACGATTCCCCGCCAAAAGCACCGGTCAACTTTCGTCCAATTCGGATCAAAATCGGCGTTTTGGAGAAACAAGAGGGAACAGCCTACGTCTCGTTCGGGAAAACGGAATGCGTCGTGCAAGTGGTTGGACCGAGGTGAGAATTTTAAAATACAATTAGTACTCTTTGGTTGATTACAAGCTTGTGTGCCTATTTATCGGGACTGTTTGTTGTTTGTCCTTAAACTTCTCTGTTAATAGTCGATGAGAACAGATCTAACACTACGAATGCATAACGGGGATAAGCTTTTAAAACGGTTGATCATGTAAATATCTTTCTTGCAAAAGTACACTTTGTTTTTAGATCATCACGTTCACCGCTTGTGGCCGAGAAGGGGAAACTAGAGGTGACGGTGTGCGGAGCGGAGGGATTGGTTGGACCGCTGAAGGACGCGATGACGACAATCATTCAACTACACAAATACCCCCGTGCATCGATCTCGTTGAACGTCTCCGTACTCGCCGACGATGGGGGACTCGTGCCGGTGGCTATGATTGCTTCGTCGCTTGCGCTCATCTCTGCGGGAATTGAGGTGAGGTGACATTTTGACTGAAGTCTACTTTGAAGCAAATTTCACTTGTAAGCTGCTGGGGATTTTATTCTTTACTCAGTCAATTCATATTTTTCTTTAGGTTTACGATGTCTGCACGGCTGCAAGGATTCTGCTGATGAAAGACGGACAAACGATCGTTGATCCACCGGGTCCAATGCGCGAGCTCCCCGATGGTTCCGTTCTTCTCACCGTCGTCATCATGCCCGAGCTCAATCAAATCGCCTACTCGGAGATTTTGGGTAAATTTCGACCAGTCGAGGTTGAGGCGAAAATCGGCGCAGCTATCGAGGCGGCCAATCGACTGTATCCACTGATCAAGAAAGCTTTAATCGCGCACGTGCAACGACGAATCGATAGCGGAAAGAAAAATTAAATTCCTTATTGTCTTTTTTGATTTGTAGGAAATTTAAAATTTTATTAAAATTTAAAGTTTCTACTTTAGTAAGAGATTTTGCATCTTGTTTTATTGATACACGTGTTATTTGTCTTTGATGATTTGTTGGTCTTGTTTTTGTTTTTACTTTCTTCACATTGTTTCTTTGTTAATATTGTTTTTGATTGTCGAATTTCCAGGTAGAATGGCTCCAATGGCGAATCAGACGGAGAAAATGGAAGTTGACGAGCCAAAGATCGATACAAAGGACAAAGAGGGACAAGACGCGAAAAAAGAGGAAACACCAAAGGATCTCAACGCGGTCGCGCTCGAGAGTGAGTTTTGAAGGTCTTAAAACGAGCAAAATAGAGTAGCTAAAATAAAATCGGACTTGTAACTCTGCGTCCTCATTCCGCGTGATCCATCAATCCATTTCTTTTAGATTTGAAGGAACAATGCGCTCTCTTGGACAAAGGCGAATACTATTTGATCGGTCGAGTGCTTCACGTGTTGCACAAGACGCGCAAGCAAATCAACACCGAGGTAACACTTTTGACAATGGCATATAGATTAATTTTTTGCTTTAGGTTCTACATAAGCTCATCTCGACCACTCCTTTCGCGTCGGCCGCTGACAAGGAGCAATTGCTGAAATGGATCCCGGCTCCACCCGCTAAACCGGCCGCCACTAACGAGATAGCTCCAATGGAAGTCGATGCAAAAGCTTCAAAGTGAGACCTTTGAGATTATATTCTGGCAACCAAATTCTGAATTTTAAAGCTTTAAAGCAGAGCCTACTTTATTCTTAACTTCTAGATCGCCACGTCCATTCCGACGCCCAGCTCTGAGCTCTTCTGAAACGGATCTCTACATCTACTTGCTCACCATGTTGCACTTGTTTGATGTAAACGATTTGGCAAACTCTGAGGAGGCAGCTAAGCATTTGATTCAGTGAGTTTGAAATGGATTTTTACTGAATCAACTTTTTTTAGACGTTTCGATCAACTTGACAAACGGACATTGGATCCAATTGTCGCCAAGGCTTACTTCTATTTGGCGCTGATTGCTGAGAAGAATGGCCGGCTCGATGCGGAAAGAGAGTTCGTTTTTAAGTCTTAAAAGACTTGAGTTTTTAAGCAGATTTTGATATTTTGAGCAGTAATGTATTTTATCTAGTTTTCTGAACGCTCGTCTTCGCACGGCCACCCTTCGATGCTACACCGAATCACAGGCGGTGCTCATCTACACCCTTCTGAGAGCGTATCTTGTCGGAAAACACTACCCAAGTGCCGTTAAACTTGTTTCAAAGGTATTTCATTCAAAATCTGAACCTAGTCTTGACAGTGCTTTATGGTATAGTAAACAGTAAACTTTGTTGGTCCAACTACAAGTTCAATAGCAAATATTTTAGGTGACGTTCCCCGAGGGTGCTTCAAATAATGATCTCGCTCGTTTCCTCTACTACCAAGGACGCATCAAGGCCATGCAGCTCGACTATAACGCGGCTGCTGGATACTTTTACAAGTGGGAGTGTTTGTTTATTGTTTAATTACTTAAATTTAGGCTATTCGCAAAGCTCCCCAGGATTCAGCAATTGGATTCAAGCAAAATGTACAAAAGTGGATTGTTGTCGTTGGATTGCTTCAGGTACATCCTCAATTGCTATGTTAAGTCATTTTTTGTTTAGGGTGAGATTCCCGAGCGCTCGGTATTCCGTCAGCCGATCTACCGCTACTGTTTGGCTCCATATTTGGCGTTGACGCAAAGTGTTCGTGTTGGCGATCTTGTCTCATTCAACGAGATTGTTGATGAACACAATAAGGTGAGTGCTTGAGAGTTTGTACAGAATGGGACAGAATGAATTTTTGGATATCAAAAATATTTTCCTTTTTAGATCTTCGAGAAAGACGAGACGTTGACGTTGATTGTTCGACTTCGACAAAATGTCATCCGGGCCGCCATTAAACAGATTGCTTCCGCGTACTCGAGGATTTCCATTAGAGTTTGACTTTTATGTTTTACTTGACACATTATTTATTTCAGGACATTGCCACAAAGTTGCAGCTTCAAACCGAAATTGAGACTGAGTATATGGTTAGTGAGCACAACTTATTCTTTATTCTGTTTCGTTTAGGTTGCTAAAGCTATTGCTGATGGAGGAATTGAGGCTCAAATCGTTTCCGAGGGTACTGATGGAAAACGGTTCAGAAAATTGCATTTTTGCCTTTTACAACTATTTTTTTCAGGTATATGCGCAGCAACGAGATGGCGGACGTTTATCGAACTGATGAGCCCCAACATCACTATGACAATCGCATTCGGTAAGGATTATAAATGTATTCAACTTCTATTCCATTTAGCTATTGTCTCGAGTTGCACAACCAGGCCGTGAAGGCGCTCCGTTTCCCGCCCAAAGACAAACCCGATGTGGAGACGATTGAACAGCAACGGGAACGAGAGCAACAGGTACGAGGAGTTGTCTTGATATTTTGGTTTTAATCTTTCATTATAGGAGCTCGAGTTTGCCAAGGAGCTCGCCGAGGAGGACGATGACGATTTCTAAACAACTCCCCCTCCAGCTCAATTGCAACTTTTCAATTCAATCTCTCATCGGTCTTCAATTTTCCCGTCTAATTTAAAATACGGTTGTTTCTTATCGGTGTTTATTTATTGTCTATCTCTTTTTCATTCAGAAATTGCTCTCCTGTTCATCGTTATGTTTTTTCCAATAGTTGCTTCTGATTCCTCCCTTTCTTTTTGGGTGAATCCCACTCTTCGACCACTTGTGTGCAAAATCCCTGAAAATTCTATCCGTTTGCTTTTGCGCTCTCTCCTCATTTTCTTTTGCGTGCCCGCTCCACAATGTGATTTGAATAAATTTTTTACAAAGCTTATTGAATTTGAAGGAGTGGTTTAACGATTAGATATTGGAAAGTATCTGAGACAAGTTGAGGTGACTAAAGAAATCTTTTGGGCAGTGATTGGTCTTTGCTCTGCGCTGGCGTTTGTCCCCTAAATCGCCAGAACTTTCAAATATTCTCTTAAAATAGATTTTAGGCGTAATTTCGCCTCACAAGCCAATCTAACCAGCATAATTTGATTTCGTAGTCGCCAGTTGCTCAGAATCGAAAATATGTGTAGCTAAAGTTTTGTCACCGTTTCGTTATTGCGTTATTTTACAGTGAAATGAGCGGTCGATTGGTGGCAAGGCTGACGGCGTTGATCGATGCTCTACTCGCTCGAAGTGGCTACCCACATCCACCATTTGTGCCGGCCTTGGTGGGTTTTATACATCTTTAGCGATTTCTTATCAGCTTTCAAACATTGCACATTTTAGGCCCTTGCCCCAACGATCTCTCCATTTGATTCACCAGCCTCCTCTTCGTCATCTCGATCAATTGGGGATCTCGTTCGTGAAATGAGCGTTCTCTGGGGTGTGCCAAAAACGAGAACAACAAAACGTGAGCAATTTTGACCAACTAGTCCGTAAAATGTTAATGAAGCATTGATGCGAGCTAGGGTTAATAATCTTAGATTCATGAGATAGTGAAAAGCCGTTAAGTGTAGCTCAACTATTGTAACCATATAATTTAGCTGTGAAAGCGACGCGCAAATTCTCGTACACGCGGATCATGGCACCGATCACCGGTATTGTGACGTGTCCGTCTTGTGGATCGAAACATTTGGAGGAAACGATTTGTGGGACGTGCTATGAGAAGGTTTGTCTAGTTTTAGTTTTTAGCATTGCTGGACAAGTTTTAGAGCTATAAAGGAAGCTTACAAAGTGTGGTTGATAAAATCAAAGTTCTTGTTTAGGTTCGCGAGGTAACCAATTCGATCAAGGAGAAAATGATGGCCTACAATCCGTACAAGGGCGATCGACAGGATAAAGAGGTCAGTTGGAACATGTAAAAAGCCTTGGTTGCTTTGGATGGCTGGAATAAGTTCTGATTTCATTTTCAGATATAAGAGTGCTTAATGATAGATTCTTGACTACATATTAAATTTCACTTTTTCAGGTGTTCCTCCGATTCAGCGATGACGTGAAAGACGGTGAGGATGAGGGAGTGGTGAAAGGGAAAAGAGTGATTGAATTGGAAAGACCTCGACCATCATGGTTCAAGAGGATCTTCCCGAATAAATAGATGAATTATCAACCTTTTTGTTTTTCTTATTGCTCAAATTTAACGTTTTTGTATAGATTTCTTGTTGTTGTTATTGGTGATTAGGAAATAGTTGTAGAGTGCCATTTTTGAAATTTTAAATGTCTTCGTTGTTGAGGAATGATAAAGATTGATGTAAAAGATGAAAAGACTTTAAAGAACATGGAAGCTTTAGTGCTTGGAATGTAGAGTGAGTAGGGCAATTGAATAGACACTGGCTGACGCAAGTTGGGATAACTGAGCCGAATTGGCAGTTTGTCAGAATTGGACTTATGAGCATCTTTACTTTTTTGGTGCTTCTTTAAAATGGAATTGTTTTAGAAAGTACGCATTAATCAAGAAAGCAGAAACGCAGAATACGCTAATTCTTTCAACTTTTCCTATTTCCTATTCTGCCGAATGGCTCGGACTGATTCTTTCTGTTTCCCTGGAAAATGCATTGCCGTAACATTGCTCAGTCCCCAGTCTCATTGTCAGCCGTCATCTGCCCCTTTTTGCAAAGAATTCTGGAATTTTCCCGAAAACACAAATTTCTCCATTTTATCACCTGAGCAAAATTGTTTTCAAAGAAAATTTGTCCATTTTTTAATTCCACTGAATTTTGAAAATTTCGCACTTTTTTTGACTTGAGTTTGTGTCACACATTTTTCTATACAAATCGACGCCAAGATCTCAAATCGTGCCAAAATGCGAAACTTGACCCAATTATCACCGATCCATGCAAGTTTTGACCCAAATTTCCCCGACTAACTCATTCTTGGCACTATTCGACTTCTTGATGGCAAATCCAAACGAAAAGTCTGCTGTGGAAATTCATCGATTGGCATTTCTGCAATTCGGTTAACCTATGAGCTTTCAGCTCATAGGATCTGGATTTCCTGGATCACATTTTTTTTTGGCTCCCGTTTTCACCACATTCGATTTTCAGATAATCGCCTACTGTATCTAGGCCATATCTCGCCGAATCTCTCGTCATATATTCTGAGGACAATCGAAAATGGAAAAAAAAGCGATAAAGGTACAGTAGGGGTCATAACTTTGGACACACCGCGCACGTTAAACTATAATTTGTTCGCTCTTTTTGCTAATAAGAGCTTTTTCTACCGAAATCGACTATTTTATACATTTTTTTTATCCCTTTTTATTATTTCTGCATGAATTTGGCTTTTACTTTCATTCTCATGTATTTTTGAGCTACTTTACCCGAGACACCCACTTTCTAGGGGGGTCATAACTTTGGACACACTTGTTGAATACATGGTTTTCTTTGCAAAGGCTCATTGGAGTCCAATGACCCTTTGCATGTTTTCCAATGATTTCCAATGAAGAATGGTCTTGATACATTGCATCGACCCCGGTCTGTCGTTTGTATGTCTCATCATTATTACAGCTCTCTGGAAGGTTCTTTTTATCATTTTACCAATTTCAAATAATTGATTAGTCCTTTTAAATATCGTCTCGCAAATTGTAAGCAGTTCGTTTATGGAGGGCATTTTGTAAATGTCATGCGTTCATGCGTTTCATGCATTTCATAGTTTTGAAAGTACATGCGTTCATACGTTCTTTAGTAAAGTTCATATTTAGTAACATTTCACTTATTGTTAAATTATAGTAAGTGGTATGTTCAATTTTTCAAGAAGTTTAGGTTGATCTCAATGAACTGGGAATCAATGTAATGAACGCACTTAATGTAAAGAAGATACGAGCATCTAAGCTTAGCTATCAATTTTGGAGTTTTAGGACTTGCTAGATTAAACATTCAGTGCACGGAATATCCGAACAGTTTGTATCGTACTCGATGAATTGGGAATCACTGTAGTGAACGCACTTAGCGTAAAGTAGATTTAAGCATTTTTGTTTATCCATGAAATTTTTATTTTTGGTATTTTTTATTTTTAAAATTAAGGCAAGGAAAATCAAAAAATTTTTTTTGTTATTGGGGGTATGGGGATACTGGGGGGGGAAAAATAAAGGGAGGGGAGAGGAATTTTGTTTTGCCCGCCTAAATTAGAAGTTTTAAGACTTGCTGGACTCAACATTCAGGGCAAGGAATATCCAAACAATTTGTGTTGATCTCAATGAACTGGGAATCACTGGAGTGGACGCACTTAATGCAAAGAAGATACGAGCATCTAAGCTTGGCTAGCAATTTTGACTTGCTAGATTTAAGTTTTAGGACTTGCTAGATTTAACATTCAGGGCAGAGAATATCCAAAAAGGGTGTGTTGATCCCAATAAATTGGGAATCACTGGAGTGAATACACATAAAGTGAAGAAGATTTTGAACATCTAAGCTTAGTGTGGTTTTTTTTGAGGTTCTAGGACTTGCTAGATTAAACATTCAGGGCATGGAATGTCCAAACAGTTTGTATGGTACTCGATGAATTGGCAATCACTAGAGTGAATACACAAAATGTGAAGAATATTTAGGCAGCTTTTTCTAGCTATCAAATTTGAGCTTTAGGACTTGCTAGATTTAACACTCAGGGCAAGGAATATCCAAATGGTTTATGCCGCCCTCGGTGAATTGGGAATCACTGGAATGAATACATATAAAGTCAAGAAGATTTAGGCAACTTTTTTTAGCTATCAATTCTGAAGTTGTAGGACTTGCTAGATTAAACATTCAGGGCAGAGAATATCCAAACAGTTTGTGTTGATCCCAATAAATTGGGAATCACCGGAGTGAATACACATAACGTGAAGAAGATTTGAGCATCTAAACTTAGCGTCAATCTTGTGGTTTTAGATTTTAGGTTTTAGGACTTGATAGTATTAACATTCAGGGCAGAGAATATCCAAACAGTTTGTATCGTACACGATGATTTGGAAATCACTGGAATGGATGCATTAATGTAAAGAAGGTTTTGAGCCTCTAAGCCTAACGTCAATTTTAAAGTTTTAGGACTTGCTAGATTAAACATTCAGGGCAAGAGATATCCAAATAGTTTGTTTTGATCTCAATGAACTGGGAATCACTGGAGTGAACGCACTTAATGTAAAGAAGATCCGAGCATCTAAGCTTAGCGTCAATTTCGAAGTTTTAGGACTTGCTATATAAGTATAAGTTTCAGCCATTAAAACGATAAAGTTGGGAATAGCTTCTTGAAAAAATTGAACGTATCCAAAATCCCAAAATCACTTACTATAATTACTATTACTATAATTTAACAATAAGCGAAAAGTTACTAAACATGAACGCATGACATTTACAAAATGCCCAAATGGAGGAATGCTGTCTCGCTGACGGTCAGATCGAAAATGCAGTTCTTTTTATCTAATCGATTCTTAGGTTTGAGCTTAAGCCGAAAAAAAATTATTATTAAAGGACATGGATATTGTCTTCTAAAATGATTAAATGTCTTCTAAAATGATAAAAGCTTTTTGTTTGTTAAAGTTTCTCTATAAAGGCTGAATTTAAATTGCATAAAAAAAGGAGGAAAACACAAATAAAGAAAAAAAGAAATACACAAATCAAAGCTTTAAAAAATTGAAGACAAAGATTTAAAGATTTCATTTTACTAAATTAAGTGTTTAGGAGTTCGAGGTCAGCTTCCCGCCTTTAATTTTTGAATAGACGGGGAAGAGGGTGTCTACCCACTTTTGAGTTGATGAGCAAGGGTTTCCAGAGTCTCAAGAATGGTTTCCAGAGTCTCAAGAATGGTTTCCAGAGTCTCAAGAATGGTTTCCAGAGTCTCAAGAATGTAATGTGATGCGTAAAACTTTGTCTTTTTGCTTAAATGACTTTAAAATCATTGTTCTTTTTTTTTGAATCACTTTTTGCCATTTTAAAATATATTTTTTTTCCATTGAGAAATAAAGATTCAAAATTTATGGGGAAAGCAGAAATATTCTTAAAATTTACTGTGCTTTATTTGGGAATGGCAGCAGTGGTGGTGGCATGTAATTGGCGATGATCCACTCGTGTTTCATCACGTCTTTCAACTCGGCTCTCCTCTCAGGCATCAATTCGATCAACTTCTTCAACAAGTCCTGCGCTCGGACGTCCAAATCGGCCGGCAACTGAAATTGATTGTGCGTAAACACTTGCAATCGGATGAAATCTTGCAAACGCTAAATAAGCTTTCCTTTTCTTAGCTGGATAAGCTACCGTTTTCTTAGCTGGAAAAGCTACCGTAATCTAGCTGGATAAGCTATCGTTTTCTTAGCTGGATAAGCTACCGTAATAGCTCCAGCTCTCAAAAATTGGAGTAGATTACTGTTATAAAAGCTGTCAGATTCGAGTAGCTATAAAAGCTGTCAGATTTCGTCTTGAGACTCTCTCTTGTTGGAGATCTCTCTTGTTTTGAGATCTCTCTTGTTTTGAGATCTCTCTCATCTCTCTTGACACTAATCAACAGATCTAGCAAGTCTAAACTCACATGGAAATTGCATTTGCGTATCTTTTCAATGGTGTCCTTTTGGCCTTGTACCTCGAATGGTGGTTTCCCCATTAAACATTCATACATCAGAATCCCGACTGCCCAGTTGTCCACCTGAAAATTGCAGTAAAAAAGAAAAGAAAATATTTTTCGAATACATATCGAACGATCAATTCAAAGAATAATAAACTGAGACTTGTAAAACTTTTTTTGTTTGCCTACAATACGTAGAGAGTACTATTTAACAATGCTTTCTTTTCGTCTACTAGTACTCACCTTGTACGTGTGTGGCTTATGAGCGATCATCTCAGGTGGCAAATAATCCAATGTGCCGCAAACTGTGCCTCGTTTCGATTGACCATCGTGTTGAACAGCCCATCTGAAAAAGCGATTATCGATGAAAATCTAGAACTGACCCAAAATCGGACAACTTCAGATTGCCCTTTTTGTCGATAAGAACATTCTCGGGCTTTACATCTCGATGAATGACGAGACGCTCGTGACAATGCTCGAGTGCGCTTGAGAGCTGATAAATGTATCTGCAAATGGGGGGGAAATCTTTGAATTTTTGAATTTGAGATTTACTTAGCCGTCTCCTCGTTTCCGCAATTTCCCTTTCTCACGCAAAATTCGATACAATTCCCCTTGATGACAGTATTCTAACACAATGTAAACCTTGTCGATGTCATGGAAATATCCATACAAACGCAGAATGTTTGGGTGTCTGAAAATAGAAAATAGAAAATAGAAAATCGAAAATAGAAAACAAATGAAAGCAGAATATTGCATGTAAAGAGTAAGTAATAGATAGTGTTTGGTTAAATTGAAAAGTTTCGTTAAAATTGGCTTCAAAATTTGAACCAAATTAGCTACCAAATTAGCTACCATATTAGCTACCATTTCTAGTAAATACAAATAAATATTGACCTCAAATGATACTGTATCTCGACCTCTCTCCTCAATTGATGTGCGACATTCAGTCGAATCAACTCCTTTTTAAAGAGAACCTTTAAAGCGACGATGAAATGCGACGCGTTCTCTCGACACAGATACACGTTGCCGAACTGGAAATTGAAAAAGATCTATTGAAATCGAAAAGATCTATTCAAATTGAAAAGAAGATCAATAAGTCCTTGGAATTCTTTGAATCTTCTTTTAAATTTCAGCACAAGATCAATGAAAACTGAACTGGAAATTGGAAAGATCTATTGAAATTGAAAAGATCTATTCAAATTTGAAAAAAGATCTATTGAAATTGAAAGAAAGCTCAATAAATCCTTGGAATTCTTTTGAATTTTCTTCCTTAAATCTTTCTTTAAATTTGAGCACAAGATCAATGAAACCTTGGCTATTTTGAAAGAATTCTCTTGAAAAATCAACAAACCCGTCCTTTCCCAAGCGGTCGCCCAATCCCAAAGTCATTCAAAACCCAGCTCGTTTTCTCTTCAGCTTTCATCTCTCCCAAATTCTCCTCGTTTTTCAGTGCCATTTTCTTAAAATATTATATAATATAAATTTATAAAGAATTAAAATTTAAAATAAAAATGCACAAAAAATTTCCTTACAAGGAAATTTGAAATCATCTGCCACTCTTTTTTTTCAAAAATCCCGCAAATTCTTGATGTCGATAGTACAATATTGTTATGAATAGGGTAAAGTAATCAATCGAATTCGAATTTCTATTGTAGATCGTATAATTGATGTAAATATTGTTATGAATGGGGTACAATAATCAATTGAATTCCTAATTTCTATTGTAGATCGTATAATTGATGTAAATATTGTGATGAATAGGGTAAAGTAATCAATTGAATTCTAATTTATATTGTAGATCGTATCAATGATGTAAATATTGTGATGAATGGGGTACAATAATCAATTGAATTCTAATTTCTATTAGTAGCTCGTGTTTTCGTGTCATTTTATGTTTGTTAATCTTATTCTTGCATAATGTGAAAGAAAATCAAGTTAAAATCTTTATTTCACTCTAGCAAACTAGGAGAAAATTAGTTTTTGGAGATTTTTTTGTTGCGAATCAACGTCCCCACATCATACCCGGAAAGCCCATGCCAAAGCTGGAAAAAAAATGAGATGACGATTGAGTTTTGAAAACTCACCCTCTTCTCATTCCCCACATTCCACCGAACGGACGTCGCCACATACCCACTAAAAATGTTCAGTGTTACGATTAGAATTAGAATTAGAAAATTGATGATCATTACCGTTTCTTATTAGCTAAAAGTTAAACAATTTTCCTCTAGTTTCTTTAATTTTTCATCATTTTTGACAAAAACTATAATAATTTAACAATAAAATATTCTACAATAATGTCAAGTAATCTCATCAAGTTGAAATGGTGAGATAACCTTAACAAATTCGTTGGATAACCTCAACAACTTGGTTGATCTCATCAACTTGGTTAGATAACCTTAACAAATTCGTTGGATAACCTCAACAACTTAGCTGGATAACCTCACCAACTTGCTTAGATAACCTCACCAAGTTAACACCTTAGCTTTTAACAAAATTAGCATAAATCTAGCTACTTTTCAATGAAATTTCCATGAAATATCAAAGATCTCACTTCCATAGCCGAATTGAGCTTCAGTGACGCTAAGAATGGCCACCAAAAGCACCAAGAGTAATAAGAATTTCATTCTTTTTTTTTGAAGACAATAAGACTGCATATCTTTTAGGATTTTCAGTTATTTTATACTTTTCTAGCATCTTTTAAACCGGTTTTACTCTTTAACCAAAAATCGACTGTACTTTGAATAAAAACAAACGAACTGTTAAGAATAAAGTGCTTTTTAGGATAAACAAAAGTTTAGCCTAGATTCATTTAGCGGAATGATGTCATTTTTTTTTTATAAATTATGTCTAGACACTCAAATTTACTCGTTTTTTTCTGTTGTGAAGATTAAACAACCAGTTTCAAAATGAAAGAAGAATATCATATATCATTTATCTTTCATTCATCTTCTTCCTCTATGATAAATGAAAGAAGAAATGTGATATTTACAATCATAAAGAAAAGAAAACTCATCTTTTCAAGTACATCAATGCAAAAGGGAAAGAAAGAAAGAAAGAAAAGAAGAAAGGAAGGAAGAAAGAGAGAAAGAAAGAGAGAAAGAGAGAAAGAAAGAGAGAAAGAGAGAAAGAGAGAAAGAAAGAAAGAAAGAAAGAAAGAAAGAAAAAAAGAAAACAATGAAAAGTGTTGAGTAAACAGAGTGAAACACGGAAATTTGTGTACTTTAGATGAAAGAGGGAAATTGTTGCCATTTCTTCAATGGAATCTATTTGAATTACCTTGAATTTTGTCTTGAAACAAACAAATCACTTTCCTAGAATAGATACCTTGAATTTTAAGCAATACACATAAAAAGCAATACTGAATTTTCAAACCAAAAACCCCCAAACAAATTTGGCGAGTTTGCCCTTTTGAAAATCTTTTTTTAGTTGCCCCGTTCCGCAAGTGACATCATTGGATTCTAAATGAAATTCTGACTAATGTTAATGTGCCATTTGGATAAATTTGTCCCATTAGCCATCAAAATCATCGAGAATTTGAGCTTCAAAGTTGAAATCACAATATTTACTGTGAGTGACGGTGACTATGGCTTTAGGAGTCCATAAGTTATGGGCTTCTCCGTCATTCTCTCCGTTCTTCTCCGCCATTCTCTCCGTTCTTCTCCGCCATTCTCTCCGTTCTTCTCCGCCATTCTCTCCGTTCTTCTCCGCCATTCTCTCCATTCTTCTCCGCCATTCTCTCCGTTCTTCTCCGCCATTCTCTCCGTTCTTCTCCGCCATTCTCTCCGTTCTTCTCCGCCATTCTCTCCAATTGATCAATTTGAATGTCATTGATATAAAAAGTGATCTTTGGTGCTGGTGGTGGGAAAGAAAAGAAAAAAGAAAAAAAAACTGGATTCGCAAATCAAAAGACCATAAATGGGGTCTATTCATAAAGCAAACATCAAAAAAAAAATCACTCATCACCATCAAAGTTCATCCATTTTTCTCAAATACATGTCTAGCTCAAATATTAGCTTTCCAAAACGTTATATTAATTCAGAAATTACTTATTCTAGCGCTTAGTGGAGTTTTATTTTGCCCAAAAAAATTCTTGGGTAAGCCTATTGGAAAAATGTTGCAAAAAATGGCCTTTTCTATCCGGTTTCACCCCATCAAAGACAAGCCGATCGTTCTTTCACTCAAAAAAAAAGCTACTCAAAATCCCATCCGTGAACACACACGTATGCGCTTTTTGTGGTCAACGAGTGCCAAAACCACTTTTCGGTAGAGTGGTTTTGCAAAAAGCAGTATCAATGGTTGATCTCGAAAATTGTTCGAAAACGAAAATCGCATCGTTTTCTTAATTTAGTTGCTTTTTATGTAAAATAATGATTTGCGATGAAATTGTTGTTAAACAGAGCCATTTGATTCCTAGCGAAGATCTGAGAAAAATGATCATCTTTAAAACGGATTGATTAGGGACGCTCGGAAAAGAGCACCTATCTATCGGGGACGTTTGCCAGATCGCGAGCGATTACCCAGCCGCACAACAAACATTTGATTCTATTGCGAAGATCTAACGAAAATGATCATCTTTAAAACGGATTGATAAAAAACCCTTGGAAAAGAGCACCTATCTATCGGCGACGTTTGCCAGATCGCGAGCGATTACCCAGCCGCACAACGAACATTTCGCTAGTCATTGGGAAGCCAGTCAGAAAAAGATATTTGACTGGAAATTTGTACGCGGGGGTTTTCGGGATCGGTGAATCAATTGAAGCTATTCATTTTATCAAGGCTACCAGTTTATACTGTACAATAAATCAAGCGCAAGGATCTCAAAACGATACACAGAAACACGAGTAAAGGAGATGGGCCAGTTTTTTTTTTGCACGCACACACTCGCACCCTTTGATCCTTGGACCTGTTATTGGGGTAAACAAAAAAGAAAGAACAAGAAAGAACAAGAAAGAACAAGAAATTCGACACACTGCTTACCCTTTCATCTTGCTCTTTTATCCATAACTTGTCCCCAATCTCTTCATTGACCTTTTACCCTTTACCGCTTATTTGTGTAGACTCTACGCCTTTTCCCAGGGCTTCTTTTTTGTCTGTTTGCACCACAATCAGGAATTGTTCCTGATTCAAAAAAGAGATTCTTTTAGCTCCAAGATCGACACCAAATGACTTTACAGAGTCCCCAAGGTAGGCACTAGGGTAGCCTAGACTATCTGAGACCTTGCCGTGGGTTTCACAAAGCCCAACTAGTTTCCACCCCAGCACAATACTTATAAAAGCTCTCATTCAACTGACTGACTGACAATTGAGCAACTGATTAACGCATCAAGTGCCCAACTCGTCATCACTTTTTTTATTCACGTTTAGAACTTACTGTATCTCATTGAGTATGATTTAAAAAATTCTATAGGTTTGCTGACGACTATCCACGTTTCTCTGATTTCTTCAGACTTTCTTTCTTTATTATAACGATATTCAGTTCATTTCCCTTATCTAAATCTTATTCTATTTATATTGATTCAAATTCTGACTTTCAGACTTTCATCAAACAGTGAAAATACAGGATTTTGTTATTAAATTCTTTTAAAATCTCTAATCCTACTTGTCTTCTTGTCTTTTAAAACTTTCTAATTTTTATTAAACCTCGTATATAGACTCAGTTTTGAAGTCAAACAAGAATTCTTTTAAGATCCGATTTTAACTGGCTAACTCTGTCCTGTCTAGCTAAGGCCTGTCTAGCTAAGGCCTGTCTAGCTAAGGCCTGTCTAGCTAAGGCCTGTCTAGCTAAGGCCTGTCTAGCTAAGGCCTGTCTAGCTAAGGCCTATCTAGCTAAGGCCTATCTAGCTAAGGCCTGTCTAGCTAAGACCTATCTAGCTAAGGACTGTCTAGCTAAGGCCTGTCTAGCTAAGACCTGTCTAGCTAAGGAAAACTTAAGTCCATCAAAGCTAATGACAATGGTTTTTTAAGTGTAAGAGTTTTCCTCTAAAACTTTCATTCTCTTTTTGCAAATGTTTTCCATTTCTAGTGATGTCCAAGCTGAGTCTCGCGGTGCTTTGCGCCATTTTTGCAGTCGCACATGCGCAAATCGTGCCGATTGTTGCTCCATGTTACTCGTCGAGTGGATGTCAATTGGTGAGTCAGTCAGCCTCTACCTGAAACTTATTCAAAATTTGCAGAGTGCCGGGTCGGGCTTTGGTTCTTCATGTGGTTCTTCGTGCGGTTCTTCGTGCGGTTGTTCGACTTCATCGAATAATTGCTGTTGCCCGACAACATCCTCAAACTGCTGTAATACGGGATCGAGCTGTTGCAACACCGGGGTACAGGCTTTTAGGCTAGTAGGCTTTAGGCTCAAATGAAGCGTTACCTTTTGGATGAGAATGAGAATTCTCTACCGTAAGACTTCTAGATATAGAGATCCACTTTTTCAGTCGTCTTGCTGCTCCTCATCATCGTGCAACTCGAACTCGGCACCGGTGAGTGAACGAAAATCCATCCAATCCATCCAATCCTAGATCATCGTGATCCCCTCCTCCTCATCTTGTGGCTCTTCGAGCTCTTCGAATTGTTGTTCATCTTCATCTTCATCTTGTTGTTGTCCATCATCGTCCACCTCGTCAAACTGTTGCTGCAACAATTCGTGTAATTCCAACAGTTCTGGTGGAACGGTTAGTACAAAGATTAGTTACAAAAAATTTGTTTTCTTTAAAAAAATGAATCTATTTAACAAATTAGACAGAAAGCTAAAAGATAATTCATTGAAATTTCCAGCTCTTGTTGATCCCAGTCAGCTATGGAAGTTCATCATGTTGCACAAATGGAAGTGAGTTTTTTTTTTCTTGTAAAATTTAAAGCACAATTAGTGTACGTTTAAAAAAAAAAAATGATAAAGATGAAAAGATTACTGTACTTTTTGCTATCCGTAAACCGGTATTTTCTTTGGAGTTGATGTTAATGTTTGTTCTTTTTTTTTTTAAAGATACTTCATGCTGTGGTTATCGACGTTTCATGAGACGTCATCGTCAACAACAAAGACAACAAAAAAGTGAAGAAGGATCACGAAAATTCACGAATCTTCAACAAATTTTGGGTATGAATACTCAAAATGTGAAAATGCCAATTTTACGAATTTAAAAAAAAACAAATTTCCACTTTTTTTTTTTTGATCCCTTTTTATCTCAGGTATTTCAACTACAAACTACGAAATTTTTTTAATATTCCTTTATCATTCTATTATCTATTTATTTGTGATAAAGATTTCGATTAATTTGATTGATTACATTGATTGATTACATTTTACATTGACATTTACATTGACATTGACATTGACAGTTTACAGTTACAGTTACAGTTACAGTTACAGTTACAGTTACAGTTACATTTACAGTTACAGTTACATTTACAGTTACAGTTACAGTTACAGTTACAGTTACAGTTACAGTTACAGTTACAGTTACAGTTACATTTACAGTTACAGTTACAGTTACAGTTACAGTTACATTTACAGTTACAGTTACAGTTACATTTACATTTACATTTAAATACCAGTATACCAATCAATCTGATCCATTTGATAAATTGAAGAATACCATTCTTCAATTTATCGAAAGATTGGCAAAAATTCAAAATACAAATCGGTTTTTAAAGCTAAACTGCTTTTCTATAATAGAGAAATTTATTCGTTTCCTATCAAAACCTATTATTTGTAAAGATGATATTAGACTGGTTGACAAGTGTATTGCTTTGTGATGGCATTCATCTTCTTTGAGTAACCAGCGCAACATGAAATCCCATTTGGGCAAACAACTGATCCACATTTCACTTGTCGAGTGAAAGAACCGCTAAAATTGAAAGGATAATGGTTGAAAATGAGTCTGCTATTTTCTTTGATTGATCTAGTTAGATTGATCTTATTAGATTGATCTTATTAGATTGATCTTATTAGATTGATCTAGTTAGATTGATTTAATTAGATTGATCTAGTTAGAGCTTAGCTTAAAGTTAAGCACAAATCATTCAGATTAAGGAAGACTTTTAAAGGGTAAATCATCTACACTAGACAACTTTAGTAATCTTTAATTTACAGCAATTTACAGTAGTTCTAATCATTACTGTGTTCACTGAGAATTTAGCCGAAATTCGACTTTGATTGCTCCTCTTGAAACACTAGAAACAAGAGAAAAGCCTTTAAAAGCCTTTAAAAAAACTTGTTTAACAAACGCAAACCTGCATTGACATCCAGGTGGAAGACAATATCGTTTCTGCTTCTTTACACCACACATTCCACAACTCTTTGTACATGTGGATACATCAAACCACGATCTCCAAATCCCTTTACACGATTTTGACTAAACAATTTTACTATTCTAAAGCTTTCAATAGCCTACCGCTGTGTTAGCCTTTTTTGCAAAACTTTGTCCCATCATAAGCCACTGATGGCGATGATCCAGCACAGCATGCAACTCCAGATGGACAACTCGGATTACCGCACTTTGTGCTTGAGTAGCAGCGCCACTAAAGTCAACAATTTTTAGAGTTCAAGCCTTTAAGCTAAGCCTAAGCAGATCCAAATTCAGCTTCCAGATCTAAACAATAAAGCCGACCAGATCTTTTATTTCTAAATATTTTACCGGCATGGACATCCGTAACTTCCCGATGCACATGTTCTCTTTCTCGTTTGAGTTCCGCAAAGTCCACAACTTTTTGTGCACGTTCCCCACAAACCCCAATCATTCCATAAACCGTTTCCATCTAAATTAAAAGTTAAATGAAATGAATCAGTTTTGAAGCTCATCAAAAGGGAAAAGAAGCTCATCAAAGGACAGAAGGACAGCATTTTGTTGAACTCACTAGAAGGACAACATTTTGTTGGACTCACTAGAAGGACAGCATTTTGTTGAACTCACTAGAAGGACAACATTTTGTTGTTTCAATTGCTGGCGTTGGAGTGGTTGTTGGCAGTTGACAAGTGTACGCTTTTTTCACTCCATTTAACTTCTTTACATACGGAGCACAACAAGTTGGATTCGGAAAGACACACGGGATTTCGGTGAGTGCAATCGTTTGCTCGCTCGATCCACTAGAAATTAGAGAAATATATTAGGTTGAGGAAAAAGTAATGTCGGTTTTGAATTCCCGTTGTTGGCGAAAAGTTTCGACTTCGAGCCACTTTGTGGTATGTTTTTAAATAAGGGAAATCGACGAGCTTGGTTGGAAACTTCTGCCCCATGCACCCATGCATAGTCCGGACCTGACCCCAACAGATTATTTTTTGTTTCGGTCATTGAAGAGTTTTCTTATGGGAGAAAGGTTTGAGGATCATGCTGAGATCAAAAAAAAGCAGTCGACGCTTATTTTGGCTTGAAAACTCCCTATTTTCTTTTGAGAATGAGATCAGGGACTTGCGACAAAGATGGGAATAAGTCATCAATAATAATTGAGAATATCTCATTGATTGATGTGCGTTTGTTTATGTTTAGCAATAAACCGACATTACTTTTTTCCTCAACCTAATAGAAATAGAGTAGACTTCTCTGATTGTTGATTTACATCAAAAACTTACACGCATTTACATCCATAACTCAACGATAAACATTTGCGTGTTTGTTTCTGTGTGGCACACATGCCACAAACGAGTTTTCTCGATTGACCACCCGGTTGAATATTTCCGACATCGATCCAATCACTCCAGATTCCTGAAAAGAGGATTTTGAAAGAAGAAACAAGAATAACATCACTCTTCAACGCACCTTTCAATGGACAACAACCTTCTGTACAATTGTTGAAACTTGGTTGCTCGACTGTTCGCTGAAAGATTGAATTCTCTATTGAATTTGTCAAAAAAAAACCGTTGGCAAAGGCCCGCACGCGTTCTCGTTATTCCAAACTCCGGTTTTCATCCCTGGGCAACAGGTTTTTCGGGGGAAACTGCACACTCCTGTGTTACAATATTCGACTTTTTGTGCAGCACCCCTAGATTTATTGTAGTAGTTTTTGAAAATCTTTCACTCACTTGCAAGGACATCCTTTAGCCTTCGAGGTACAGGTTCTCGTATGCGTGAGCTTTCCACACGATCCGCAATAATCGGGACATTGTCCTTGTGAAACCCATTCCGTCCAAGTGCCTGTAGCTGAGCAACAAGTTGGTGGCTTTGTTGTTGGTTTCGTTGTCGTTTTCTTCGTCGTCTTTGTCGTTGGCTTCTTCGTCGTCTTCGTCGTGGGTTTCTTTGTCGTCTTTGTCGTTGGCTTCTTCGTCGTCTTTGTCGTCGTTTTCGTTGTCTAAATGAATAGATATTTGTTTGATAAGCATTTCCAGAAGAAAGAAGAAAGACATGATCTAGTTTCACCGTTTTCTTGGTAGTGGTGACAGTTGTTTTCGCGGGGACTGTTGTTGCGGTGACTTTCGTCGAAACGGTGTTTGTCGTTGTCGTTGCGGCGGTGGTTTTTGGTGGCACAGTGTACGCTAAAATCGGTTTTTTTATTGTAGAATTGAAAACTTTTTACTTTCACAAGAGAATTCCCCATTCGACGGTGCCCACGTCCCATCGGCGGCACAAGTGTACGTCTCGCTGAAGGTGATCAACTCACCGGTGGCTCCATTGTGATCACCAGATGGACCCTAAACAAAACTAAGCTGCTAATTGAGGTTAAGGATTACGGTAACTCAAATCTATTTATTGATTCTTACAGGCATTACAGTTACAAGTCAACCTTAGTACAACCTTAGCTGGAGTGACTCCATCAGCGAGATATGTCGCTCCATAAACATACTCGACTCCTTGGCACGTCACCTTGACCGACTGAAATTGCTAGAGTTAAAAGGATTTCATATTTTCACAAACTTTACACCCATTTCCATCAATCCCATAGCTAAATGTGGGATCGACGTAGAAGAAAACGGTGTTACAATCGGCTGCTTCGGCGATGATACATGTGCCTGCTGTTTTTGCCGCTCCACAATTACCGCACTCACTTGGTGCTCTCTAAATGATAAGTAAAGTTATTCGAAAATCTTTTCCCCTCCTCTGGCTTCAAGTCTTGCCAATGCTTTGACTGAGAGCCAAAAGCAAACCCTAACTTTGCCTGATCTTCTTTTGAATTTATTACTCTTTCCAAAAATTCACCTATCGTAAATACTGTAATAGTACCCATAATGACGGTGCGGAGTGTTGCGTAGTCTAGCTTTGGACGCGCGGAGTGTTGCGTAGTCTAGCTTTGGACGAGTTTTTCTCGACACTGGTTTATGCTACAATGTGCGCTTAGGTATCAAAAAATAGCTGAAATTTAGGGCTATTTTTGAAAGTACGGGTGCTTTGGAAAAAATGAAATACTAAAAAACTTTTGCGACTACCCGACTGTACGGAGGGCGGTGGGGGTACTATTACAGTATTTACGGTAGTTGTTGTTGTTAGTTGTTGTTAGTTGTTGTTGTTGTTAGTGGTTGTTAGACGACTGCTTTCCAAATCAGTGACTTTTAAGTCAACCTCAACATTTTTCCATCTTTCCTTCATTCATTTCACCAAATCTACTTCAGAAATCAGGCTTTCGTTTGTTTATTCAATGATTTGTGATTTGTGATTTGTGAATGATTTGTGAATGATTTGTGAATGATTTGTGAATGATTTGTGAATGATTTGTCTCAAAATTCAGCTCATTACCTCATTACAGTATTTACGATAGTTCATCTCAAACTTTTAAACCTTAAAACGGTCATTTAATTCTATTTTAAACAACGATTTGTCTAATCGACGAACAAACGATGTCTAATCGATCGATCAACAAACCTTGAATCGTTCATTTAGCGGCGCTAAGCTATTGTTGAATGAATCCGACAATCTCGCTAATCCAACACTTATCGTTTTTTCTTTTTCTTCATAACTGTTTACATGAATGAAAGAAATAAACGAGAAGATTATCCAAATTTGAAGCATTTTTAACGTCTAAATCGTCGAATTTAAACGTCTAAATTGAAAGGGGAAACTTTAAAATCAACTTTAAAATAAAAAAAAACCAAAAAAAATGATTTACTAATGTCGGATTTGATTTTTAAAAAGCTATTTATTGAAAGAATTTTTAAAAAAAATCTATTTTTGGCTTTAATATTTAATAATTTTATTGGAGAATTGAAGGCATATTTCCCAGTTCAAACGTGATTTCAAAGATCTCATTTTGATGTTGAATAGAATGCAAAAAAAAAGCAGCACCTATTGAAAATAAAGAATATCGAAATGTTTGAGCAAAAAAAAGTTCCAAATTTGATATCTAAACTATGATGACAATTTCAAAAAAGAATCGTTCCCGAAAGCTAAATGCATCGATTTGTAAAAGCCTTTTTCAAATTTGAACACTAGAAATGTACCATCAACCGCCCACACAGAAAACTAACGTGTTTCTGCGCTAGTGTTCTCTCTGGCTTTTCAATAAATAACCTTGTTTACTTTTAGTGATTAACTATTCAAATTTAGAGTTTATTTTTTTAAAGAATCCTTCAGAATGTTATCAAATAGACTTGATTGAACTTGATTAAACTAAACAATCCAGCAGTTAATATATATATATGTTGTGTCCGATTTAGATTTCCGTCCGATTTAGATTGAACTTATCGCGGACGTCCGATTTAGATTACAGTCTATATCGGACGTCCGATTTAGATTCAATCTAAATCGGACGTCTTATATAGATTGAACAATAATATAAACATGCTTAATATATGTTCTTAAGCGTTTTCTGTAGTTTTCTGCATTTTTCAAAGGTATGTTATTGTCTTTTTCTGAAAAGAAAACCCAACTATGAAATAATCAATAAAAGACCTTTGAAAATGCAGAAAACTACAGAAAACGCTTAAGAACATATACTAAACATGTTTATATTATTGTTCAATCTATATAAGATTTAGATTGAATCTAAATCGGACGTCCGATATAGACTGTAATCTAAATCGGACGTCCGCGATAAGTCCAATCGAAATCGGACACAACATATATATATATATATATATATATATTCATACTTTATTCAGGACATGAAATAAAGCGTAATCAGTCAGACAATACACAAATCTACACAATAAATACATAGAGAAAGATGAGATATTTTACTCGGCGATGTGGAGGCGGGGAGAAAAGAAGATAGATAGAAGATAGGCTTCTTGCTTTAATAACCTCAAGCCATGAATGGGCCAACCCAGTGGAAGAGTGAACTCCGCTAGAGAAGGGATCTCTAGTCAGCTCTAGAGAAGAGACCTCTAGTCTGGGCGCACGGGCTAGGGAAGAGAACCCTAGGGGGGCCGAACCCCACACCCTCAGTTTGGAAGTGAGCACTTAACCCAAGCATTCAAATGATACTTGAATTGATTCGATGAATCGATTGAATGAATCGATTGAATGAATTGATTGCTCTATTAGTCTCTTTTCCATGTAATGCCTAGTCTTAGCTTCCTGCATTTTCGTGAACTTCTCTTCTAACCATAAGTCTTCCTTAGCTTTCTTATAATCTTCAACTAATGTTTCTATGTTAGAACTAGCACAATTGGAATGTACACTATTAGAAGATGTATCTTGTGGTTTGGGTGATGAGATTTGAAGATGTTCCATTCCATCGATTTCTTCAAACTCGTCATCGGGATGTTGAAATTCCAGATCCCCAGAAGTTAAATCAGACATCTGAAGAAAGAATGACAAAATCGAATATTTTTAGTTTTAGAAGAAAATACAAAATAGTACCCAGCTCAAAGTATTTAAAAAATGAACAAATTACCTCTAGTTTAAAGCGAGATATTCGACTTTGAAGGATAATTTATGCAAGAAAAGTAGAAAAATTTTGAGCAGAAAATTGTTGGGTGTGATCACTTTTCTCTCCTTTGATCGATTTCTCCTTTTTTCTCACGCCGCGATGTGATTTATCGGTGTTCAATTGAATCAAAGAGTGAACTGGGGAGAGTTTCACACAAAAAACATCGTTGAAATTTTTGATCTTTTTACGATTATTTAAAAAGTAATTCTTTGTTTCCATTCAACTTCAAAAGAATGTTGATTATTTGCTGGGTTGGCTCAATTTCGCGGTTGAACCAAGTGCGCGCAACGCGTTGGGCTAGAGTGGAAGAGAGTGACGCGTCTGTGCAGAGACGCAGAGAAAAGGCGAGAGTCATCCATAAGCATCCGTGTACGGAGAAGAGTCTTAGTGTTCCTCTGTAGTTCACGTTGTGCGTGATTTTACATCCATAGCTATCATTGTTTTTCTCCATAAGTTTTAGTTAGGTAGTTAAGGAAACCGGGAAGGCAAAAGGATTTCTGTGTAAAAGCTAGAACCATCGATGCTAATTTTGATAAATCTCAGTTGATTTTAAGTAGAATTTCGAAAATTTGCATATGAAACACGCCAGAAATACTGGGGAAAAAAAAATCATTTTCATTTTCTCCCTTTGTTTGTTTCCGAATTGTCGGGTTCCCCTTGTTGTTAAGTTTTGCTTTTTGTTGTCATAAAATTTACGTCCTTTTACTTAATTTTCTAAAGCACGCACAGTATTACGCCAATTAGAAGTAATAATTCTACTAAGTTGCGGTGCACTCTAACTGTGCTAATTTTTTTCCGGAAATGGGCGCTTTTTCTTTCTTTCTTTCTATCTTTTCCTATCTTAAAGAGTTTGTGTAAACAATTCATTCTTTTTTTTTCAGATACCTCGAAATCTCGAAATGGCGCAGTCAATTCGAATCAAGATGATGGACAAGGAAAAGAACGTGGCATTGTCTGGAAATTTCATCACCGAAAGCTCTATCAGACACGCTTTTCTTCTTCCGCCAGATGCAATTGTGGAGTTGTCGTTTGAGGCCAATGGCATGCAGATTAATTGCGGGTAAGTCATATGTTGAATTATTTTTGATTTATTTCAATTAATTTAGAGTGAATGAAGCCGGCACGACGTTTTTGCTTCCGGATGGATGGCCCGCTATCCAGTTTTTCGTTGACTCGAATAAGGCACCTTCGCGACCGGAAACTCTTGCTGATATCGAAGGTTTGTATGATCTACAATTGAATTTATTATCTTTCATTAACAACTTTAGTTTGTATGTTTTTATACGAAAAGGATTTTTACTTAAATATTCATTTTAGCACAATTTTCGGACTACAAACGGGATCCTGAATCGCCCTACGTTATTGATGGTATTATATTTTAAATAGTCTAACAATTTATTGCTGGTTTTTGGAGAAACTGGCGAGCGAACTTTGCTACCGGCTCTTCTTTGCTCCTCGAGGACAAAAAGCTCTACGAGGTCCTTACGAGGAAACTTTTGCTGTAAAAGATGGTGTCATTGACGGTGGTTGCGTTTCCCCAATTTCACCGAGAGCTGCTGTGACATTCGCACACAAATCGCATGGAATTCTTCGCGAGTATGACGAAGGACAAGATGATGAAATTAACCAGCACAGCCTTGTGGAAATAAGAAACTGCCAAAATCACAATATTCGACACATCATGAAGGTATCTTTGGGAGAAATTTTTTGTAATTAATTCTATATATTGTAGGTCATTGTCGTCGACGCTCATCATGACTTTGTATTACTTTTCTCATTGAACGGAAGCATGATTTTTGAGGATTATCCGCATGCAGTGCGTCCCCCTAGAAATTTCGAATGGTTTCTTGGATTTAGTCTAAGTCATGAAACGGAAGATGGACAGCAAATGACTCATCGAACTGGCCGGATCTGTTCTATCAACGTGGACTACAGAGGACGTTTCTTGGCAAGTTCTTCGATTGATGGTGGTGACTCCGGAGGGCCATGTTACTCTGCTGATCGCGCTCTTATCGGGATTATGGTATCTTCGACAACAACAAGCCCGAGACTCACCGAGGAATATGATCGTGACATCATTGAAGAGGAAATCGCAGACGCTTCTTCTAATCCAGCCGATACGTGGATTTCTCCTGGAAATCTTATCTGGGGAGCCTATCAAGTAATTTATTTTGAAACTTATAAATTCACATATAATATTTTTAGAAGTATCTCGTGCAGCATGGCTTTCTACAACCTCGTGGAGAAAGGGAGTTAGGTGGACCGAAACCAAAGCGTCGAGCCATCGCCAAATTAAATGTGTAAAAGTTTGATATAATAAATTGTTTTATCATTTGAATTTAGTTATTATAAACACATAAAACACCGCGGAAATTTTTGATTTTTTTTTTCTTACAAGGCTTAAATTCTGTTAGCGCAATTTGTGACTCGTGTGTTACTACCACCAGAATTCTTTAAAATCCGGAAACTTGCTATAACTGTTGATTTTTGGTTTGTTAGAGCATCAAAATCATTGATAAGGCGTCAAAAAAAACGCTAAAAACGGCGAAAAATGGAAAACACCCTGTTATGGGTGGTTGGTGCGCTAGAAATTTTTTTCTAAACTCACCCAAAAATTGAAAAACACGTAAAATCATGCTTAAACTTACAAAATTTAGTCATTTTTCGGTGAAAAAGACGTCTTTTTTGTTTTTTTTTTTTTACGCAGAGGGTGAAAGGGTGCGCTAGCGTGACCCATTATAATACTACTGACAGCATTTTGTTGTTTCAATTGCTGGCGTTGGAGTGGTTGTTGGTAGTTGACAAGTGTACGCTTTTTTCACTCCATTTAACTTCTTTACATACGGAGCACAACAAATTGGATTCGGAAAGAGGCATGGGATTTCGGTGAGTGCAATCGTTTGCTCGCTCGATCCACTAGAAATAGAGTAATATATTAGGTTGAGGAAAAAGTAATGTCGGTTTTGAATTCACATTGTTGGCGAAAAGTTTCGATTTCGAGCCGCTTTGTGGTATGATTTTAAATAAGGGAAACTTCGACGAGCTTGGTTGGAAACTTCTGCCCCACGCACCATATAGTCATATAGTAATCAACAGATTATTTTTTATTTCGGTCGTTGAAGAGTTTTCTTATGGGAGAAAGGTTCGAGGATCATGCTGAGATCAAAAAAAAAGCAGTCGACGCTTATTTTGGCTTGAAAACTCCCTATTTTCTTTTGAGAATGAGATCAGGGACTTGTGACAAAGATGGGAATAAGTCATCAATAATAATTGAGAATATCTCATTGATTGATGTGCGTTTGTTTATGTTTAGCAATAAACCGACATTACTTTTTCCTCAACCTAATAGAAATAGAGTAGACTTAGCTGATTTACTTGTTGATTTATATAAAAAAAAAAAAACTTACACGCATTTACATCCATAACTCAACGATAAACATTTGCGCGTTTGTTTCTGTGTGCCACACATGCCACAAACGAGTTTTCTCGATTGACCACCCGGTTGAACGTTTCCGACATCGATCCAATCACTCCAGATTCCTGAAAAGAGGATTTTGAAACAAGAATAACATCACTTAAACGCACCTTTCAATGGACAACAACCTTTTGTGCAATTGTTGAAACTTGGTTGCTCGACTGTTCGCTGAAAGATTGAATTCTCTATTGAATTTGTCAAAAAAAAACCGTTGGCAAAGGCCCGCACGCGTTCTCGTTATTCCAAACTCCGGTTTTCATCCCTGGGCAACAGGTTTTTCGGGGGAAACTGCACACACCCGTGTTACAATATTCGACTTTTTGTGCAGCACCCCTAGATTTATTGTAGATTTTTTGAAAATCTTTCACTCACTTGCAAGGACATCCTTTAGCCTTCGAGGTACAGGTTCTCGTATGCGTGAGCTTTCCACACGATCCGCAATAATCGGGACATTGTCCTTGTGAAACCCATTCCGTCCAAGTGCCTGTAGCTGAGCAACAAGTTGGTGGCTTTGTTGTTGGTTCCGTTGTCGTTTTCTTCGTCGTCTTCGTCGCCTTTGTCGTGGGTTTCTTAGTCGTTTTCGTTGTGGGTTTCTTCGTCGTCTTTGTCGTTGGCTTCTTCGTCTTCTTTGTTGTGGGTTTCTTAGTCGTCTTTGTCGTTGGCTTCTTCGTCGTCTTCGTTGTGGTCTTCGTTGTGGTTTTCGTTGTCTAAATGAATAGATATTTGTTTAATAAGCATTTCCAGAAGAAAGAAGAAAGACATGATCTAGTTTCACCGTTTTCTTGGTAGTGGTGACAGTTGTTTTCGCGGGGACTGTTGTTGCGGTGACTTTCGTCGAAACGGTGTTTGTCGTTGTCGTTGCGGCGGTGGTTTTTGGTGGCACAGTGTACGCTAAAATCGGTTTTTTTATTGTAGAATTGAAAACTTTTTACTTTCACAAGAGAATTCCCCATTCGACGGTGCCCACGTCCCATCGGCGGCACAAGTGTACGTCTCGCTGAAGGTGATCAACTCACCGGTGGCTCCATTGTGATCACCAGATGGACCCTAAACAAAACTAAGCTGCTAATTGAGGTTAAGGATTACGGTAACTCAAATCATTTATCGATTATTACAGGCATTACAGTTACAAGTCAACCTTAGCAGCAGTGACTCCATCAGCGAGATATGTCGCCCCATACACATACTCGACTCCTTGGCACGTCACCTTGACCGTCTGAAATTGCTAGAGTTAAAAGGATTTCATATTTTCACAAACTTTACACCCATTTCCATCAATCCCATAGCTAAATGAGGGATCGACGTAGAAGAAAACGGTGTTACAATCGGCTGCTTCGGCGATGATACATGTGCCTGCTGTTTTTGCCGCTCCGCAATTACCGCACTCACTTGGTGCTCTCTAAATGATAAGTAAAGTTATTCGAAAATCTTTTCCCCTCCTCTGGCTTCAAGTCTTGCCAATGCTTTGACTGAGAGCCAAAAGCAAACCCTAACTTTGCCTGATCTTCTTTTGAATTTATTACTCTTTCCAAAAATTCACCTATCGTAAATACGTGTTTCTGTGCTAGCGTTCTCTCTGACTTTTCAATAAATAACCTTGTTTACTTTTAGTGATTAACTATTCAAATTTAGAGTTTATTTTGTTTTTATAAAGAATCCTTTAGAATGTTATCAAATAGACTTGATTGAACTTGATTAAACTAAACAATCCAGCAGTTAACCCAAGCATTCAAATGATACTTGAATTGATTCGATGAATCGATTCAAGCTATTCATTTTATTGAGTCTATCAATTAACTTGAGTAATCGTTCTAAACTTTTAGAGAAACTCGAAAAAACGATGATCTGATTATGTGGTCCAGTCTCTATTTGATATCATTTGAAAGCCTAAAAGCCTGAAAGCCTGAAAGCCTAAAAGCCTAAAAGCCTAAAAACCTAAAAACCTAGAAACCTAAAAGCCTAAAAGTCTAAAAGCTTTTCTTTCACTCTATCAAAAAACAGCAATAATATAATCTCTAGATAAAGTTCAAATCTCAACAATCAAGACAGAGACCAGAAAAGGAAATTTTTTCGTTTTACAAGCTAACTGCTTTATAAGCTTTTCATAGTGGATGGTGAATTTTGTTTGATTTGTTTGTTTGTTTGTTGTTTGTTGTTTGTTGTTTGATTTGTTGAATTGAATGCCTCAGAAAGGAGTTCCGGCATTCAACGCAAACAGGAAAACAAATAAATGTTAGTTTTTGATATTCTTTTTTTTGCTCTTTAAGCAACTTTAAATAAATATCAAAAAATAAGTGAAATTATTTGAAATGAATTGATGGTTTTATGTTGAATAAATTTCAGTTCAAAGTCCGGCAGTTTTCAATTCACTAATCCAATAAATACCAAAAAAACATTACTATAATTTCCTCTTTTATTGTACCATGAAAATTCGGTACAAACTGTACTTTCCTATCATAAATCTGAAGTCTGAAGTTTAATTTAACTTTCAGAAGACATAGAATCCGATTGTCTCCTTTAAACGTTAAGGATTCAAAATGAAACGAAAAAAATAAAAAAAATAGCCTGTCACTTTCCAATTTTCAAGTATACGGTATCAAAACTTTGATCATTTAGATAAAATTTGTGCTTTAGTTGAAGCAAAACAATGTCATATTTACGATCTCTTATCACAATAGACTTTGTAGTCCTTCAAGTACTTGTAACTTCCTAAAAAACTCCACCTTTTCATTGAAACTCGTAAAACTTTTCTTTTGAAAGAAAATGAGGAAAATTTATGAGAAAATTTGAATGCATCACAGGCGCAACCATCAAAAAAAACTATTTGAACCATGGTAAAGTAGCTAAGAAAAGCGTTTTAGCTAAGAAAAGTAGAAATTCTTGCGATCAACACTTTCTCCCTAAATTCAATGAAATCACTTGTCGAGAAGCTAAAAAAATATATAAACTTCATGTAACACAATGTTGATTGATGAAAATTTTAAAAGAAATGGATAGAAAAAAGCTAAGATTTGATACCTGGGTGAGACCTCTAACATACTAGCACTAGGCTTATTGGTTCATCATTTTCAAACTAACAAACAAAAAAAAAACAGCGAAATTATTTATCTCAACCTTTCGCGATTGTATTCGAATGAATATTTCGACTTTTCTTGCAAACATAGCAATAAGAAGTAGATGAAGGAAGATTGACTGTGGCGTCAACGTGATACTTTCTTGTGCGATTTGTGTCTTCTATACATCGTCAAGATTTCGAAGCTTTCGTCATCAATGCGTTGACTTCTTAAAATAAATGGCATACGAATTGAATTGATGCTTGTTTCTTCAAGTTTATGAGATTGGCGCCTCATATAAATAAAGAATATAATAGAATGATGTAACACAAAACAAAATCAAACTAAAAACTTGAAGAAAAATAAGAACTTTTAAATAAAACGTAGAAAGTGCGCATTAATTTAGTATCTTATTACTCAACGCATGAGCACTATGTACCGGATGAACGAGGCGAGCCCGGGTGAACGAGGCGAGCCCGGGTGAACGAGGCGAGCCCGGGTGAACGAGGCGAGCCCGGGTGAACGAGGCGAGCCCGGGTGAACGAGGCGAGCCCGGGTGAACGAGGCGAATGACTGAGCCTTCCCGTTTTGTTGGCGTCGCTATGCCCAAATTTTTGGGTTTAATTTATGCCGTAAATTTGGGAACAAATGCCAGATGGAGCGCGATGGTTGGCACGAACAAAGGACATTTCGCCAGTCATTTACATTACAAAATAGCCTGTCACTTTCCAATGATTTCCAAGTATACGGTATCAAACCTTTGATCATTTAGATCAAATTTGTGTTTTAGTTGAGGCAAAACAATGCCATCTTTACAATCTCTTATCAGAATAGACTCTGTAGTCCTTGAAAAAGTTGAGTTTTCTAAAATTTACTCGAGAAAAACTCGATCTTTTCGTTGAAATCTGTAAAAGTTATCTTTTGAAAGAAAATAAGGGAAAATTTACGAGAAAATTTGAGTTTAGAGTTATGTGAAAATGCATCACAGACACACCCATCAAAAATCAAAAAAAAAAACAAAAAAAAACTCTTTAAACTATGGTAAAATTTTCTTTTAGCTTCTTGAGATAAAGGTTTTCTCCTTAAATTCGATGAAATCACTTTCTAAGAAGCTCAAAAGAGTCTCGAATGTATATAAACTCAAACTGATCAACACTCTCACTTCACACTCTCTTTTGAATAACCTTTAAAAGCTCTTTTTAAGAATAAACCACCCTAATCCTTGTCCAATATGTCCAATCTAAATACATTGAATGAGATCATTAATCTTGCTTCAATCTATCCCTTTAGTTGAGGCTTATTTAGAAAGATTGAAGTAGATTCAATGAGAACAAATCTGATGGGGTACAAATCTGATGGGTACTATTTCTCTATGTTTTTACCAGTAAGTCTACAAAACAGATTCTATATTGCTTCAGTCAAATTTAATGTAGATTCTAATAAAAGTAACCATGAGTTGATTCAGTTTTTACATCTTGAGTTATAGACCATTTAAGTGAATCGACTCTTCCAAGTAGGTAGTCTGACTTTGACTCAAATTTTCTCTATATTTTTGCACTAGTGTGTACTAAGTAAATTGGGCTTTTGTATAACCAAATTTCATAAGGAACATTTTAAAATCAATCACAAGTTGATCTGACAATTAGAAGTCGAGATATGTTTCAATCTATCAATATGCTTCAATCTATCTCTTTAGTTGAGGCTTATGTAGAAAGATTGAAATAGATTCAATGAAAACTTGATAACGATAGCTTTTCTTGGGCTGGTCTAGTCTAGCTAGTTTTCGTTTTACATCAAAGTTAACCCAAACTATTGGAACAAGTCAAAAGAGTGCATATTCTCAATCAATCTTCAATTTTTCCAAATTTATCTCTGTATCTCAAATTGAATTGTATTTAAGACAAAAAAAGAAACCGTATAATGAAACTCCTTGTTGCCTTTCTCTGCCTTGTGGCAATGGTGGTCAGTTTTTTGTTTTGTTTTAAAACATCTAATAGCTTTGCTAAAATGCTAAAATGCTAGAAAGCTAGAAAGCTAGAAAAAAAGGGGAAATTGGGCTTTAAGCAATGTAAAGTAGAAAGTAGAGGCTGAAAGTTTCATTTAACGAATTCATATTTGATTTCAGTTTGCCGGTGGCGAGTTCACATGTCCATCTTACATTACATGTACTGATGGTAAATATTATATTTCATGTTTATTAATCAAAATTTGGATCCAAACCTTAGGATTAATGTCCTAGAGCTAGGCAACCTTTTGTTTAGTCTGGCCTAGAAGGTCAATGTTTAACTATTCCTTTAACAACATTTATTATTCTTTTTCAGGAGGTACCGCTTGTTGCCACCAAGATGGTAACACTCTCTATGTTGACGGGTGCTGTCCATATGCGAACGCTGTTTGCATTTCACCGACGTGAGCTTCTTTTAAGAAATTTGCAATCGCTTTTTAAAAAGTCTTAATTCAAAGATCTAAAATCAAGATTTTACTTTAAAAACTGACAATCAAAGAAACTAAATGAAAACGTTGAACGAATTGAATTCTATGAAACGATTGAAGGCTAATAGAATCGGAATCATTCAATTTTAATCATTTAATTTAATCATTTAATCATTTAATCATTTAATCATTGAATACTTTGATTCGAATGAGTTTCTTGGAGTTGTATGTAAACTAGGATATCTAGAGTAAATTGCTATGATTCTCGAGTACTATTAGTGCATTATTTTTTTACTGTACTAATAGTAAAGTAGATTATTACAATACTGTGAAAATGGTTTATCAAATTGTCAAATTCAGAACTTGTCAAAGAGCGGCTGAGCTCGGCAGAATGCTTCGTGGACAAATGGAGGACAAAGTAAAGGAAAAAAAGACAAATCTTTAGAATTAAAAATACAATAACATTTCTAAATTGAGATTTATGTTTTTAGATGAGTCAGCCAATGACGAAACTCGTCGCAATCAACCAAGCCATCGCTCTCAACGATGGCATCAAGAATTAACGGAAAATTCATTCAACAAATTCACTTTTTCAATTGTAATAAGTAAATGATAAACTCTGTTCAACAATTTTCAATAAAAAATGGGTAAAGAAGACAAGAAATAAGAAAGATGCAAGATCAACAGACCGCACTTCAAGATTGCTCTACTCTCATATCAGCTTATGGTTTTCTTTTGGCTAACATTACTGTAACTACACTGCTCCACAAAGTTCTATGGACTTTTACTTTTTAATCATTTTATGCACTTAAGAAACGATAGTGAAAAAAAAGTTGTTTAATCGTATTTTCCTTATTAGATTTTCCATTGAAACAGAAATGTTATTGTATTTTTAATATACTACAATATTTTGGAAGATCAATGTTTAAAAATCGCATTTTGTAAAAAATTTCCTTGAGCTCTTTCCATATAATTTTATATTTAGCAAAAAATAAAAATGATTTTAAAAAAGAACAACAAAAAAGTACCAAAAAACAGCTAAATGATTTATCTCAAACTTTCGGGATTGTATTCGAGTGATATTTCGACTTTTCTTTAAAATATAACAATAAGAGGTAGATGATTTCAGTTGATTTCAGAACTTGTCGCACTTTCAGAAGGAAGGTTGACGTCAACGTGTGGCGTCAACGTTCACCCGATTCACCCGGTATATAGTACCGGGTGGAACTCATGCGTTGCGTAATCTAATAGATACGAAATGAATGCTCACTTTTTACGTTTTATTTAAAAGTTCTTATTTTTCTTCAAGTTTTTAGTTTGATTTTGTTTTTTGTTTTACATCATTCCATTATATTTTTCTTTAGATGAGGCTCTCATAAACTTGGAGAAACAAGCATCAACTCAATTCGTATGCCATTTATTTTAACAAGTCAACCTCAAGACAATGATGATGAAAGTAAGTTTTTAGTTGTTTTTTTAATAATCAAAAACTAAGATTTATTTGTTTTCCTGTTTGCGTTGAATGCCGGAACTCCTTTCTGAGGCATTCAATTCAACAAATCAAACAACAAACAACAAACAACAAACAAACAAACAAATTAAACAAAATTCACTATCCACTATGAAAAGCTTATAAAACAGTTAGCTTGTAAAACGAAAGATTTTCTTTTTCTGGTCTCTGTCTTGATTGCTGAGCTTTGAAGAGTTATAACTTTTATCTAGAGATTATATTATTGCTGTTTTTTGATAGAGTGAAAGAAAAGCTTTTAGGCTTTTGAGGCTTTTAGGCTTTCAGGCTTTTAGGCCTTTAGGCTCTCAGCCTTTCAAATGATATCAAATAGAGACTGGACCAATCAAATCACCGTTTTTTCGAGTTTCTCTAAAAGTTTAGAACGATTACTCAAGTTAATTGATAGATTCAATAAGTGAATAGCTTGAATCGATTCATCGAATCAATTCAAGTATCATTTGAATGCTTGGGTTAACTGCTGGATTGTTTAGTTTAATAAAGTTCAATCAAGTTTTGTTTGATATTTGATAAGATAAATGTTTAGATCAATTACTCAAGTTAATTGATAGACTCAATAAAATGAATAGCTTGAATCGATTCATTGAATCAACTCATCGAATCAATTCAAGTATCATTTGAATGCTTAGGTTAACTGCTGGATTGTTTAGTTTAATCAAGTTCAATCAAGTCTATTTGATAACATTCTAAAGGATTCTTTATAAAAACAAAATAAACTCTAAATTTGAATAGTTAATCACTAAAAGTAAACAAGGTTAAGCTCGAGGAGCAAAGAAGAGCCGGTTGCAAAAGTTCGCTCGCCAGTTTCTCTAAAAACCAGCAATAAATTGTTAGACTATTTAAAATATAATACCATCAATAACGTAGGGCGATTCAGGTCGATCCCGTTTGTAGTCCGAAAATTGTGCTAAAATGAATATTTAAGTAAAAATCCTTTTCGTATAAAAACATACAAACTAAAGTTGTTAATGAAAGATAATAAATTCAATTGTAAATCATACAAACCTTCGATATCAGCAGGAGTTTCCGGTCGCGAAGGTGCCTTATTCGAGTCAACGAAAAACTGGATAGCGGGCCATCCATCCGGAAGCAAAAACGTCGTGCCAGCTTCATTCACTCTAAATTAATTGAAATAAGATCAGAAATAATTAAACTTTAACCAAATCAGATAAAATATTTTTATAATCAGAAATAAAGTAACTTACCGACAATATTTTTGATGATCATCCAATCCATACGACAATGAAATAACTGCATCATCGTCAAGTAAAAATGCAGATTTGATAGTGCTTTTGGTGATCAGATTGTCCGGCAGATCCAATTTCACTTCTTTGTCCATCATCTTGATTCGAATTGACTGCGCCATTTCGAGATTTCGAGGTATCTGAAAATAAAGAATTAATTGTTTACACAAACTCTTTAAGATAGGAAAAGATAGAAAGAAAGAAAGAAAAAGCGCCCATTTCCGGAAAAAAATTAGCACAGTTAGAGTGCACCGCAACTTAGTAGAATTATTACTTCTAATTGGCGTAATACTGTGCGTGCTTTAGAAAATTAAGTAAAAGGACGTAAATTTTATGACAACAAAAAGCAAAACTTAACAACAAGGGGAACCCGACAATTCGGAAACAAACAAAGGGAGAAAATGAAAATGATTTTTTTTTCCCCAGTATTTCTGGCGTGTTTCATATGCAAATTTTCGAAATTCTACTTAAAATCAACTGAGATTTATCAAAATTAGCATCGATGGTTCTAGCTTTTACACAGAAATCCTTTTGCCTTCCCGGTTTCCTTAACTACCTAACTAAAACTTATGGAGAAAAACAATGATAGCTATGGATGTAAAATCACGCACAACGTGAACTACAGAGGAACACTAAGACTCTTTTCCGTACACGGATGCTTATGGATGACTCTCGCCTTTCTCTGCGTCTCTGCACAGACGCGTCACTCTCTTCCACTCTAGCCCAACGCGTTGCGCGCACTTGGTTCAACCGCGAAATTGAGCCAACCCAGCAAATAATCAAAAGAATGTTTTTTTTGTCGGAAGACAAGTCGGAGTTTCAAGTCGGAAGAATTGGTAGACAAGTCGATGAGTCGAACTTGCTCCCGTTGTAGCCATCTTTTAGTGCTTTGGCTTGCATGTATTGGAGCATTGTCCTGGATGAAAATGTGATTTTGGCCTTAATTCCGACGCCAAAACGGAAGAAGTGATTGCCGCAAGGCAAATTGATATTGGACTGAATTCATGCGCTTTGGGACAAATGCCAGTTTTATTCGGACAGATGAAGCAATTGCTGCCCATTGGTATGCTGCCCATTTCTTCTCATCCGATCACACCACCTCCTTTGAAGTTTCTTCGCAAAAAAGCTAATCTTTTCCTTTCTTAAATCATGCCAATAATTGCGGTTTCCATCAGGCCAATCACAGTTAAATTTCTTCTCATCCGATCACACGACCTAAACATAATAATAAATTTCCATCAGCCAAGTAATCACACCCACCTTACTCCAGTCAATTCTTTTGTTTTTGTCGGCGAATTCTAGTCTTTTCTTGCAATGATCTTGCGTCATAAACGGTGCTTTACGCATCTTCCTTCGCACAATAAAATCCCTTTTCTTTAGCACTTGACGGACTATTTCGCTTGCGATTCGCCTTGATATCCGAGCAGGAAAGCGTAGAGTTGGATGCTTCTCCGCAAATGTGTCTCTTATCTCGCTCAGAAACCAAAGGTTTTTGACCAGTCGGCTTTTTTGTTCCGTATTGTAGAGGATCAGCCAGATAGGATCCGATTAACGTTGGTGTTCGGTTCAGAAATTGTCCGATTGCTCGATTTGAGTGTCCTCCGCGATTCATTGCCTCTATGATTTCAGTTTCCTTTTCCGACAGCGGTTTCTTGGCATTTTTTCAGTGTACCTTAAAGAAATGATTTTTAGGCAAAAAGAGCTAAATTATCTGAAAAAAGATGAGAAAAAGGTCGAAAAACAAAGTGTCCATATCATTATATGGAAAGCGCTAAAGGAGCGCACAAAATTCGATTTTTAAACATTGATATTCCAAAATATGGAAGTATATCTAACGCGATTCAATAGAAAATCTAATAAGGAAAATACGATAAAACAACTTTTTTTCGCTATTGTTTCTTAAGTGCATAAAATTGGTTAAAAAAAGTAAGTGTCCATAGAACTTTATGAAGCAGTGTAGCTGTATTAACCAAAATTGAATACAACTGCACAAAGCGGAACGTTTCATTTCGATTCTGGCTTGACTTTAGAAAAGAGATTTTCTTTCAAACAATTTGTTCTCTGTTTTCTAATCAAAATCAAAACAAAACAATTTCAATGTTTTCATCAATTGAATCTTGATATAACGTGACATCAAAAGAGAGTTCTTTAAACTTTAATTCATATTTATAAGATACGAAATTGTTCTCATTATTTTTTTTTCTCGATTTTTGACCAAGAAAAATAGTTTTAAATTTTGTATTCAACTTCATTATTGACCCAGGGGATTTTCCCCCCGTATTAGTTGTTGCATCAACAATTGAACTTTTTATAGTTCGAGAAACGTTCAAAATTTCTCTCAATTTTAATTCAATGGATTCAAAATTCACGAAATTCAAATCCGGTTTTCTATTGAATTTCCCAGAAACGGTGAATGATGGAGAAAGGATGAAGCTTTGCTGCACAGCAATTATCGTAAGTTTATCAGTAACCATTTTACAATTTCAAATTCACTCCTAAGTGAAAGGTAAGTGAAAAGAGCTTTGATAAAGAGCTTTGATCAAGAGCTTTGATCAAGAGCTTTGATCAAGAGCTTTGATCAAGAGCTTTTCTCATTTGTTATGGCCATTTTATAAAACAATTTGTTGTATCAAAATATAACTTTCCATCTTTTTTTGATAACCATTTTTTTTTCATTAATTTCTAGACCTGTTCCCTATCTACTATCATCGTTCTCTTTTCAATCCGTGCCCTTTATCCACATCATCGGTTCGCCAAAGCTGTCAAGGGATATCTATTGTGTGAACAAGTAACAAGACTCATCAATGTCACCATTCTTTTCTCTTTCATCACTCCAGCATACATTTTGTAAGTGTTTAGCTAAACGAAAAGCGAAATCGATTCGAATTTCAGTTCCGCTAACCTCCTCACTTCTCGAATCAACTACTTTGTAACTCTCATTTTCTATTGTCTCCAAGGCTCATCAGTTCTCTGTCAATTGGGTCTATCAATCAATCGACTCTTTGCTTTTAACTTCCAAGGAAAACGGTAAGTTTTTGTGAAATTACAGGTCAAGTTGAAAGTGGAAAGCTTAGAATTAAACGAAACCCTGAATCGTTGATCGAAGCTATGCTCAAGACAAGGGCTAACTCAATCGAAAAAGGGATTAATGTTACTAGACTAGTTTAAAGTTGTTAATAGACCTTCATTTGAATAAAAGAAAAGTTTAAAGCAAAGAATTTTAAGGTATGAGATGATTGCTCAAACGGCTACTTTCCAAATCTGTTTGATTCTTTCGTTTCCTATCATTTATTCGTTACCGTTATTCACTCGTATGTTTTTTTTTAAAAAAAAATATTTACAGTCGAACCTCTCTATAACGTAACTCACGGGACGGCTATAGCTTACGTTATATAGAGATTTACGTTATATAGAGTGCCGTTTTATATAGCTTAACGTCGGCCGGGACCGGTCACGCCTTACGTTATAGAGAGGTTTACGTTATATCGAGGTTCGTTATAGAGAGGTTCGACTGTATTTAAATATATTCATATTTTATATTAATAAACTAAAGATTATTTTATAAGTTTTTAAATTTGAAGAAAGAAAATTTGATTCTTTAAATTATAAAAGTGAGTTTATAAAGTTTATTTGGACAATTCCCTAGACAAATCAAAGGAAATATTTGTATTTTTCGCTCATTGAATTTTGATATAACTTGACATCAAAAGAGGGTTCTTTAAACTTTAATTCATATTTATAAGTAAATAATCAAGGTTTTTAAAAGAGGAGAATTCGATTTTCAATCATTTGAGTTTAATTCGATTACCGTATTTTCTCTAATAGTAGCGCAACCCGGCGAGCCGAGTTGATCACTATTTTACGTTTTCCAAGCTTTTGCAGAAACTCAACACTCAAATCCCCCACTAGATCTCATCGTTAGCTACATTTTCCGACCCCACCTCGATAGGTTCTGATAAGCGGTTCACGAGGTTTCGAGAAATTTAAGCGAGGCTTTGGTTACACTACTATTAGAGAGAAGACGGTATTTTATTCCAGATTAGGCTAGTAGTTCAGACTAATCTGAGATCTGAAGTCTCTTCTGAAGTGAGAAGTTTTTTCGGAATTGAGGCACTAGGTGAGGGAGGGGGAATGGATGGGTGAGCGAGCCGAGTTGGTGACTATTTTACGGTTTTCAAGCTTTTGCAGAAACTCAACACTCAAATCCCCCACTAGATCTCATCGTCAGCTACATTTTCCGACCTCACATCAATAGGTTCTGATAAGCGGTTCTCGAGATTTCGAGGAATTTAAGCGAGGCTCAGGGTGCACTACTATTAGGTTGATGCATAAGTCTTGTTATTTTGCAGAAAAATAATTGGTTTTTCTAATGAAATCAACCGTAGTTTAATTGGTGCATTTGTTGGCTTGAAAAGGCAGAGGAAAAGGAACGAAAAGACTTATGCATCAATCTAATATTAGAGAAAATACGGTAAATGAAACATGAGAAAATCGAGCGATTAAAACTTTTTAATCAGATTGATTTCTTTCATCCTCGGCACTCAATTCCCTAGACAAATGAAAGGAAATGTTTGTAATGTTTTCGTCAATTGAATCTTGATATAACTTGACATCAAAAGAGAGTTCTTTAATCGAATTCAGCAAAGCTAATGAAACAAAAAAAAAACCACGAAAATTGATCTCTCTTTTTCAGCTCCATGCTTGAACATTGTCACTTCCTCGTCTCCATCAATTCAAGATCTCCAATTCGGCAATTGGTGTCTTATCTCTTTTAATTTAACGATCGAGCAATGTCCTCTCGCTGTTTGGATCATCGCCATCCTCATCGACACATCGATTTGTGTGAGATTGTGGTACAGATCGGTGAGTACTAGAAATTGCTTTAATTGCTTGAGGACTTGCTTTACTAATAGCCAACTGTGCCAACTCTTTCCCCATTTCCAGCGCTTCAACCAAGCCACCAATCACAAAACACGCGCCGAGCTAAGACTCGTGAAATACGTGAGTTAGAATTTGATTTTCAAAAAACACTCTCTAAACCTAATTAACAGCGATTTCCAGATGATTTCCAATCACATCTGCTCGATTTGTGTTGCCATTTTTGCATACACTTTTCTCTTTATCTCGACGAGTAACGTTCTCATAATGTTGATTTCTTTTCGTTTGATCATTCCGATTCACGCGGGATTACAAGGGTAACAAAGCTAGCCAAAGTTATTTCAAGCTTTTCAAACAAAATCAAGAACAAGATCAAGCTCAAGATCAAGCTCAAGATCAAGCTCAAGATCAATATCAATATCAAGCTCAAGATCAAGCTCAAGATCTTATCCAGACAAAACACAAAGACAAGGATTGCTTAAACCTTGCTTATCCTCCAATGATTACTTTTTGATTGTTTGCTTTGTTTTGTCCATCACAAGGTTTTTAAAATCGAAATTTTAAGATCTAATCGTCTAGTACTTTTAGATTAGATTAGATTAAAGCCAAAGTTTTGATTTGTTTGTTCAGATCCTCAATTTACTCAGATCAATTAATCAATCAATGTTTCGATAAAGCCTATTGTTTTTGCTGTTGATTTTTGATTTTATTCAAAACAAAAACTAGGCATTCAAAAGTCAAAAATAGCCGATTGAAACTTGATCTAAACCGAGATGAGCCAAAAAAAAGCAACAAATTAGACTTAAGCATTAAAAAGTAAAACGATCTTTCAGCTTGATCATCCTCTATTTCTTGAAACAAGACGTCACACCGCGTACCTTTCAACAACGCTCAACTCCATCCACTCTTGTCACCCTACCAATCACAAATCGATCACAAATTTCCTTAGCTTAAAAATAAATTCGATTTCAATATTTGCGCTATTCAATATTAAATACATTGAAAAATATTGGATTCCTTTTTTTTAAAATAAAGAATTGATTACCGTATTTTCTATAGTAGTGCACGTCGCTGAAATTCCTCGAAATCTCGAGAACCGCTTATCAGAACCTATCGATGTGGGGTCGGAAAATGTAGCTGACGATCAGATCTAGTAGGGGATTTGAGTGTTGAGCTTCTGCAAAAGCTTTGAAACCGTAAAATAGTCATCAACTCGGCTCGCCGGGCTGCGCTACTATTAGAGAAAAAAACGGTGGTCGAGTTAAATTTAAATGATTGAAAATAGAATTCTCCTCTTTTAAAACCCTTGATTATTTACTTATAAATATAAATATAAAATGAATAAAAGTTTAAAGAACTCTCTTTTGATGTCAAGTTCACGTCAAGATTCAATAACGACAAACATTTCCTTTCGGTTGGTTTGATAAGGAAAATAAAGGAAATAAAGGTTTCAATTTCTTTTCAAGCATCACTTTCAAGTGACACTTGAAAAAGGAGTCTTTTCAAATAACCTCAAACAGTCAGAAATTAATTTTTAGAATTCTTAACTCATTAAATATTAAATGAACATGCTTTTATGGGTTTCTCTGATGATTATCAACATTCTAAAGATCCAGGGTAAGCCTATATGAGATTTAAATTGAAAGTAAACTTGAAGCGCAAGGCATAATCGGATTTCCTTCAAAAATCTCACACTAATCGAATTCTAAGACAAGTTTTCAAGTTTTAAAGTAAAAAGATCAACAAAGTGATTAAAGCGATGGTCGATCCGACTCGCTTGCTCGTTGGATACGATCGACGCGTGAGCCCGTATTATGTGTAAGTTTTAGTTTAAGTAAGTAAATAAGTAAGTAAGTAAGCTCTGACAATAGGTATCCTATGAATAGATGTGTAAAAGAGCTATTAATAGCATTTTGTTCTAGCTATTAATAGCTTTCTATTAATAGCACTTTGTTCTAGCTCTCGCCGCCCCGTCTCCGTAAATCTCTCGATTCCATACCTCCAATTGACGAATCTGATCGAGGATGAGCAGAGTGCCTCATGGCTTTACGCAATCTCAATGGTCAACTCAAATACCTATTTGAGCTATAGCTACTTGAGCTATAGCTACTTGAGCTATAGCTACTTGAGCTATAGCTACTTGAGCTATAGCTACTTGAGCTATAGCTATTTGAGCTATAGCTATTTGAGCTATAGAGCTTTGAGCTGAACAAATATTCGATTTTCTTTGCTCACTTCGAATTCAATTAAGACTAGAGTTTCCCTTTTGTCTTTTCGATTAAAGTAGTAAAGTGGAAAGTGTAGTATGAGAAGATTTTATCGATTTTATCAATTTTATCATAGAAATGGCAAGATCCTCGACTTATTTACAATCCGATCGACTACGAGAATGATACGATCTATTTGCCGGCGCAACTCCTCTGGACACCGAGATTCTCCGTCTACAACAGGTAGAGTAAAAAAACTTGACAAAGAGCCTGACTTTTCATATCTTTCAGCATGGAAACTCGTCGCCTCTTTGAGGGTTTTGAAAACGACGTGGAAATCGAGCCAAACGGTGTGATCACACTGCGAATCATTCAGTTCACGAAAGCCGTTTGCGAGGTGCAAGTGGAAAGGTGCTGCTTTCGGAAAATGCTTTTGAAATTGGAGAGTTTTCTTCTTCAGATTACCCTTTGACACACAATATTGCGGTTTGGAGATCACCTATCCGTTGCAAGTCGATAAATATTACGCTTTACATGGGATCATTGATCGTCGAGCCGATTGCAGAGTGGGTAAAGGGGAAAAGTATTAAAGCAAAAAAAACATGGCTTCTTGCCCCGTAAAAGTATTCCGTTTGGCGCATCAAATTCGTAGAAAATCAAGATTTTTAGGGGAACAGCGAGTACGAGATGATCAACGTCACCATCCAGAACAAGTTCTACGCTTTAGAGAATTTCCCCGGTGACATCATCTTTAAAGAGGCAAAGATGATGGCAATTTAAAACACACAACAATTCCAGGTGACATTCACAGCTCAACTGAAACGAAAAACTTTCTATTTCATCGTTGTCATCATCATTCCATCGGTTCTCGTTTCATCATTCACCGTCACCGGTATTCTCCTACCAGCCGCGCATGAGGCTGGATCGGATTTGGTGGGTTACCGGCTATTGTACGGGCTACTGTCCGGGCTACTGTACGGGGTACTGTACGAGCTATTGTACGGGCTACTGTCCGGGCTACTGTACGAGCTACTGTACGGGGTACTGTACGGGGTATTGTACGGGCTACTGTAGGGGCTATTGTACGGGCTATTGTACGGGCTACTGTCCGGGCTACTGTACGAGCTACGATAGGCGAGCCATATTTTAAAGTTAAAGTCATACATCAGCTTCATCTATACCATAACTTGAAAGCACTCTTTATATTGCATTCGATTGCAGTTCCAAGTGGGTATGTCAGCCATGTTATCTCTCTCAATCACTCTCTCGGTCGTCGCCGATACTATCCCGCGAACGGCGAAAGTGCCATTAATAGGTAAATCATTCGTTACTCAAAGCTCCAAAGTCGATTCTTTTCAGCGTGTTTTGTCTTGTGCTGCCTGGGCACTGTGGCCGCTGCGGTGGCGCTTGGTTTAGCGCTGATTCAGTTGAAAGTAAATTTTTTGACGAGTAGAAAACAGCGACAAGTCTAATTCACTATTAACTATCGTAAAATTGCAGAAAAGAAGCATCAAACGCGGCTGTTTACCGGCGATTTTCTATGTCATGGCCTTCTCACTGCCACCAACGAAAAAAAGCGAGAAAGATAATGGAACGAAAGAGTCACTGTCAATGAGAAAAGTTATTTCAAGGTCCGCAAAGGAGCAACTGTTCAACTGTTTAAGTGCTACTACACTTTAGCGGGGCCACTCAAAATTTCCCTATATACATATATGATTATGAATGAGTGGGTCTGCGTCAATTGGTACCAAATTTGTGAGTTTAGGTTAAAAATCGCGGGCGTTACAACGTTTCATTCAAAATCGGCGGGATCTCCGTAGCCGACTATGAATGAGTGGGTCTAGGGGCGTCCAATCATCAAGCGTTTGGTATCATTCAACGCAGAATCATTGATAAGTAGGTTAAATTTTTTAAATTAGAAAGATTAGATAAAAGAAAAAAATTAGAGCAAAAAAAGTGTTTGTTGGAGAGAAAACTTTGAAGCCCCGCAATTTTTTTTTCTTTTTCTCTAATCTTTCTAATTTAGAAAATTTAACATAATTATCAATGATTCTGCGTTGAATGATACCAAACACTTGATGATTGGACGCCCCTAGACCCACTCATTCATAGTCGGCTACGGAGATCCCGCCGATTTTGAATGAAACGTTGTAGCGCCCGCGATTTTTAACTCACAAATTTGGTACCAATTGACGCAGAATTTAATTCGCGAATTTATTTACAAAATGATATAATATTGTCCTCATACATTAAAGGGTTGCTCTACTAGAGGTTGGCAAAAAATTTCATTCATAATCGGCTACGACATACAAACAATAAATAGGCAAAAGCAAAAATGAAGCCTTTCTTCTTCGAAATTTCAACTAGAATGGCTGCTTTAACGCGTCTCTCCTATTAAAACCTTTCGATGCTTAAAATGCGCGAGGTGTTAGCTCTACTGGATGAATCATTCGATGTGGAAATTATGGGAGTTAAGTGTGCAACTTGTAAAGCGATTCTTTAACCTTATTGAAAAAGTTGCAAGTTCTTACCTATGTCGTTAATTTGGTTTTCTAATTTAAGTTGTTACTTTCGTTTAATTTAGACACTGGGCGAGACAAATTGAATGAAAAAACAAAGGAAAATTTCGTATGTAGTAGCACCCAACTTTTGCGTCTTCAGACAATATAAAAATTTCAGACTCTACATGATCTCCTTTACCCTTCTTCAGCTTATCCTCATCGCTTCTCTTGTCGTTTTTTTCTCGTACTCATGGAAAACTCAAGTCCGAGGGAAGCGTCTCTTCACCTCAGATATCATGGCTGAAGTGGGGAACTCAAATGTCGGAAATTTGGCTTCATAAAGTTTCAAATAAAAAAATAATTTCTCGAACGATTGAAACATATGCTAGTTCTAACAACAAATTAAAAAGACATCATAAATGAAACGGTATTAAGTTTACAAAATCAAAAGAGAAATAAAACATTGTGCGTGAGAGCACACATCAAAAACAACAAAAACGAACGTTAAATTTAAAGCCCGTCCAATTTAAACAAGCACACCCACATCAGTATCCGAAGGCATTAGAAAACCTAAAAAATATAGTTATGAGCAATTGTATGCCTTATTTAAATTCCTCTATTAACTCCTTAGTTATTCAAAATCGAAAAATACCTTTTTGGTGGCTGCTTATCTGATGATCCCGAATAGTTGTAGGATGCAGAACCACCGAAGGCGGAGTTCGAGCTGCCATACCTAGAAAAAAAGTAATACCACTTACAGCACAAATATCACTTACATAGTGAAACTCTTTGGTGGTGAGACTGGGAGAGCACTCGAGCGAGTGGAAGCCGATGAACTGCCCCTGAAATGAGAAAAGGTTAACGATTCAAACTGAACTACGATTGACTGACTATTCATGAATTTAAAATGGCAAGCACTTTTCTAATTTAAAAGTTCCCCAGAAAAACTCACGTATTGCCGTAGTGTTGATGTTGACGAATCGTGGCTAACTCGCGCTCGATGCGTCGAATCTCGGAAAGTGTATCCCTATCGTTTACAAAACCACTCGGCGGCGTCTGTTGATACGCTTGCGCACCTCCAAAAGACGCCGATTGTCCATATTTGTCGTTTCGAGCCGACGATCCGTAGGGGCTCTCCGAGTAGACCGGGAAACCAGATTGTGCGGTGCCGAATGGAGGTGCCGGTGATTGTGCTACCGTTGAGAAATCCGGGTACGCGCGTCTTGAACTAGCATACGAATCGGCGCCCATCAGAGAAGGAGGATGATAAGGCACCTAAATATAAACAGTTAGATTTATTCACTTTTTCCTATTTTATTGACAAAATTGTCAAAATGTATGAAGTAAATCTTCACCTGGAAAAGGCTCCTAGCGAATGGCAATGGCTCAACCGAATAAGCAGATCTGGATCCCTAAAAGCAAAAAAATCAAAAATTTTAGTACAAAATTTACCTGATTGTCCCAGACACGAACGCGTTTTTCATTGGTAAAGACATTGTCCCCACGTCGTGGTGGAGAGCGAACGCGCCTAGATACATTTTTGTTTTACACAAAAAACGAAACAAACTTTCTATTGTTGGATGGCTCCGGTCTTCGATTATTGGCACGATCCCTTCTTGGACCATCTAAAATAAAAGTGATGATGAACAACCCTAATTTCAAGACTCACTTGCTACTCGACCACGTCTGTCGCTGTGCTGCGGTCCACGTCCGTGCCTGTTACGATCATCTCCTTTGGGTTTCTGCGGAAAGCTCTAAAAATAAACAAATAAATTGATCTTTACTCAATTTAAAATTTCTTACTATAACTATGTAAAAAAGTTTATCATTCACCTCAGTTCTCTTCTCTTTGTGTTTGTGCCTGTTGCCGTCATTTTTCTTCTGATCCGACTTCACGGGCGTTACCACTGAGTTGTCGATAGCGATTGCCTCGTTGCCCTCATCGTTTGGCTGTTGAAGCGTTCCGGAAGCTGAAGAAGCGGTCACCTCTGCTGCTAGCGTCGTCGGCGAGAAAACAATCGGAGCAAAGCTTGGTCCACCTAAAAAACAAAATTTCAAGACGTTTATTGTTTAGACAAAAAGACATTTTCTGTTGTGGCAAGTCTTTTTAAAATCATTTGACAGTGGTCTATCTATTTTTTGTCATTTACAGAGCAATCCCGAACCGAGATCATTAACCCAGATAAAAACTGGGCACACCTGCTTCGGTTACCACTTCAGATTGGGCACTGTCGGTAGTCGTAGGGGTAGGGGGTAGGGGGAGCAGACGTAGCTGCCGTAGCATTTTCCTTTGCCACGAGCCGCCTTTGTAAGCGCTTCTGAGCACGTGTAGGCTTCGGGTTGTATACACCAGTGCCGCCTGGAAATTTTCAAGGGCTAGTTCATTCGATTGTTTGTCATGATTTGTGATAAACTTCGAATGTGTCAATTTTGTTCTTGTGGAGTGATATAGTTCGCAGAAGAGGGGAATGTTCTTTTCTAATTTTTAATTCTAAGAAACCAACCCAAAGTAAGGGTCGATTTTCCTTCTCGTTGTTGTCTGGGCGGTCGTGAATCACCCTAAAAGAAATATCAAAGACCTGACGGTCAAATAGCTACCATTGAACCACCACGCAACTTTTTGTTGAGAAACGGGGCTCGAATCTAAAATAGTCACCTTACACCATATAAAAGCACGGTAAACTACCTGGCTGGGATCGCTCTCAGTAGTTCCCACTTTTTCCATCAGTTCTAAAGAAAATATTGCTCGTTGGCTCTAAAAAACTTACGCCGTGCTTTCTCTTGCTTTTGAACGTGAACAGTCTAAAATTTAAAATTTATATCGTATTCAAGCTATAAATTGTTACCTCCTTAACATTTTCGGCGATGCCATCTTTGAGGTAACCGGGAACATGATGTCCTGGCAAGTTTACTGGAAGCACTCTTTTGTCGGCGGTCTCCAGCTTCCCACTCATCCATGTCTTGAGCTTGGCCTAAATAAAACGTGCTCATATTGGAAATTTCATGCGGGTACCCATTCAGCACCCAAACTCACATCATAGACATATTTCTTCATTCTTTCCTCGTCCATCATGTTCACGAAATTCCGCATTCGCTCCAAGTTCACAATCACAGCGTTTCTTCGTCGTGGGTCCATCGCGAAGCATCTCTCAAAGTGCTTCTTGTACATGACGCATACCTAAAGGTCTGTATAGAAAAGCGCAAACGGATTAAATCAACTTTTGTGTTCAAGCCAAATTTGTCGAAATGATCCTGTTGAATTGGGATTCCAAAGTTGTCCAATGGAGTGAAGCCAACAACTAAAATAAAAACATTTAAAGTTTGCACTCTTTTAAAATTGAGTACCTTTGTAATCGCGCACTTGAGTGTTCTCCAACTTCTTCGTCTTGTTCTCTTTTGTGTCGTCTTTCATTGCCACATTGTCACAGTCATCGAGCGTGATCACTTGCGGCTTCTCTTTGACCGGCGCGTCGCACTCCATCACTTCGTCCTCTTGACTCTTCACTTCCGAGGCAGCCACGTTATCTTGCTTCACATCCTAAAACATTTGGTTATACGGATCAGTGTATCCCTTTAGTTTCAACTTTAAACAAAACGCTACTTGACTTCCATCCACCAATTCTTCGCTGACCGCCTCGTCGACCAGTTCGAGATTCGATACAGTGACGCTTGTTGGAGGGCCAATACCAATATCTAAAACAAAGAAATAAAAATGACGCATCGATTATACCTAACTAGTAAGTGAGTAAAGACTAAACGTTAGAAAAACACAAAGTCGACTAAAGCGAACGAGTTTACCCCACAATCTATACGCCGTTAAGTGCTTAAATACCCTAGCCAGCTGTGGGTTATACAGAGTTGTTCCAAAGTCACAGCTTCGCCAAGAAGCTTGGGTCATAGGCATGAGTTCGTGAGTCACTCACGAAGTTTATGACTTTTTTTGCTAAAACTCGTCAATCTACAAAAAAACGGAGATAGTGGTGGTACCACAATGAAAAATTGGGTGGGTTCTCGGAACAACCCTGGTATATCCTGCAACAACTGGAAGAGTTAGAATTTTGCACGCTTTCAAAATTTATTTAAAATCATAGGGATCAAGATGTCTTTCTGACCTAAAGGGTGACAAGACTTTTGCTCAGAGTCAAAAGCATCTTGGTGAAAGGAGGCTTCTGTTTAGCGAGTTGACAAATTACAACTTTAAGGACAACTGTCCTATCAGTGCACTTGCAACTAAGGTATCATTTCACCCACAATTCTCTAGAATCAGACGCCTCGCCTCACCTTGTGAATTAGAGGCCACAGGCGCTGGAGCGGTCTTCTCAACCAAGTAGTCGGTGGAAAGATCATCGGTTGAAGTGAGAATTGACGAATTCAGCAGCTCGTCGGCTTGGCTCAATCCAACGTCGGTGATCAGCTGAGATTGAGTATTGTGACTGTCGGTGAAGAGAAGCTCGTCTTTTGGTAGCTTTCTATCATCGACTTCGGCAAGTTGAGGCAACGCTTCGTTGACGATTGGTTTTTCGATGCCATTTTCTTTAGGCGGCTCATTGCTAGTTACGTCGCTTGTTTGATCAACGGGTTCCTAGAAAAGATACAATAAACACATCTTGGTGCGGTCACTGTAAAAGCTCTAACAAAGGTTGGAGAAAGGTGCTGATGCTCATAGCATAGAATCACCTTGTTTATCCTTGATTGGATTAATTTTAATGGTATCAAGAGCATTGTAAGTTTGGTATAACATTACAAAGCGTTTGTTGACTGGGCTCGGGTTTAGGTAAACCAAGAATGAGCCTGGCAACGCCATCAGTCATAAATGAGGTTACTTTGTTAGAGCATTCACCCAAAGAAAATTTAGAGGGGCCATCAAATTTTGAACAGCTAGCTCTAAGAACCGAGCTGAAAAAATTTAGAGCATATGACCTGTACTGGAGCATAGCTCATCGATCACGGGTTCTTTAATCAAACTCTGACCATTTCAACGTACTCAATTCTCTCACATATGTCCGAGAAATGATTCAGCACGTCGATTGTGTTGTAATCGATACAATTCTGCTTTAAACCAGCTAAGAATTAAAACAAACAATTATATTGCTAGTAAAACCGTTGATCACAACGAAGGACATTATCTCCAATGATCTTTCATTGCTGAAGATGCTTTTGAAGTCCACCTAAGCCTCAAATTTACAATTGGAGAACTAGAAAGGGCACAGCGGAAATGCTGAATCACTTACACATCTCAGAATTGCAAAAAAATTGGCTTAAGTTGTTAGTAAAGCAGTGTTCAACATTTAGCTCGCTCAAGTACCATTTTTTTTATCAATGAAGACAAAATTTAGCGCATTATTTTCAACCAACTAACCCTAGAAACAGCAAAAAATCACAAAAACTTCAATGAATACCTTTTGAGCCGTCGTTTGCTCGTCCATCGACTTCTTTTCGCTTTCGGCGGCACTCATCTCGCTTGAAACGATTTGTCGAATGTCTAAAGTTGAGGAAATTAGCGTTTTAGAACAAAGCATCAAAAGAAGAAATGAGAAAAACAGAGGTAAATGACCGATCGAACAACGAGCGGATGGGGGACAAGTGGAAACTATTGACGCTTGGGGGCGTTTGAAAGAGAATCGGACACTTCCCAATGAAAATATCCAAGCGTAAGGGTCGTTGTAGCAAAAAGAAACCGCTCGAATTAAATCAAATCTAGTTTTTAGGTTATATACCACGAGTTAAGCTAAAAACTTTGAAAAATCCAGTGAAATTTCATGAATTCATCTCAAACAACGCGAATTTCTAGTCAAAATTTGCGCCATCGGGTCAATTTATCTGTTTTTGAACAGATCCCACGCTTAAAAAACTAGAATCTTCAGACGATTTAGAAAAACTTGCAAAGCCGAACCGATCAATAAGGAAGTTGAAAGAATGAAAATTTTTGATCAAACCCTTAAAATAGTCCATTTCACTGTTTAAAAGATACTCAGTCAAACGATTTTTATAGCTTTTGTTTTGTTGTTGGTTTATTTAGAAGGTCTGTCAAATTGTCTTTATTCATTTTTCGTGCATTTTACAGGGGTGGGACAAATGCGACCTTTTTTTTTTGCGCACCTGAACATTTGCGCACGGTTTTTCGCTGGAAAAGGCCGTAGAGCTTCAAAAATGTTTTCATATAAGGGAATCATATTCGTAGATTCCGAATTTCGACAAATCTCGCTGTGGAAAAGCGTTAAGTTGCGTAGTTTTTGCCTTTTAGCCCAAATTTGACGTGTCAGCGAGGTCTGATTTGTCAAAATTCGGAATCTACGCATACGATTCCCTTATATGCAAACATTTTTGAAGCTCTACGGCCTTTTCTAAAACTTTTTCCAGCGAAAAAAAAGGTGCGCAAATGTCCAGGTGCGCAAAAAAGGTAGCATTTGTCTCCCCATTTTTTTGGTAACACTGCCATTTTTGCAAATTTATTTCAGCTCAAAGCCCAAAGCTTTTGTAGTTGCGAGAAGTAGGCCTCCGTGTCGATCGAAGCTCGATTTTTCGTCTAAAACGTATATTTGTGGAAGTTACAAGGCTTTACACTATTAAAAGGCTGGCCACAGAAAAAGCTCGCAATCTAACCGGACTATAATACCATTTTTAGCTGGGCAGCTTTTAGCGAGTTTTTTTTCTTGAGACCATCTTTTAATCGAGCTATAAAAGTTCTAGTCCCTTCGAATTCTTTAACAATCCAGCTACAGTATATCCAACTTTACAGTTGTCTAAAATGCACTTACATCATGAATCGTTTCAGTGTCGACTTTTCTCCGACAAAAGAACCATCGCTGGAATTGATTCCGAAAGTGCGGAAAAGCCCACAGAAAGATGAAAGCCAACGAGTTGATAAAGCTGAAGATTTTGAAAAATTTTGAATTATTTTGAATCATTTTCATCTTTACACAGCCACTAGCATATCAAGTAGAGCGAGCACAGTATTTTGCAACAATTCCACATTCCCTGATAGCACTGTCAACGAGATACCATAAATCGCCATCCCACCGATCAACATCATCATCGAGTTCAGAGAGCTCAGCGCCAATAACTGAAAACTGATTTATTCCTACTGTTTATTCCTAAATGAAGAGTTTTACTGAAACAACACGTCAGCCAACCTTTAACACCCGCCAATTCTCCTCCAACTGAAATCGCAAACTCAATGAGTACTCCCCGTAATGTAAATCGTTGCCAATTTTTCGCAAATAATACCAATTCCATAATGCGGTCAAGATGAAAATCTAAAGAGTTCAGCTTTTTAGAACACTTTTTTTTAAAAAACAAACCACAGCCGCAATGATGCAAGGAATCAAGGCAAAAAGCGTCATTAATTCCCCGCTTATGTCAACTAAAACTTCTCCATTTCAATAATAAATTCAACTCACCAATCATGCAAACAATGGCCAGAATCGTCGAAATGACTTTTCCTAAAATCACCAAACAAATTGAGTGATGTTTTTGTTGGAAACGTTCGTAGTCACTGAAATTTTATGTAGAGCTTATTTTATGTAGAGATTGTTGCGGTTTTCGCTTACAATATCTCATAAATATACTGTCAAGTTGAACTTTGTCATTTTGTTCACTCACCGTACATACACAGTAGCAAATCCCCGTTCGATCGCAATTGCGATCATCAACAATAACGCGTAAATGAGGCACTCAATCCGGAAAAACGAGCCAACGATCACTAGTGGTAAGTAGAGAGGGTTATCTGAAGGAAAAATTTGTTTTCAACAGCATAAAGTACACAAAAAACCCGGTGTCAACACATTTATCTGAGCGGCAAAAATGAATACTCTTGACACAATCGATGTATAATAAAAGGCAAAAATCGATGTGAGCAAAATGGTGAAATTGATGTGAAATATTGTGTGCTTCCAGAATTCCCCTACGCACACCCAAAAGCTCAATGCTGACACAAACAGCGCCGAGAATTCGATGACGTAGATGAAGATGATTAGTGGGTAAATCTGAGAAAAGAGTTGAATTGAATTTGGTAATTTTTTCTAAAGATATCCAGTTGAATTGTTTTAAACTAATGTTTCCTTGGAATATGGAAAACGCAGTCTTTCTGGTGCACACAAGCGTCTGATTATAGTTCAATGAAAGCTCTCTAATACGAAACAATGTCTGATTAAAGTTCAATGAAAGCTCTCTAATACAAAACAATGTCTGATTATAGTTCTATGAAAGCTCTCTAATACAAAAAAAGCTTTAAGTTCGTTAAGTTAGATAAAGTGTCTGTACAGCTTAAAGTATTGTAATACTTCCAAGCGACGTGTGAACGTTTAAACCCATTCTTTCTGGCAGACTGAAGAGCTTCAAAAGATTGATTGAAGATTGAAGTGATGTGTTAGATAGGATTTGTTTATACTTATCTTAGCTCAAAGTACATCTGACCTCACTCTTTCTCAACAATGCATCATCACAGTAAATCGTCGTCCAAACATTCATTTCCCAATCTCCTAACGAAACGTTCAGAAAAACGCCGATAAACGTCAAAGCAACCATTTTTAAATTTACATTTACATTTATCAATCAAAATATCAAATATTTAAGTCAAAAATTTCATTATAATGATTAGTTTTAGTGATTAGTTTTCACCTGTTTTCTCCATCAAAAAAAACTTGTTAACCCTCAGAAAAAAGAATTTTCTCATTAAACATTGATTCTTTTCAGGGTTAAGATGAATAATTTATAAGTTTACATTAAAAATATAAAAACAAACTCTTTTTGCAATAAATTCTTCAAAAAAACAAGAGATTTTTGTGTGTTTAATGAGCTAAAAAGTTAAAGCTTTATCAAAAGAATATCAAAAATCAAAGCATCATCTTTAAAGCATCATCAGCTCAGAGCTCAGCTTAGAGCATCATCACCAAACGAATCAACAAGTAATCTCTTCCAAAACATCAAATCTCTCGACTCCTCTTTTCACAGTGCTCACATTTTGATAGTAAAAGCCTTTTGTAGAGTTTGGCGGGTGAAACATTCGGAAAAGGATACTTGTCGCACTTTGATCGAAGCTAAAACTTGATTTCAATCCAATTCATAAAGTCGATTAGTCACCGATGACATCCCCATTTTGGTGGAATCGAACAAGCATAATATGCACTTTTTGGCGCAATACATTTCTCGGTTATCGCACAAAGGAGCAACCTGCAAATGCAAACTGAATCAAGTATCGAGTAAGCTAGCTATTGACCAGATTAGACTAACTAGATCCAAGTCAGATCAGGCCTAGATCTAATCGTGGAGTGCATTTGATAGGCTCCTAACTATAAGCTTTTCCTTTTCCTTTTCCTTTGAATCATTCATTGTGCTCACCATTTCAACAATCGTTTACTCTCTTGACTCTTCCGCAAAAACAACACACTTGCTTCTCGTTGCGAAGCATCATGGTAGTCCGGTTGAAGTGGTAGATAGCGAAACATACCCGAAAATGAGAATTACAATAATCTTTCCTACAATCGATCTACCTGGATGTGTGTAGGGAATTTCTTTTCCAACATTTCCCCCAATCATATAGTCTGGTGCCTAAATTATTGTGATAATTGGTACTCTATAGTTATCACTCTAGTTATCACTCTAGTTATCACTCTAGTTATCACTCTAGTTATCACTCTAGTTATCACTCTAGTTATCACTCTAGTTATCACTCTAGTTATCACTCTAGTTATCACTCTAGTTATCACTCTAGTTATCACTCTAGTTATCACTCTAGTTATCACTCTAGTTATCACTCTATAGTTATCACTATATAGTTATCACTATATAGTTATCACTATATAGTTATCACTATATAGTTATCACTATATAGTTATCACTCTATAGTTATCACTCTACAGTTATCACTCTATAGTTATCACTCTATAGTTATCAGTATATAGTTATCACTCTATAGTTATCACTATATAGTTATCACTGTGTTCCTCTTGAGTTTCTAAGCCTGAGTTTCGAAATTCATTGACAAAAATGACAACAGGATTACGAGAGCTCTTCAGAAAGAACCCACTTTCCCACTCAACACATCATCATAGAAATGTTGCAGCATTAATCGATCTCGGAATTGCACCGAGCTATCTGCTATCCAGAAAGCCACATTTTCAGTTATCATTTCCTTAAAATAATAAAAAAAAAACAAAAAGAAAAATCAATTACCGCTTGTATGATCGGTTTGAAAGCATAAGTATGTAGATTTTTCACATGCTTTGGATAGGCATCGAAATCGAAATCCCGAATCTCCAAATTGCAAACCCGGGTGAGCTCTTTTTTCTAAAATACAGGCCTTTTTTATTTTGGTTAACTTGGGTAGTTAAAGCGGCTTTTAAACAGCTTTTTTAAACAGCTTTTTTCAACAGCTTTTTTCCTCTACTAACCTCCGTAGGGATTAAACCCAAATCGTAGTAAATAATTCGATTCGTGAATTTGTTCCGCAAATCGGTGATCATTTGACGACTCTCAGCGAAATGATTCGACGAACTGTAGGTTACGAAAATCACATCGTCAAAGCTAAAAGATCTTTTTTAAACTTTGAAAATTCAATGTTAAAATCGATTCTCACTAAAAGGTTTTCAATTTTTGAGTTTCTTGATTTGAAAGAAATATAGAATTTATTACAAAATTTAGCAAAATTTAGCAAAATCTCCTTTAACTTTCTTTTAAATTTACGAGAAATTCGATGCTTCCGTTTTCTTTATTGCATAATCATTGAGTTGAAATCGGTGCAAAAATTTCCGAAGTGAACAGTCGAATGCTTGGCCGACAAGATCGTCTTTTTGAAGGCAAAGCTGAAATGTGTGAATTAGCAATTATTCAAAAAAATTTCTCTTCAGTAGTTAGGGATTTTCTAGAATGGGTTGGTTTGAGTTTGGGTCGGGCTTGGTTTGGGTTGGCTTAGGTTTGGGTTGGCTTGGGTTTGGGTCGGGCTTGGTTTGGGTTGGGCTTGGTTTGGGTTGGCTTAAGTTTGGGTCGGGCTTGGGTTTGGGTTGGGCTTGGTTTGGGTCGGGCTTGGGTTTGGGTCGGGCTTGGGTTTGGGTCGGGCTTGGGTTTGGGTCGGGCTTGGGTTTGGGTCGGGCTTCGGTTTGGGTCGGGCTTGAGTTTGGGTTGGCTTGAGTCTTGGTTGGCCTAGATTAGAATCAACCCAACACAAAGTTAAGAGGATAATGATAAGCTTATGTTACTATGTTCAAACTTGGGACTAGGTCAAGTTCGAAACTCGGATCCAATAAAGGAGTAAACCCGAAGCAAAAAAACAAGTAAGTTAGAAGCTAGCTTTAAAGCCAATGTTTAAAGCTTTACTTAGCTTCATAGCATCAAAAAGTCAAAAGACTTGGAAACAAAAAATGCAAACCTATGACCTACCGTCTCAGCGAAGCATTGACACTTTTTGAGATCTTGTTTCACCGTCACACTCCAATCATCATAACTTTCATCGTAAATGAATAGAAAGTAAAAAGAAAAGATGAGTGCAAAGGAAAGGGTTAAAAGCCACCAATTTCTAAAGAAAAATAATTGTTTTTTTTTTAATGTAGGCTTAAAAATAGGTAGAGTGGAGAGAAGTTTTTTTTTAAAAATACATTTATTGAAAGCCAATAATGTGATACAAACAAAGGATACATAATAAGACATAACGGTCTAAATACACAATTTTTATGGCACTGCGGCCGTTACCCCTATTATCCCTATTACCTATTGTTTCAAAAAAAAAAAATTGCAAAAATGCAAACCCACCTATTCGTATGAAATCGAGAAAAAGAAGCTCTCATCGTTCAAAATCTTTTATTTTCTGATTTTTAAAAGCCTTTTTCGTCAAAAACTGAAATACTTTTAAAAGGGAAATATTTTAAAATATAAAAAAAAATGCAAGAAGAAAATCTTTTGCTCAAAAAAAAAAAATCGATGAACCGCTTCCATTGAGAATGTGATAACGATTCTTTTTCTCTTCTTTTCCACAGATAACGATAATAAAATCTACTAAAAAGCTAAATAAACCGTAATATTTTGCATTTAAGAAAGATCTTTAACTCAAAAAATTTAGTAAATCAAAATCTACGCAATTTTTAGTGTTTACATTGATTTATGCGGTTAATTTAAGCACAAAAAAACTTTCAAAATCACAATTTGAACAAGAAAAACAAAAAGAATTGAAGTAAAATATGGATTTTTATTGTTGACGAATGATTTTCATCTTGTTTCGATGCAACAGTTCCACCCGAAAAACTCGTTCTCTCCACATAAACCCTTGCAAAGCACCCATCCTCACCCTCGTCCTCTTCGTTTCGTGACCAGAAAAGCTGAATGAATCATTGTTTATTCTGATCAAGCCTGATCCCCCATCTTTGGCTTAGCTTTCTACTGAGCTTTCTACTGAGCTTTCTACTGAGCTTACTAGCCTGTATCCTTGCTTTCATTAGCTCTAATACTTGGTTCTTGATCTGGTCATGGTTCTGGCCTGGTTTTATCATTCTAATCTTGGCTTGGTCTGGTTCTAGTTTAACTCTGACTTTGATCTGTCTCTAGTTTAATCCTTATTATTTATTAACAAACTTTTACGCTTTTCACATCGATTTCTGTGTAGTTGTTAGGGAAAGAAGTTGAATTTCGAGTGATTCTATAAACACGAAATTTCAAAAATCTGATAACAAAACTACAAGTAAGCTTGTCGAATCGATTTGTCGGCATCTTGGAATTCCAGCGAAAGTGCCGCATTCAATACAGCGACTACTTCTACCGTAATCTTGACAATCGAGCGAGCTAAGTGAATAATAAATTTCTCTTTCAAATCACATTTACATTTAACTTACGACAATGAATGAAACGCGATAAATAGTATTCCTCCCACATGAAATCGAAAGGACTTTGGTAGGCTTGTGTCGTGATAAATGTCACTCCATCACACAATTCTTGCGTCTCATTAAACCAAAGAACTAGAGATGATATGGCTTTTGATATTGCTCTTAATATTGCTTTTGATACTGCTTTTGATATTGCTTTTGATATGGTTTTTGATATGTTTTTTGATATGGTTTTTGATATTCCTTTTAATATTGCTTTTAATATTCCTTTTGATATTGCTCTTTTCCCCCTACTTGATTCATGGTGTGGTCCCTCAATATAGATTTGGGGTGAAATCAAAATTGTTGGCGAACAACCGGCTGGCACGAGGACACTGTAGACGGAAGATTCGAGGAATTGAGTGATCAGTGCTTGATCGTCACTAAACTCATTTATCATTAACATGAAGCTGATGCTCGTGCAACTGGGAAAAGCTATGTTCATGTCTTTACGCTTGCCCTAGTTCTGGTTTTAGCATTGAACTATCCATGAAGTCGATCCTTGAAGTCTGGCTCTAGTTCTGACTTGAATCTAGCTGAATATTTTGATCTTGACTCGATCCTGGGATTTAGCCAGCCTGACTTTAATCTTGACATTGACTAAATGTCCTACTTGAATGTGATCAATGTCCTACTTGAATGTGATCAATCTCCTCATCGAATAGTCCCCTTTACCAGGCGGGGAACCAATTAGAAACTCGTATTGACAATCGTGATCGGGTCGATCCTGGAAGAACTTGTTAGATGACAAAGATCAATAACTAACTAGCAATAACTTCACTATTCCATAGAACATTTTCCACTCACCCATCGAAGTTTGCGTAAATGTTTGAGAATCCAGCCGTTCAGCAGCGCTAAGCCGATCCACGTCTCGTGTTCGGCTTTCTCGACTCGGAAAGCTGTTGGCTCAATGAGATTCACCATGAGTTCCAGACGAAAATCTTGCTCAACTAAAGTTGTGTTCGATAAATTGATGCTTTTCATTATTCAATTAGCTCACTCACCATCAATCCACTCAGCCACTCGGATTGCGATCGCACTGTAATCACTTTCCGATTCGGGCATCGGGTTTAGCATTAATTTCAGTGATTTTTGCGAGGTGACTTTCATCCGACAACTCTCAAGTGTTTGATTTTCACCTTGTCGAAAGCTAAATGAAAACTATATTTGGCGTAGAACGACGTTTTCTTGCAGCTCTCAAAAATAGACATTTCTCCATCAATCTCTATTGGATTCATGTTGAGACAATCAAATGAAAACTATATTTAGCGTAGAATTATAATACAAAAGTCAATAATTAATAAAACTCGACGTTTTCTTGCAACTCTCAAAAATAGGCATTTCTCCATCAATCGCTATTGGATTCATGTTGAGACAATCAGTGATCTCGCGTTGATTCTGCACATGAAATGAATATGAAAATGATTAGTGTCTCAGAAAGAGTACGCTTAAAAGCTCAAAGTACATTTACTTGTAAACGTCGACAAATCCTCGACATATCGATGAGAAGGATGCAATTCACGCAAGACGGGATTTCAATGCAGATCGGTGCCGTCATTGCTAACGAAATTTCGGATGTTACTGAGAAAAAACAATTTCTTTTTTCTTACCCGATAAACGATGAAGCTCAAATCCATGTAAAATAATCGTTGAATCATTTTCTGTTAAATGAAAACTTTCAATGCATTTGTCATCTTTTGGTGGAACATTGATCGCTTGTGCTGTTAACAGGAAACCGCTCTTTTCTTTCATTTGATCATTTGGGCACCAGGATAACTTTAAAAAGAAATAAAGAAGTTTAACTTTTTTTTGCTTTCCTTGGTTTATCTTAGCTTTTTAAAACAGTCTTAACCGTAATAGGAATCGTAATAGGAAAGTCTTAACAGGAAACCGCTCTTTTCTTTCATGAAATCATTCGGGCACCAGGATAACTTGAAATAGAAATAAAGAAGTTTAACTTTTTTGGTTTGCCTTGGTTTAGCTTAGCTTTTTAAAACAGTCTTAACCGTGATAGGAATCATAATAGGAAAGTTTTAAGTCTTAACCGTAACTAGTCACCCAACGATGGCTCTGGTTAAATTATACGAAACCGCTCTTTTCTTTCATTTGATCATTTGGGCACCAGGATAACTTGAAATAGAAATAAAGTAGTTCAACTTTTTGGCTTTCCTTGGTTTATCTTAGCTTTTTAAAACAGTCTTAACCGTGATAGGAATAGTAATAGGAAAGTTTTAAGAGGAAACCGCTCTTTTCTTTCATTAAATCATTCGGGCACCAGGATAACTTTAAAAAGAAATAAGGTAGTTCAACTTTTTGGCTTTCCTTGGTTTTATCTTAGCTTTTAAAAAAAAGTCTTAACCGTAACCAGTAATCCAATGATGGCTCTGGTTAAAATAAAAACTACTATAACTGAAATGTGTAGTCGGGAACGATGTATCTCTTACCATAAAGCACATTGCCCGAAAGTCGAGTGTCAGATTGAAAGTATTGTCGGTGATTCTAAAAAGTTTATCTATCTAGAAACTCTCAAAACATACATTTTCTCGAAACACTTTGTCGTGTGTGTGCACGAGAAACGATCGCCAGGATCAACCGGATAGCCGCTCACATTTAGTCGACCATTCTCGAGTGAGATTATCTCCATTTGCGTTTCCGTCCAAACTGTTGCATCCTAGAAATGCTTTTAGTTGAGCTAAAATAAAAGTTTACCACAAAAAACGCGTATCTTAACCGCATGCATTCAGCCGCGTACTTGTCCGGTTCATCAAAACGCCACGGATACTCGTAACTGCTCACCATCAGCGTTGCCCCAGTCGACTCCCAGGTGCGATAGTTTGAGCCTAGGAAAGTTATTTGTATTTCTATGAAAAGCTCTCACTTTCTTTCTCAAATCTGTACGAGAGACAAAACGAGCAACTTTTGTTCGCGAAAATCGTCGTCACACTAGAGCGGAGGGTTCTCGATGAATCGCGGCTAAAAAGTGCATTTTGTAGAAACTGGGTTGGCTAGGTTGACTAGGTTGGCTAGGATGACTAGGCTGGTTATTCAGAATCCTCTTCTCTACTTCAACTTGATCCCATTTTGATCGATTCCCGTTTGTGATCCAGCATAAGTGTAGTAAGAAGTTAGCTGATCACATTTGAGCTCTGGCTGAAACAGAAACATTTGAATTCTTTTTCAGTTTTAATTTTAAACCCATAAATTCTGGCATCGATTCAACGGATTAGCGTATTTTGATGCATGATCCTCAATCAGAATCTCCGTGTTCACCCGGATATTTTGTCTGTAAAATTGTGGTATTCTTGAGATCGCCTTTGTGATCTCACAACTCGTGAAAAGTCGGATGTGTGAGCAAAGTGACGAGAGCTTCTGGCTCGACCAACACCACAAATGAGTCATCGCTTATTTTCGGATGACCGAGCAGAACGAGGACTCGTCTAGCTATAGAAATATTATCGAATTGCCATTGAAATTTCTGTTTTATTGACCTTCAACCAATAAACCAACCGTCAATCCATTCTTTGATCCGGAACGAGACACCAAATTCAAGATTTTCCGGATTTCCCAAAACATTTACATCAATCTTTTCAGTGTTTTCAATAAGATAAAAACAAGTATGAAGATACTTTGTTAGCTCTTTGTTGTAGGAACTAAAAGTATAGCTTTTTCTCTTAAAACTATCGTAATCTTGTCTTGATTTTGATTACTATATACTTTTTACTCTAATTCTTTGTAGATTTACAAAAGATATCAAAAGATATAAAAGATATAAAAGATATAAAAGATATAAAAGATATTAAAAGATATAAAAGAGATAAAAGATATTAAAAGATATAAAAAAAAAATACCGACTGGGGCTACCAGTGGTGAATTTATCGCATACACGAAATATATCAATCACAATACAACGACACACACAATACTAGGCTATATCTTAACTTAACCCACGTCATGACAGACGGCTCCCTAACCCTAAGCTCAATGGGGAACTAAATAGCTTTTTTGGTGGTGAAGGGAAGATGACGATGAAGGAGTGGCTTGTCACTTTAAAGAACTGGGGCCACAACCACCAGACTGCCCTCCAGAAAACCTCTCAACCCGAAGGGAAAGGAAATCCGAAGGGGGTGACCATGTCGCATGTGGGGTTCGAACCCTCGACCTTCCGATTAAGATAAAAGACACTTAACCAGTCAGCCACACGTGCTCCTGTAAACGTATATAAACGATATAAAAGATATAAAAGATATTAAAAGATATAAAAGATATAAAAAGATATTAAAAGATATTAAAAGATATCAAAAGTAGATCGATTAGATAAAATAAAGAAAAGATTAGAAAACGAATTTGGTTCACTTACAGTAATTTAGTGCATTCATTTGGGCTCAGCGTTTTCCCATTGATTGTAAAGGGTAAAGCGTCCAAACAAACGGGACGTTTAGATAAATAAGATGTTCGCTAAAGGAAAAAAATAGAAATGCATAGAAATGCTTTAGTGCAGGTGTGTTAAACAGCACAAAGTCCCCACTCACCAAATCCTATAGAAACTGGGTTTAATGGCCTGGGTTGACTAGGCTGGCTAGGTTGACTAGGCTGGCTAGGTTGACTAGGCTGGCTAGGTTGACTAGGCTGGCTAGGTTGACTAGGCTGGCTAGGTTGACTAGGCTGGCTAGGTTGACTAGGCTGGCTAGGTTGACTAGGCTGGCTAGGTTGACTAGGCTGGCGCTAGTGTGACTAGGCTGGCTAGGTTGACTAGGCTGGCTAGGTTGACTAGGCTGGCTAGGTTGACTAGGCTGGCTAGGTTGACTAGGCTGGCTAGGTTGACTAGGCTGGCTAGGTTGACTAGGCTGGCTAGGTTGACTAGGCTGGCTAGGTTGACTAGGCTGGCTAGGTTGACTAGGCTGGCTAGGTTGACTAGGCTGGCTAGGTTGACTAGGCTGGCTAGGTTGACTAGGCTGGCTAGGTTGACTAGGCTGGCTAGGTTGACTAGGCTGGCTAGGTTGACTAGGCTGGCTAGGGTAATATTTAGAATCCTCTTCTCTACTTCAACTTGATCCCATTTTGCTTGATTCCCGTTTGTGATCGAGCAAAGTGCCCACTCACCAAATCCCCTTTTACTGACTCGTTTCGGCAATCCAGCCTCGAGAAGTCGATAAACCACGAATGCTTTGAAGCAATTGTTAAGGTTATTTTCTGAAAAAAAGTATTTATTTTCAATCTGAATTTGAAAATGATGTTCAATTTGAAATGTTGCTTAACTCAAAACCTTTTCTTGGTTCAAAGTCCATCCATGAATCGCGTACGAAGGATTTTCCATTGTCAACTCGTAAAGTTTCATGCTTTTGACGAAAAATGGTAAAATCAAGTACCAAAACATGTTGTAGGAATGAAAGGGGAATGCAAAATTACAAAGAATTTCATTGTTTTATCACAAACACGAATCATTCTCTTAAGTCAAATCCCAACAAGGATTGTTTTTGGTGCCGGGTGGAGTCAGGAAGAGATTTATAATTGCACTTTGTTGAGAAGAGAATGATTGACAGAAAAGACACCTTGGAAATACACCTTTTCTGGCACAGCAAGATGGCTAAATGAAGAAATTAATGAAATGAAAAGATACAGATCTTTTCCTTAACTTTAACTTTGTTTGTTAAAGATTGTTTCCTCTGGAAATCATGAGAACTGAAATTTCAATCGTAATCTTTCATTCATAGATTGATTAGATTGTAAATTGATTATATAATCCAGTCATACAGGGTGCGTCATAATTATTGCAACAAGAGTTCAAAGATCGTTTTCCAAACAGCTTTCTTATTTTTTTTGTTGTGTTGCGCCTAATTGCCTCCCGCTCACACGAAGAAGACGGCTCAGGACTGGTGTGTGGCCAACTTTCCCTCAGTGATCACCAAGGATGAATGGCCTCCAAACTCACCGGATCTCAATGTGATGGACTTTTCCATTTGGGCAATCTTAGAGGCTAATGTCTGCTCTTTGACCTTGAAGAAGTCTTTGACCAAAGGATGGAAGGTGACTCCTCAAGATGACATTCGGACCGCAGTGGAGGCATATCCGAACCGATTAAGGGCTGTTATCAAGGCAAAAGGCGATCATATCGAATGATCTCTTGTTTCCTTATTTGTTACTGTTAAATAAAGCTATTTCTGTTTAAAAATCTTCTTCCAGGGGAAACTTCTTGGTGTGCAATGCCTTGAGTATCTTGTTGCAATAATTATGACGCACCCTGTAGAAGCTTTATTTTTACACTATTCACTCTATTTCCATTCTTCGATCGTAGTCAATTCAACCAAAAATCCCTTCAACATTTTATTCAAAAATACAATAAAGACTAAAGTAAAAGAAAAAGATAAACAATTTTCGGAAATCTTTTGAACTTTTCCCTTTGACTGTGGTTTTCGCTGGGAAAACTGGTAAACTTTTGGTGGTTCTTTGTGAGATTTGAGACAATTCAGTGATCCCAGTCACACTTTTCTCACTTGACTCCACATAAACTCTCAAAAAACACCCTTGTTTTGCGATTGTTTCCTCTGGAAACCATGAGAACTGAAATTTCAATCGTTATTTTTCATTCATAGATTGATTAGATTGTAAATTGATGATAATCCATTCATAGAAGCTTTACCTTTACACTATTCACTCTTTCAATTGTGTAATTTAATGGTAGATCACTTGAATTCGATTTGATTCTAAATGTTTAACATTTAGAAAGTTTAGAAAGTTTTTAAAGGAGTTTTTAAAGGAGTTTAGAAAAGACTTTAAGGACTTTTTAAAGGACTTTAGAAAGAACTTTAGAAAGAACTTTAGAAAGTTTTTAAAGAACTTTAGAAAGAACTTTAGAAAGAACTTTAGAAAGGACTTTAGAACGAACTTTCTAAAGTTCTTTCTAAAGTTCTTTCTAAAGTCCTTTCTTAAGTCCTTTCTTAAGTCCTTTCTAAAGTCCTTTAAAAAGTCCTTTAAAAAGTCCTTTCTAAAGTCCTTTCTAAAGTCCTTTAAACAATTTTCACCTATAGCTTTTGATAATCCCACGAAAAAACCTCTCAAAATCGATGCTCAACTCGGAGGTGAGCACAGCGATCACTTCGACAACGATATTGATCGGATATTCTGTAAATTGAGATGAATATCGTTTAGAAATGAAATTGTGATGTTTAAAAGAAAAGAAAAAAGACTTCATAGTATTGTTAAAGTTTTCAATGATTTCCCTTACCACATTCAATGCGATAATCGAGATTGTAACCATTTTCGATTAACTCAAATTGATTAGCGTAACCTTGAGTGGCCACAAAAACACTCCCATCACACAACTCTTGCCGCTCATTCATCCAACCGCCTAAATGGCAATGATTTGTAGATCTGGCTTTGACACTTGGCTTTGATTGACTTGGCTTTGACTAGTGACTTACTAGGCTGGCTTACTTTTATCCGTGTCAAGATCCTCCCAATGAAAGTCGGGTTTAATAACAACATTCGGCGCACAACCACGCGCAATGTGAAGACTGTAGACAAGGGATTGGAGATGCTGCGGGATAAGCTCAATATCATCTCTATAAAATGTAATTGAGGATGCAATGTGAAGACTGTAGACAAGGGATTGGAGATGCTGCGGGATAAGCTCAGTATTATCTCTATAAAATACAATTGATGATGCAATTGCATTTTATAAAACATTTCACCGAAAACTCATCAAACGTCTCTCGTTGTAGGATTGATTCTTTCCAGGTGGTGGTCCACTCAAAAGCTCATAAGTACAATTAGAGTTTGAGCGATTCTGAAGGGCATTATTTATACTATTTGTCAAATGGAAAACTCACTGATTTCAATTCAGTTAAAATCTTCAAAGTCTTTCGAGTGTGCAACGCTAGAACAAGCCAGAGAGCAGTTTTTGCCGTTTGGAATTTAGTGATGTTGACGATCATTGGATTATAATGAGAGTGCGCTAATTCCAGAGAGTATTCGACACTTTCTAAAGCTCAATTAAACATTGTACTAACTTTATGCTGTCAAAAGGAGGAGCAAGAGTGAGGAGCAAGAGCAAGAGTGTTAAAGAGTGTTAAAGAATTGAATGCACCAGAAGCTTTATGTTTTCAAGCTTTCTAAAACAAATGATTTCAATTACCGTCAATCCATTCAGAAACACGAAACGAGATAGCCAATGTATCGATGCGTGTGTAAAAGTCGCGATTGATTTGTAGGATGAGCTGACTCTCATTGTAAACACTACGACAAGTGCTGTAGTGATCCCGAGCGCGTTCACTAAACGATCAGAAAAGTCAAAAGCTTAGCCTGAGCACTAAATCTAATTTCTCTTGCCAATTCCTTTACTTCTTTATTTCTAATATATGTGGCTTTGATTTCAAGTACGCTAACGATTCTGTAGACCCAAGTATTCTCTTCTTTCTCTTCTTTCTTTCTTTCCTCCTTTCTTTCTTTCCTCCTTTCTTTCTTCCCTCCTTTATTTCTTCCCTCCTTTATTTCTTCCCTCCTTTCTTTCTTTCTTCCTTCCCCTTGTCTTTTTCTTCTTTCTTTACAAGTTAAGATACTGGATAGCTTAGTTGTTAGAGCAAAAAGTAAAAGATCGAGAGTTCAATCCCGTTAATCAACTTTTTTCTTTCACTTCTTTATTACCCTCCTTTGCAATGTCCCCGGAATGGTTGTTGATTGATGAAGAAAGGCGCTGAATCACCACAAGCTTCAGTGATTCGATTCTTAATGGAAATCGAATTGAAGAAAGAATTTGACGTGGGTTTAATAGCCTAAAAAAACCGAACATTTGTTGCAAACCTCTAGCGAGTCACAAATCCGCGCCTGATCAACGACAAAGGTGTAATTCGTGAAAGTGTTTACACAAATGCGCAAGCGTTCAGCTATAAATGAAGCTATTATTAACAAGTCTCAAAATCCTTTCTTACCATTGATCTCTCTCAAGTACTCTCCATGCAGAATCAAGATTGGATCTTTCTCGGTGAGGGCAAACGAGATACCACATGGAACCGTTGAGAGATGATGATTTGAAGGTTTTCCAATCTACAGTAGTTTAAAGTTTAAAGTTTAAAGCAATTAAGCGGATATTAGGATAGAAAAATGCTTACCACAATCAAGAACAAACTCATGACAAAAGGAGACACATTTTTCGTGCACAAATCGTTTTAATAAAAAGAAATCAAGTTCAAAATCGTGTCTTGAAAAATCGAAATGCTAATAACTTATTTGAAATTGAACTTTTCGCTCAATAGTGTTAGAGTAGACGAGTTTTTAAAGCCTTTACCCGTGTCAGGGTGTGGTCATTTTGAAGAGCTTTACTCAAAGATCATCTTTCTTAATGCAAGTTTTGTTTTTTTTTTGACTAGAATGGTACCAGGTTGTCCTTTTTTGAAACTTACTGACTTACTGACCAACTTACTGACTTATTGACCAACTTACTGACTTATTGACTAACTGACTGACTTACTGACCAACTTACTGACTTATTGACTAACTTACTGACTTACTGATCAACTTACTGACTTAGTGACTTTCGTGTGTGCCAGGAGCACCGAATTTGAGCATTTTGATAGGGAAATTTTGAGTAAAATCAACTTTTCTTTGTTTAGTGCCGGGTGGAACGGAGGGTTTTCTTTAAAAAAAAAGAATCTACTTTTTTTTATTCTAAAAAATACTCCTTTTACCTTGCTGACTCAAAAGGTCGACTCGAATGGCTTAAGGGAAACGATAAGGCGTTATCGTTTCTCATCAATTTCACATTTAACAAAGATAGAAAGTTTTTAAAGATTCAAATTTAAATTTAAATCTAAATTCAAATCATTTCTTTGAAAAACAAAAGATTTCAAAAGATTTTTGAAAGGCTTGAATCAAGAAAAACTGTTTAGAATTCTTTGTGCTTGTAAGATATAGGTATAAGACAATGAAAATTATGACAAAAGTGAATGATCAATAATCGAATTGCTTAACGAGATCAATTTTAACAAGAACAACAAGATCAATTAACAAAAAGATCAAGAACAACAAGATCATTTAACAAAAACATTCATTTCAACAAGATCAATTAACAAAAAGAGCAATTTCAACAAGAACAACAAGATCATTTAACAAAAAGATCAAGAACAACAAGATCAATTAATAAAAAGATTCATTTCAACAAGATCAATCAATAAAAAGATTCATTTTAACAAGATCAATCAATAAAAAGATTCATTTTAACAAGATCAATTAGCAAAAAGATCAATTTCAACAAGATCAATTAGCAAAAAGAGTCGTTCTTGTTGAAACAACAAGAACAACAAGAGCAATTAACAAAAAGATTCATTTGAAATTTCTCTCAAATCCGATCCAAAATGTACACGGTAAGACGAACATGGAAACACTGGGGCTCGACCTCGATGCCAGCCACACAATAGACTTCCACTGAAAAGTACTATAAACTCTTGATTTCTAATATTTACGAATTGATCAATTCGATAGAAATTGATCAATTGCAATCTTCCCAAAGATTCCCCAATTCCTCTTTACCCTTTTGCTTGTTAATCGCTCGTTGGAAGAGTTTCGCATACGGTTTCGGGCCTTCATCAGTCGAGAAGAACACCTGAAAGCTATCGAATGAAATAAAGGTTTAGATTTTCGACCATTAACCTCGATATTTCATCTTTAAATTCGTTCTTTATTAAGGAAAACTCTGATTTTACCATTTCCGTTGAGTAAAATTGTCGAAAAGTCGCCTCGAATTTGGGTGATTCGATTGGAATCTCTTCAACTTGAATGAGCCTCTTTAAGGAATCCTAAAATTAATCTTTAGGTGATTCATTTAACTTTAAATTTTAACCTCAAATCAAAAAGCTTTTAAAGCTAGACAAAGCTTTAAAGCTCTTTTTTTTTTTTGCAAAAACCCACAAAAATAAGCCAATAGAAGAAATCGAGTTGCTCGTAAAGACAAATCGGCGAAAGAACATCAAATAAAAGCCCAGAATTCAAATTTTCCCACAAAAATCCCAGCTATTCATGGAAAATTGCTAAAAAAAATAAATAATTTTCGTAAAACTTTATTTGCTTTTTCTCTGATTAAGATTTAGGTTTAGATTTAGGTTTAGATTTAGATTTAGGTTTAGATTTAGATCTAGATTTAGATTTAGATCTAGGTTTAGATTTAGGTTTAGATTTAGATTTAGGTTTAGATTTAGATCTAGATTTAGGTTTAGATTTAGATTTAGATTTAGATCTAGATTTAGATTTAGATCTAGATTTAGATTTAGATCTAGGTTTAGATTTAGGTTTAGATTTAGATCTAGATTTAGGTTTAGATTTAGATTTAGATCTAGGTTTAGGTTTAGATTTAGATTTAGGTTTAGATCTAGATTTCTTTGAGAAATAAACAATTCAATGCAATAGAAAGGTTTTCCATTTACAGTTTACCTCAAGACACCAATCGTATTGCAACAATGAGTGAACTTCAAAAGTAAACCGCTTTTTGAGTGACCTCATCACCGCTAACAAATTGTCACAAGCGCCGATTAGAGTGATTGAGGAAAGCATAGAGAACTGGAAAAGCATCATTCAAATCAATACAAATCTTTTGATTATCTGTCAGCTTACCATTTTTCGACAAATTTTGGCAAGATCCACTTCATTGACGGCATCGATTTCTATGTCGTTTCCCTGAATTAAGAGAATTTTCTCTTTCTACTTTAATCTAAATCTAAATCTAAATCCTTAATCCTTAATCTAAAGATTAAGGATTAAGGATCTTCTCTAAATCTTCTTTAAATCTTAAATTTTCTAATCTTTTCTTAAACAAACTAAATAAAATCGTCCATCATTTGCGAAAATCGAAGCATCTTTCTGCGAGAAGATCTCAAACAACTTGAAATACTTGACAAGAAGCGAGAAATGTTTCATTGATCGATTGCCAAGCAAAGAATGTGTAAGCTTAAAAAAATAAGAATGCTATAAATGTTAAAAGATTTCATTTCAACCTCGAATTCAGTTGTTTTTTCTTCATTGTTCGAAAAAGGATAATCGATTGAAAACTGAAGATTACTCTTCTCGTAAAGCGTCAACTCCTAAAAAGAAAAACATTTAGAGTAGAGGATGAGGAATATAGTATTGTCATAGATCTATAGAGAGTCCTGACTCTCAGTATTAATTTTAATTAAGAGAGTCATGACTCTGTCCTGATCAAGAGCTAGGTGATCAAGAGCTAGGTGATCAAGAGCTAGGTGATCAAGAGCTAGGTGATCAAGAGCTAGGTGATCAAGGGTGGGGGGTAAGGTTGGGGGTGGAAATGAGTGGGAGGTGTCTACAACTCATGCAACGATTTATTGCCAACTTGTAGCACTCCAATCCGCACGTAGAATAATGAGGGTGATTTGAGGAGCTTCAGGAAATGATGAATGGATGTTGGTGAGATGTGGATGGGATCACTGAAATTCAAACTTTCCATCCTTATTTGTTAGGGGATTGAATTGTGGCTTCGCTACCGTAACCCGAATCCAGTTTGTTCGCTATCACAAACCTCACCCAATAGTTACAACAATCCAATAGTTTCTATCGTAATTATGCGCTCAACTAAAGTGAAAAAGCCAAAGCTAGAGCCCGGGAATGAGCCTGAGAACTTCTCGTTTAAATATATTGATGAAAGAGAGAAAATTGGGGATTCTTTGGCAATGAATTATCAGAAAATTTCTCAAGAAAATTCAAAAATTGACAGAAATCCTTGACTAACAGTAGCTCTTAAATAACAGTAAAAAACTCAAATCCAAACCTGAAGCGTTTCTGTCGAAGCAATCCATTTTTTAAATAAACCATCTCACCATCTGGTGCACGAATTGAAATGAGATAATTACTGGAGAAAATCTGAAGATTTATTCACTCTATTCACTCTATTCAGCTTCACTTCACAGATTACGAGGCTTACCTCGTAATCTTCAGACTCTATTCAGCTTTCACTTTAAACTCAAACCGATTCTTCACGTTGCACGAATTCCTCCACGCAAATCTCCACGTCAGCATTTCTTGGATGAGCGCCAGAGTGGAGGATGTGTTTTCTGGAAAAAAGATCAGCTATAGCTTTGGCTTAGGCTTTGGCTTAGGCTTTGGCTTTGGCTTAGGCTTTGGCTTTGGCTTAGGCTTTGGCTTAGGCTTTGGCTTAGGCTTTGGCTTTGGCTTTGGCTTAGGCTTTGGCTTTGGCTTTGGCTTAGGCTTTGGCTTTGGCTTTGGCTTACCTCGTAATCTTCGCGATTTTGAGTAATTGAAATGATTCGTTGACCTCCAGCTTCTCGATAACCATTTCTTTCAATATAACGGGCAATGAAGGGAAATTTGTTACAAAAGGCATTGAAAAATAAGAGCTTAGAAGCTTATTTCTATAATAAATATAAATTTTCGATGTTTTACTTGACAATTATTTGCTGTTTTCTAATTATCTGCGAAATGTTGCCTTTTATGTGACAATTATTAGACAATTATTAGCTGAATAGCTTGAATAAAGTAAATTAAAGTAAATTAAAGTGAAAGAAATTGTCTCATCGTCTGAAAATTCGATTTGAAACTTTAAATCAACACTTTAATCGTTAATTTTAAAGTAGAAATGAGCAGAAAATGAGCACTTTTTTTTGGCGCTTCCAATAGTTTCATTCTCTACATTTTTCACGATTTACAAAAAAAAACAATCATCAGCAAGGGCCAGGTTTGAAACTGGAGAAGTCTAGTTGTAAACCTTGACCTGCTGGCTGGCTGGCTGGCTGGCTGGCTGGCTGGCTGGCTGGTTGGCTGGCTGGCTGGCTGGTTGGCTTGCTGAGGATGGCCTGACCCGAAAATTTGGTCCTGGTTACAAGTGCTACACCAAAAAATAACTCAAAACTCTTTTTTCAGTTTCCTCTGATCGAAATCGTCTTCTAGACAGCCTCGACAGCCTCAAAAACTTTAAAAAACTCGAGTTTTCTCAAGAATTTCTATATTACAGTCATTTGATTTCTATATTTGATTAATTTAATTCCTAGGTTCATAGCTAAATGATTGAAAAGAGATTGAGGATACCGGAGAGCAAATCCCATATTGAAATGGTTTGTTTTCTTCACAAGATCAGACATTTTATCAAACTTTGGTACTTATGAATCTGGCGGGCGCATTTTTGAACAGTTTGAACGGTCGAACACTTGCCAAGTCGAATACTTTCCAAGTCAAACACTTGCCAAGTCGAACACTTGGCAGATCAAACCCTTGCCAAGTCGAACCCTTGCCAAGTCGAACCCTTGCCAAGTCAAAACCTTACCAAGTCGAATACTTCTCAAGGCGAACACTTGCCAGGTCAAACACTTTCAAAAGTTTGTGTACCCAAACTTTTACTAATTTGTGAGGTTACTGAGTATTCTATTGTCTGTCTCAGTTGCTTTAAGAGGGTCCTCATATACGATAACTAGATAAGAAACTAGGAAATAGTTTTGAATGCAAAAGAACGTTTTAACGTTTTGCTTTTTGAGCTCACCGAGAAATGGATTTTCCTAATTGTGGCAATTCACCAAGAAGAGAGTTTAAAGCTAAAGAAAGCTTAAGAAGCTATCAAAATGCAAGTAATGCAAGTAATCTGCTCTTCCGTACTTCCGTGATTCCAGGCAACAATCACAATTGTACAATGAGAGATCGAGTTTTGAAAGGATCAATCAAATTGAAAAGAGAATTATTAAATTTATCAATTTTTGCTGTTTTTTTTTGTATTTTTGTTTAATATTGTTGTATAATTGATTAAAACAAAAGATAAATGCCTTTTTCAACAAAAAAATATTGTTATTTATTGCTTTTAAAGCTTAAAAACCTTGATAAAAGTCTTCATTTTTCCGTCTACAATTCTTGGTTACGGTTGATTTTTCTTTACAATTCTCTCAAATTTCTAATCTTTCCCTTCTTTTTTTGTCTGACTCAACCCATCCCTTTTCCCTTTCATTCGATCGTTTCCGAAATGGGTTCCAAAATTTTGCCTTTTCTATTCACACAAAGCAAAATGCGTCACAATCAGCTGAGACATTGAGGAATTTGTTTTGTTAAGCCTATTTTTTTGTTTTGTTGTTAAGCCTGTTTTTTTGCTTTCAACTTTTACTCTTTACTATATTTTGTTTCTAAAAAAACATTCCCTTTCTAATAAACTTAAAATCCTGTAGATCCTGTAGATCCTGTAGATCCTGTAGATCCTGTAGATCCTGTAGATCCTGTAGATCCTGTAGATCCTGTAGATCCTGTAGATCCTGTAGATCCTGTAGATCCTGCAGATCCTGTAGATCCTGCAGATCCTGCCGATCCTGCAGATCCTGTAGATCCTGCAGATCCTGTAGATCCTGCAGATGCAATTCTGCGGTTCTTGTGACGAGTGTTTATGTGGAGTCTATTTCTAGAAAGCATAAAGTGTAAAGAAATTTTCTTTGCGTGCTTGATACTCTTCACTCAAGACACGTTATTTCTTGTTTCAAGATATCTGATCTTGAACTAAGACATTTTTATTCAATAGCCGATTGACTCGGAATTTTTGGGCTCTCATTTGAGCAATTTTCACACAAAATCGACAATTGAATTAAAAGCGACGATAGAAAAAGAAACAATTTCGTCCTTTCAATTCAAAAAACAACTTTCACACAATGAAAGGAAAAAAAAGTAAAACGCATCATATGAACAACACTTAAATAGGCTTTAACACAAGATAAGATATTCAGCTAACAAACTAGGAAACAATAAATGATTTGGGGCGTGAAATAGAATGAAAGCGCACGGATTTCCGCAAAACTTTTCCAATTTTTTGGCTGTCAGAGTTAGGGTAACTTTTTAGTGGCTATTCGCCACACGCGGCCACACATTCCTGTAACATATCTGGCATTGTTGAGTGGACTCCAGATCAAGTCTGAAAATGTTTTGATCTATTTTGAGCACTGTAGATCTATCTTGAGCACTGTAGATCTATTTTAAGCACTGTAGATCTTTTTTAAGCACCCAACAAATCCATTCTTAACACTACAGGTATTTACAAACCTAGCAATTCACAACAGTACTTTCTCCTACCGTAAATACTGTAATAGTCCCCCACCCCCATAATGACGGTGCGGAGCGTTGTGTAGTCTAGCTTTGGACGCGTTTTTCTCGACACTGGTTTATGCTACAATGCGCTTAGGTATCAAAAAATAGCCCTGAATTTCAGCTATTTTTGATACCAAAAACGCATTTTTGAAAGTACGGGCACTTTGAAAAAAATGAAATACAAAAACTACGCGACTGAGACTGAGACTACGCGACTGTACGAGGGGGGTGGGGTACTATTACAGTATTTACGGTAGGTATATCTCAAGATCTTCGAATTGAAAGATATTCAGCTAAAAAGCTACAAAACCAATAAATGATTTGAGGCGTGAAATAGAATGAAAGATTTCCGGATTTTCGCAATACTTTTCCAATTTTTTGGCTGTTATTTAGGTAACTTTTTAGCGACTATTCGCCACATAAAGTAAAGAAATCAAGAAAAATTAATTCAATTGAAAAGGCTAAAACAGCTAAAA